AAATTGAAGAAATAACATAAAGATTTTACTAGTAATTCGGTATCTAAATATCTGGCAACATAGCACAATGGAGAATAGGCGGTTTAACGTTGAACCTCGGTTGAACTCAATAATTGATTCAAGTCTTGTCTAGTTACGGAACGCGCGTAATTCAAATTCATTTTTTTTTTTTTGAAAAACTGCTGGAGCATTTGCTAATCCGAATGGCATCCTCGAGTACTCGTAGTGCCAATCTGGGGTTATAAAAGCAGTTTTTGCCATGGAATCTTTTGCTATCGGTATTTGATGATAACCACTGGCCATGTCTAAAGATGTAAAATATTCGCAATTTTTCAATCGTTCAAGAAGATCATCCAGTTCGAGGGAGAAGGGAGAGGGTAGCAATCTTTTGGCGTTTTCTGATTTAAAGCACTATAATCATTGTACATTTTATTCGTTCCATCGTTATTCTTGATTAATAAAATAGGACTCGCGTAAGGAGAGTTGGACTCTTTTAGTATACCCACTTTCAGCAGGTCTTGCACAATTTCTCAGAACGAATCACTACTTGTGGATCACGGAGTTTTTAAGCTCTTTTACAATGTTCTGTAAATCTTAAATTTTTCTTTTTTATTTTGGTCAGCAACATTATTGTTTTTTCTTAAACTATCACTTATTACTGATGATACTCTAGGTGGTGATGGCATGTAGCTTACAGTTTCACAAGACAATTCTTTGTAGGTATGTCTCCTTGTTTTTCCCATTCTGAAATATGCCACTAACACCAAGAGAAATATCCAAAATCAATCTATTTTTTCACGAAACAATTTATTTTAGTCCAAAACACACTGAATAATCAAGTCTCCTCGAATAGAGCGTAATTATCTCGCCGCTGCTCGGTTAACTAACACAATTGTTCAAATAAAAAACACAGCTCTTCACAAAAATACGTATAATATAATAATCTTAACTGCCAACTGCTCGGGTTTACATTCAGAAACGAATTGCTAGAATCTCTACATCTTATAGCATTTTCTTAGTTGTTTTTTTTTATGAAATCACCGGCCCATGAGGGAAAAGCCCTAGGGTAGAGACCAGTGGTTCGATGGTGGAGACCAGTCGTTCGAAGGTGTTTGTATAGATATTTCTCCCTAAGTTTCGCAGTGTTCGAGAAAGACGTGCTTTGGAAGCTGGTTTCACAAACTTGCACTTTTCCATAAACAGGAGTCCCAAATATAGAGATGTTCTAGGCGTCTTCAGATGTACTCGATGATCATGAGCCACGTTCTTGCATGTATTGCTCTAGATGGGATCATTTCTGACAGTTCGGAAAAGCATTCACCGTGGTCGTATCGATAAAACAGAGTCAGTTCCGCCATCTTTCTTCTGTTCAAATTTCGTGTCAACTCTAGATCGCCTATCAGACTAATGGCTCTATTCTGGATCGAATCGAGTAGTTTCAAGGTGTGCTTGGAGGCAGAACTTTACATGTGAGAGCAATACTCCAAAAATGGACAGCTCCAGTTCCTTGTAGAGCATTAAAAGCTGTTCCGGTGGTTAGATCAACTTTTAATTCCATTCATTTTTGTTTATTCCAAACATTAAAAAATTCAAGAATTTTCTTGCTAATATTTCCTTATTATTACTTGTTTTATATCCTTCAATTTTTGTCTATTCCAGGCGCTCTAAAGTAATTCTGAGGTTTATAAATTGTTCTGAACCTTTCAAAATACTGCTGGAAAGTCTTTTTGGAACGTTCTAGATGGTTTATTTGAAGTTCTAAAGTGTTTTAACTTGGCATGAAGAGCTCTGGAGCAGTCTAGAAGTTATTCAGTGATTTCTAAATTGTTTTGACACATTTTCAAGTATTTTAGACCCCTATTGAAGCTCCAAAGTGTTCTAAACTCTGAACTAACTAGACTCTGAAGTTTCTCATTTGTTCCAAAATGCTCCTGAAAATTCTAATTTGGATTTGAACTGTTTTGGATGCTTATTGTAAAGTTCCACAGCAATCCAAATTCGCTCTCAAATGCCTTCTGAAAGGCGTTTTGTAACTTTTAACTTGAATCCTTTTTACATGAACTCTCAGAAAATGGCTCCATTCTTGATGTTTTTTTAAAAAACTATTCCAGAGTCAGAATAGTGCACAATTTCTTATGAAGAAGATAATCACTTGTTATCAATAACTAATGCCAAAATCCACAGAAAACAAACTCACAATAGAAACTTTCAGACGTCAAAGTAACATTATAAGAGTTTTGCAATTAATAAAATTGGCCATCGAACGCTATCTCAGCTTTATATTTATCCTGATTAGTATGGAGCAACATTAACGTTCTTCTTCCTTGTATACGATTCAATTATGGTATTACTAATGTCAGTACATCACGGATAATTAGATAATTGATGTAATAGTGGCTATTGGAGAAACTGTCTATTTGTGAAGTTTATGTGTGATATCTCCCTAACAAAAAAGTCCACCCAGCGAGTTTCCAACCTAGATTCAGAATTTGTTATTCACACACGAAAATCAACTCTTCCTTATTACTTAGGTAATGAAACAAGATTCCACAAAGTGCGGAACTTTAACTAGGCAGCTTGGGACAGTAGGGGAACAAAGGTGCGTTTCCAAAATTAAATATTTAAAAAGTTCTCAACAAAACAAAATCCTTGTAAGTTCCCTCCTGAACAAAATTATTCATGAAGTAACGCGAACTATGAACCCACAAAGTCAGCAGACAGTTTTCTGGCTGGGAGTTAACGGTAATCGTTCTTTATGTGTTTACAAATTATTCATTTTGTTTTAACAGTAGGTAATTAAAAATCCCTCTTGCAACTAATGTAATGGGTCTCCTTCTCAGTGGTTCCGTGGGCAACTAGATCACTGACTAAACGCACAACAGATTGGGTCGTTAGTCTCAACAATCGCACCTTGCTGACTCGCAACAACTGTTTCGTGAAAGTGATAGTTTTTGGGGACTTAATTCGAGATCGATATTATCGGGGATCGATAGAACGGAACCGCAGTGGTCAGTGCTAGGCTTTAAGTCCGTGTTGCGCGATCGAAAGTGAATTTGAATGTAGTGGCTTATAGCAATTTTGATTTTTAAGTGGACTTGTGTGTGCTTCAAAATTTTTAGTAATGTGTGCTGCCTTGATTTTATTTTGGATAAAGGATTTAGGGGCAGTTTATTCACTGTCAACTTTGTTTTAAGTTTCACTTTCTTTCTCCTCATCATTTATTTTCTTTAATTTTTCATATCCTTTGTTTGTATTAGTTGGAGTTGAGCTAAACTTTTTTTTCCAAGATTTTTCTAAACACATCTGATTGGTTAACAATTTTTCCATTTTCCTCATTTAGACCTTCATTTTCTTCCGCTTCTTGCTCATCGGCATTTTCTTTTGCATCTTCACCTAATTTTTCATTTTTTTCTTTGGGTCTTCTCAAACATTTTTCTGATTTTTTGATTCATTTAGTAACTATGAAATTTGTAGTTGATTTTATTGTCAAAATCTTTATTTCAATAGACATTTAGCTGTACATGAAAAAACTAAGCCTTGAGTAAATTTTCTAGAAGGAAATACCTACCGAGTTGTCCCGTCATGTGTCTATAGAAGTTAAATTTTGGAAGTTATCGATCAGACGACTATGTAATTAATTTTTTGACAGAAAATCTAATTTCCGAAAGCTGTTACGTTGTCGCTAAGCCGAAACTTAATGAATATAATAATTTCTAATAAGTATCTGGCGGATATTTTTAGACCTCCATCAAAGCCGGTTGTCCTTCGCGTTCACATGATAAACTCATAATTATCGGCCCGACTTAACTTTCTTTGCGCTAAGAATGCGACTCGTGACCTTCCGCAATTAAATTCTTCTCCCCTTTAGGTAGTTAGTTTTTTGTTCTCGCATTGATTTTATGCTAATAATTATTTTGCATGTTATAAAGTCACCTATTTTGCGTGATTTCTTATGCAATTGCGCAACAACCTGTTTTTGATTAATTTATTGTAATTGTCCACTTATACTAGAAATGTGCAATATCTATAAATATAAAATTTCGTTATACTGTCTCCACTAATCTAAATCATATTTTCATCAACATAACCCTAACACTTCTTCTTTTCTTCCAAATACTACTTAAGCCATCTCTATTAGAAACGCATTACCTACCTAATGTAAACTTGGTTCATACATTATTTTAGTGTAAACTCATGTTTATGTGCGCATTTTCCTCATTTTAACAACTTTTTCATGTATATAAGTGTACTTACATCATGAGGCCGGAAAACGTTGCTTGGAAACCAACTTTTTCCGGCCTTGTAAAGTAAAGATTTTTCAACTATGTACAACCAAGTCTGTACACACCTTAGAAGTGATAACTTTCACCTTTCACCTCGACTTGTGTAATAAAAGTGACTCTGAGATCAACAATCAATTATCCGAAAAATTCAAATTTTATGCACAAAATGTACAACGCATCGGCGAGTCTCAAATCGCATCCGATTTGCGGCTTAGAGAAAACCGAAGAAACGAAAAAAGAAAAATTGTCTTCACCGCGACTTTTTTCCGCACGACGGATTTGTTTTATTAAATTTGCCTGAACACTTTGAATTAATTTGTATTCAAAGCACACACAACAAAGAAAAAAAAAATTAACTGTAATTTTATTACATTTTGTATCTGCCATATGTCTCACCTTGAACTTCTACGTTAATTTCTCTTTATTCTATGTCGATCGTTCGAAGAAAATAGGAAAGCCTTTACATTGATCCTTGAATCAATACAAAAATATTCTTAAAAAGAAAAAAATACAAAAGTTTTTCCATTTGAAATTCCAATTAAAACGTACACATTTAATGTCTCTTGATTTTCCAGTTCAAATTAAAATTTTACAAAATTACCAATTCCAATTACCTTTATGCAAATATTCAATAAGAAATTTCATGCAATAGTTGCATAAAGGCCATGAAATTTCATTTAAATATAGCAATTGACCAATGAAAAATAGACTATAAAAATGTGGACACTATTTGGTGTTTGGACTATAATATTAGTTGGTGTTAGTGCTATTCGTGTTCCTACACACTGGGGCAATGAACAACAAGAAACTATTAAAAGGTTAGTGCCAGATTATAATGGATACAGATCCTGGCATCCCAGTTTCCAGAGAAGAATGTTTGAAAATGTTCAAGGTAAGCTCCCATCTCCATTGAGTCTTCACCTAATCTATGACTTCTAATAAAAATCAAATTCCTATTTCAGAAAATTTACCTCAACAAACCATAATATACAACCCCCTGCAACCACAAATAATGCAACCCTCAAATAATGGTCTTCATGTACCAGAACATCAGAAAAATTTACCTCGACAAACCATAACATACAACCCCTTGCAACCCTCAATGTCTGTAAACCTAAACAATGGTTTTTATATACCAGAACAACAGAAGTTATACAAAAATGTACCATCATTGCTGAATCCAAGATACACAAATGAAGATTTATACCTCAAAAAACTATGGGAACATACTCAGAAGTTGCTCAGAAGTCAAAGGCCAAATTTGATATCCAATGAAAATCTAGCTGAAATTAAATCAAGCCCAATAGGAAACCTGGAAAAGCAAGCTGAGTTGAATAAAATCGCTATGGATTATAATTCTAGAGCTTACAATACTGACAGGTATTTTATTGTTTTTATTTATTATTTTAATTTTTAATTGGTTTCTTTATTTGCAGTTTTCGAGTATCAGCTTCCACTCTGAGTCCACTTATATTGGAACCAACAACCAAAAAAGAACCAGTCTTCTCCGTGACTGAAGGTTACAGAAATGTTTTGGTGCAAGGAGCAAATAGCAAAAAATATAACATGGAAAATCAGGGTGAAACTAAACAGATTTTGAGCAAAGAAAAGCCTCAAAGGAAACGCAAAGTAACTAAAATCTATAAAATTCATAATGGAGGTTGGAACAATAACTTAGTACAAGCAGAACCCATCATAAGAATACCACAAATTTATAAAAATGAAAATAGAAGAAACTATGTAATAAAAAATTACAGGGATGATGATTTGCATGAGCCAAAAGATGATAAAGATTTGGAAAGAGACGACGAAGAAAATGAAAGAGTAAATGAAGAAGATGACAACTCAAATGAGGAGGAAACAAAATCAGATGATGTTGATAATAAAAATGACACATCAAACGAGGAAGACGAAGAAGATGAAGAAACTGAAGACAAAGAAGTACCCCACAGTGAACACGCTGACCCAATACCTGTGCCGACAAAACCAATTTATCCTGGTGAAGGTCAATGGGCCAAACCGGGACTTAAACATCGAGTACATAATTCCCAGCACAAGTAAGCATTAACCATTGATCAATTTCGTATTTTTACACTTATTTTATTTTTAGATTTTTCAAACCCCAAGAAGTCGAGCAAAAACCTTCTGGTTATAACGTGTTTGAAGACTTGGAACACTATTTTGAAAACCAAAGGGACAATTTTGGTCAGACTTTTGGTGCAAATTCAAATTTAGACATTACTACTCCATCTTCAGGCATTTTTCAGCCGAATCCTGTTAATCCTATTGTAGTTTACGACCCTTTTACAGAATCCAGCAGTTTAAATGCCACAATTGCCAGAAAATCAGCTGAAAATGTAAACTCTGAAGAAGCTATAGTCGACACAGAAGAAGAGACTATTGTTACAGCAAATACTAATCCTGAAGAAGCTATTAATGACTCTGAAGAAAATCTTGTAGATGAATCAGATGTAGATTCTAACGAGGAAATTGAAGAATCAGAAGAAAACGATGAAGACGAAGAGGGATTTGTACCATTGCAATTGTACAGTCAAGTAAGGAAAAGTGAAAACGAAGAACACGAACCCTACAATCCGTTGGAACATGGCCGTCTAAAGGAAATAATAAAGGATAGCAAAGTACAAACCGTTTATACAGAAGAAGGATACGAGGATAGTGCCTATGATCATGCAGGTCATGAAAAGAAAGCCGAAAAGGATCAAGGATATTCAGAATTTGAACGTGACAAACTTGGCAAAGATAATGATGAGAAAAATGACAACAAAAAAGAAAATTCTGAAGAAACTGCTGTCTTAGATAAGTCATTGGATTCTATTGGTTCTGATACTGTTTTTCCAACTAATAATAACTTTATTACAACTCAAGAAGTAAAAACTACTCAAATCAAAGACAAAAACAATGGAGATATGCAACTAGAGATTGAAAATGAAGTTAAAGTTATTTCACAGCCAAATAATAGCACCAAAACTCATAGATATATTAAAATATATCCTAAAATTTCAATGGAAATTGCCAAAGGAACTTCTACAACTGAGAAAAGTATAGAAATCGATAAAGCAGTTCATCAAGAAATTAATAATATGGATGAAAGCACTACAGAATCAAGTACAGTATCAATAATTGAAGCTATAACCAAAAAAACCAACAATCGAAAAAAACGTTCCTCGGGTACTGGATTTGAAGACGTAATTATTGATACGGACTTCATTGATAAAATTAATCATAAATTTGCCCCAAAGCCAGAAATTGATATAAATAAATATCCTTACTACACCATGCCAAATTTGAATGACGATTCTCCTTTAAGATATGCAGAAAATATGAACAATATCCCAGTCAAAACTGAAGGGGAGCTGTCTTTTTATAAAATGGCTGACAATAGACATGAATGTGATGAGATTCCTCAAAACATTGATCCAATTCCTGAACACGTTAAGAATGCCCCTAGTAAAAAGGAAGAAGTTTCTGATGAAGAAGAAGAAGAGGATAGTAGAGAAAAGAGAGACGTTGGTCCAAGAATTCAATTAGGGGATAAAATTGATTGTTTAAAAGCAAGATATTTTGGAGAAAATCCTTTGGACAGCCCATTTTTCAAAGAGGAAACTGTTGGTCCAGTGAGACCGATATTTACAGAGCTGGCTCCCCATCATAACGAAATTGTTAGCAACAAAAATGAACGAAAATTTGAAATTAGTAAAGATAATTTATTAGTGATTGAAAATGACAAAGCAGAAAGCATTAAAGTGCCTCTTGTTACAAAACCTACCCCAAGCCCTTTGGTTAGTCTAATGACAACTCCTAAATACACTTTAAAACTTACTCCAAAAAATATTTATGATCAAATTAAGCTTTTAGACCATTTAGCTACAGATGAAACAAAAATTATTAATAAAGTCGAACAAACAAATCAAAATTCTACAAAAGAAGAAAGTAGAGAATCAAAAACTTTAGTTGAAGTAAATGACAATATTACGAAAGAAGTTGACCAAGAACCAACATTAGAACCAGAAGCACTGAGGCGCAAACTTCGCCCAAGAAGACCGAACTACCAAGTATTCGACGTTAACAAATATCTTACAACAACCCCATTCTCATTATTCGATACTGTTTCCACAACAGTACTTCCAAAATACAAAGTCTTCAGCGAAGTATTCTACAAAGACGAAATCAAACCAAACGAACAACTAAACGTATTTGCTGACGTGCAGAACAACATTAAAAATTCCAACAATGTGGAATTACCTCTTGAGCAATCGAGATCAGACTTTGCTGAACCGAATGCAGTAACTGTAAGCTCAGTGGATCTACCAAGAACTACACAGGCACCCAGTGTTAGAGTTAAAAAATTTCAAACCGATAGTTCAAGTCATAAGGTAAGAATGAGTAGAATAATTTCAAGAATAATAACTTTGGTTTTCAGAATAATATACCCGAACACAACATTCCAAAATCCTATAACGTTCAAAAACATTACGTTAAAACTCCTGGCAATCAAAAAGTCATCTTGCCAGAAATTAACGGTTTTGTGAACAACCAAATGAGCCATAAGCGAATTACTTCAAACCCCACGATAGTCGACCCAATACTACCAACCAATAAACCAAGAAAAATCAAAAGACGTAGAAAACCTACTACAACCACAACCAGTACCACTTTAAGAACCACAACTAATATTCGTGTTCCTGAGCAAACTGTCCCAAAAAACCATCAACCCTTTGTAATAGATTTCATTGAAGAAATTCAACAAGTAATTGGTTTGGTACCTCCTCAAGAGTTCGAATATAGGACGTTACCTGAAGAAGATGTAGATGAAAATACTAAAGAAAAAACATATGATTATCCGAAACCTGTTAATTCAATCAGCGAACCACCTTCAACAGAAGTACCAATGAACAACTACTATTTTACTGGATTGAAACCACCAAGCAATAAAAGAGCCAGACCTTATTCGGAGTATACCAATATTAATAGGAACTTCGTACGTAGAAGAGGTGGAAGAGAAGAATCAAGCAGGAAAAAGCGTGAGGCTGCTAGACCAGCTTATGCAGATTTATCCAGAAATAGAGGTAAACTATATTAAATAAGTTGAATTATCTTTGGAAATTTTGCTGTTTTAGGGCGTCAAAATGAAGGCCTGGAAAAATCCCCAGTAGTAGATGACGTTGACGATTACGTCCCCCATAGACCTAAAAATTACCATTACGATGAAGCAACTGGTAAAATTGTTTATCACACCAAGCCCGCAGTTGTGGAAAAAGAGGAAGAACTTGAATATGAAGAAATAGAAGTTCCTGTAGCAAATTCCGATACAAATAATAAATTGAATTATGACTAATTTTATTTTAGGATACTCCTGGAGTTTATCTGGAAAGAGCTGAGGATGCTACGCATCCAACACCAGAAAAAGTAACCACCAAAGAATTACTAGCAACCGCAACGCCGCCACCAGATGGAAAAGGATTACTTGATTTTGTTGTCAAATTAAAAAATAATCCCAATTACAAGTTCATTCCAGATCCAACTACTCCAAAACCAGGTAAAATCCTACTTAGAATCAACATTATTCTGATAGTAATTTTCCAGGTACCGTGACAACAACTGAAGCTTTTGTCACTGTGGACCCTAAAAGCACTGATCCTCCAGAATTTTTGAGTATTTTATCCAAAGTTAAGGCGAATAAAAACTATAAACCGATTGAAGATCCCAAAGAAAACAAAAACAAAGTTAAATCTACAACAGCAGAACCTGAAAGTGAAGAGGAATACGTGGATGAAGAAGATGAAGAAGATGCTCCAAGTAAGTCACTGTTAGTTACCACTAACTTTCAATTGTGTCAGATGTTGATGGTAACTAACAGCAATTTTTTAGACCTAAAAACTCACAAACGTACTAGACGACAGACAATTTTCAATATCGGTGACTTTTTGCCAAAAATCCAGACTCCCATAAGTTCCAACATACCGGAAATTTTTTTTCAGAAACACATTGTAGAGCGAATTTTTCCTAGACTTAGATACATGACTTTGTACGATATCGCTAGAGAATATTATAAAAAGACCGATTTGTATAAGTTTCTTAAAAGTGAGTAAAATGTTGAAAAAACATCCTGACGATCATGATTCTCAGACAAACTTTAATAGAGAATAAGAAATATACCTATATGGAATAAAACATATCCAAAGTTGAATTTAAATAAAAAACAAATTATTTCTGCACTCTTTACAAAACGATTGATTTTACATTATTGCATGTCAACCTCAGGTAAATTAATTTTAACAAGGTTATCGGGGCACGACAAATATAAATACATTTTGTTTTGTATGGAAACGTTTCAATTCTTATTTCTAGGACACGTGCAAAATTCACCTGGAGGCCAAACCCAAGACTTGGGAAATATCCAGATATTCGACATTGGGGATTATTTGCCTAAAATGAAAAGTTTCACTCCAAGAACCACAATTGACTATTCCAAATATAAAACTATTGAGAGGCCACATAGTAAGTCTCGAGAAAAAGAAAAAGAAGAAGAAGAAGAAGAAGTTAGGAGGCCTAGCTTCAATCGTGGAGGCCAACAGTTTTCAGAAAGGAACATAGAGGAAAAGGAGAGCATTGAAAGACCTACTATTCATTATAAAAAAGAACCAGTTTCAACAACAACAACCACAACAACAACGACTGAGAAAATTATTCAATTTAGACGAGGTACAAGACCCTCAACTCAAAGAACAACAAATTCAGAATCAACAGAACAAACTACAACCAGACGTAGCAGAAGACCATCAGGAACCACTAAAAAGCCTACAACATCTGCTGAAGATATGCAAACGACTGAAAAAGTAAGTCCTAAAAAAAACGCAAAATGTTTATAATATGGATTATTTTAGGTTGCTAGAGTCTATCCAGAAAATTACTCAACTGAAAGGCCTTATTCCGATCAGCACGATAAAGCAAAAAGAGTTTATAGAAGAAGACCAGTAAGAATACGATACACCACAGAGAGAGATTCTGAAGAGGAGGAAACTATAGATAAAATAGTCAGAAGAAGCTTGGATATTGAAGCTAATGGTACCTGATTTCTAAGAAAACGCACTTTTTTTTGTAAATATTGTAAAATACACCTATTTTGTTAATATATTGTTTTTTTACACTCAATTGTACATACACCTATTCAGTAAATTTAAGGGTAAGTGGTTAAAATTTAAAAAAAAAAAAAACAAAGAATATTTTTCTTTTTTCTATAGAACAACCAGAATTTGAAGAAATTTACACGGAAATCAAAGACGAAATTATTGATGATGATGATGATGATGATGCCAGTGAGAGTAAGCAAAATGTTGAAATTATTGACACGAACTACGATAGGATGCAAAAACATGGTGGAAACTATAAAAAAGAAACTAAAGAAGATGTTAAAGAAAGTGGTAAAGTTGAAATTTTGAATCAGAAATATGACAAAACTGCAAAAGATGGAGGGAACTATAGAAAAATACCTGATGATGACGTGGAAATTGTAAACTATGACAAAAATGAAAAGCATGGTGGTAATTATAGAAAACCGTCAGAAGAAGAACAGGAAGATATAGAAGATACTGATAATGAAAGAGAAACAAATCTTGACCAAAACGTCCAGCCAAATAACGATGCAACTATCGAAAGAAATTTTAATCCCCAACAAATCACTCCAAAAGGATTTGAAACAAAAAATACAAGAAAAATCAAAATAAGAAGAAGACCGACAACTACAACTACACAACCATCCAAATCAGTACCGAGACTAACCGATGTAGTTCCCAAACCCGATCATTTCTATTCTGATCCTCAACTACCAAGACAAATTAATAATCTAGGATCAGAAAAACCGGATTTAGCTTCTGAGGAATTGAGCGAGGTGACTGAAAATGGTGATGTGGCTGGATCAGAGAAACCTGTTTCAGAAGGATTAGAACGGCCTCATACAAGAAGGAGACGCATTAAATTACGTAGAAGAAATTTTGATATAGAAAATTCAACTAAAAAACCTTTATATATTAAGGATCCAAGTAAAAGACTTTACTATTATGTTCCAGTGTAAATAATGTGATAAGTAGACTTTATTTGTTTTTTTTTTCTAGTAAAATTAAATAAACCCTTTCGAAAGGCAATTTGTTGCATTTATTTATGATTATCCCAGAGAAATCGTGTTAAAATAATGGTTTACGTTAAGCCTGGAAGAGATAATATATTATTCTCGTATAATCCTTCGGGATCTGGGTTAAGGGATTACGCTTCCAAAAGGAAGGACATGTATGTGTCCTTATTGTCTTGTTGACTGCCTCAGCGGCTAATCTTATAAACGTCGTTTCGGTTTTTCATGGCCTCAATTTACTTTCTCGAGTCTCGATTATTTCATTTAATACTGAAAATATTAGGAAATTTACCTTGATGTTTTTCCATCAAATAAATTGAGCAGAAATCCTGAAATGTATAGGCATAAAGTTGTGTATGTGTATTGTGTGTGTTGGAGGTGTCAGTTCCAGTTTAGTAAAAGATGGTGAGGTGTCTCTTCTCCGTCTTCACAGAATCTGCAGGTGCCACCTTCTTCTAACCTCAACTTCTATAGGTGTTTCTCTCAGGACAATGCAGACTCCTGAGAGAAACCCGGTTAGAGTCTTGAGATTTTTCTTGCTAAGGTTGACCAGGGTGCGGGCACCCAGAGGAGGGTTACATTATTTTGTTTTCCCAGCTCATTTAGTTTTTGTAGACATTCCTATACTGTCTTAGAATTGATGATTGGGGATCTCAATGCTTTCATAGCTGCTTGGTTGTGAGACATTATTACAATCTCTCGTTCCCATAACTTCTGTTCAGGTTGAATTTCACGCATCTTCAGATCGCATGAAGTTCCGCTTGAAATATACTTGGTGATTTCCCCATTGGCTTTGTAGCCCAAATACTTCGGCTCCAGTTCCCTTAGCAGTTTTGGAACCTCTGTGTACATTTTGATGGTGTTTGCTTTAAGGGATTGGATAGATTCCACGTTCCGTCGGTTTTTTGTACTTGGTTCGATGGGAAAGTTTTTCTCGCAACTGAATTTATCACCAATCACGTCTTTTGGTACATCCATGAGGTTTGCACAGTTTGGGAGAGGAAAAGTTCTGCCAAGGTGCGTTTCCCTTTGTAGACCTATCTTCTCCAGTCTGAGACATGTTCCACTGGCAACCTGCTTCACTATTATGTGGATGACCTGGTAAGGATGGTTACTTGAAGTCGCCTGTCGCCTGGTATCTTCAAGGTTCCGTTAGGTACCTACTACAATACAGAAAATAAAATCAGGAACGAAATATTCCTCTTGCTTCAGAATTAAGTTAATTTCCATAGTGGGTTTCTGAGCAATTATGTTAATTTCTTTTCTCTCTGTTCTAAGCTCATTGTTCAAAGAAGATATAGCTTCTGATGCCCTCTCTTGAGGGGTTTGAGTGCATCAGAGAGCGAGTCCATTTTCCAAGAGAAGGATTCAGAATACTTACTTTCAGCTGTAATTTTTTGGAAAATGTTCTGCTATAAAGAAAATATTCTTGCTATAGGAACCTACGTATAAAAGTGCTACAAAAATAGCTGATATAAATTTCAAACAAAGTCGCCGCTCACATTGTTGGAACGTCAAGATTAAAATCTCCTTTCCAAGTTTTCCAAACTATTTTCCTTTGTTCCCGAAAAAAAGTACATGACAAGAATCCTGGACATTGTCTTTTGCACTATTGTTTGCAACACAATGCATTATGAATAAAATATAATACTCGACGTACACATTTCTATTTTTCTAAATCAGGTAGGTATATTTATACTCCATGAAAATGATAATTATTCAGTTACAATTATTCTAACTAACGTATTTTTGTTGGGATTTAGCTATAATTATGCCTTTTCAAATAAACTTTCAATGAATGACCTTTTCCTAAGGATGACAAAATAAAAAAAGGACAAAATAATAATCGTCCATGTCTGGGTTACCCCATTTTATTTTCGCAGCCTGGTTTCATGAAACCATTATTGTGTCGAAGCTCGTGATAGGGACTCATTTTTCAAAAGGAACTTGGACAGTTTTAATTCTCAAAAAATCCCCAGAAAGCTGGTTATAAAATTTTATGGCGTGGCAACGTTTTACGGTCCGCCGACATCTGGAAATTGCTTAAATAAAATAAGATGATGCAATGAAAAACCATTATTTTTATTATTTTTCATGAAACTGGGGAATTATTGATTCAAGAGGGGAGTTCTGAATAATGTATTAGATTTTCTTGACTCATCAAAGGGCTAGGAAAGCCTCTCATAGCAAGTTCTAGATTTGAGACGCTTGTTCCTGGACGCTCATTTCTCTATAGAGACTAAGACAAAAATCAAACCTATGAGAGATGATTTGTGCTTCTTTGGATATAAATTGCTGAGAGTTTTCTAGCTTTCAGAAACTAAAAATCAATCAAAAGCAAACCTTCTTATACTATACAATACACTATACAGCAATTTCTAACTTTCAAATACAAAAATCATATTTGAGATAATAGTTCTGCTTCTAGCTAGATTAAAGGCTAAAAATTGTCATGGAATAAGAGTTTCTTGGTAACTTGAAATGTGACAAAATTTAAGATGTTATGTAAGAATTGATATTTTGGTAGCGTGAATAATTCTGTCATATCTTAAAATTTCGTGGTAAATTATGCTGAAAAGTAAATCTGATCTGAAGCAGTAAATAACAGTTTTCTGAACCGGAGGCAATCTGAACGAAATCTTCTTTCTTCTCTTCTTGGAGTGGTTATTGAGAGGTTATTAGAGACTCAAAATTAGTACCACTTACCATGTTTCTGCTGAAGTTGGAAGCACAAAAGAGAGTAATTTCCCAATTAAAAGATTTAGTTCCAAATTTGACACTTTATTGGAATTGAAATTAATAATCACCTCATTGAAGAGCTTTTACTAAAACACCGGGCGGCAGATGAACTAGAAGATGAGAAACGGATCGAGAACTCGTTGAGACATTGCGACTTAAATTTCTGGCGATAACTAGTAGTAAAAACTAGTGGCGAATTGGCGATAACTAAAGTTAACTGGCCTCAACATCTGCTTAAACAAGCGAAAGGAACCACCCTGTGGGTACTACTTTAGAAGCCCAGTGGCTACCCCTTACTACCGGGCTTGCGAGAATCGACAAAGATCTCCAACCCTCTTAGCTTTCAGCGATTCGCTGAAAGTATCCTCTGGCTTCTTGTTGATTTCCCATTGGTTCTCAAGTTTATTCAATCTTCCCCATTCAAACTGCTCCACCCTGTGATCCAGTTTGATGGCTTTCCAACAGAGTTCACTAGTTACATGTGGTCAAATTCCTAATTGAACATTTATTGTTTTCCCTTTTAATTGAAAACCTTTTCCTTTTCTAATTACCTAATATGCTTTCTATTGTTATTTCTTAATTTCTAACCCAGTCAACTGAATAAAATAAAAGTTCCCTAATTTCTAACTTAATTATCAAGGGTGTGAAATGAACTAAACTATCCTCTATTAATTTAATAAAAATCAAAAAAAAAAAAAAAAACAAAAGAAAAAAATATCTATTTTACTTATTTATGAAAAAAACTCACTAAGCCCGCATACGGCGCCATCTCTTATAACCGATACCAAGTTTACCGTCACATTTTCATTGCAAACCATGTGGATTTTATTGTCACACACTTTGCACAAAAACAATTTGAGAAAAGCACTTTATTTTTAATTGTTCTTCACAGTAAAAATGTCCAAAAATAAATAGAATGACAATGTTTTAATTGTGTATTTTATTTTGTTGTTGGTTCGTTCATTCCGAAAGAGCGCGAATTGGTCTCCCTGTCATTTCTTGACGCTTGACCATTGACGTTCTGTGGCTAAGTTTCGTTTTTCCTCTTAGGCATCTCTTGACAGCCGTGTTCCGTAGCGACTGTTCGGAGTGCTCCGTCCGGCTGGTGTCGAGTGGCAGAGAGCCAGGTTATGAGTCCGTCACAACCATTTTGTATACGGCGCCATATATGATAGGTACCTAGAACGAAGCTCGCCGTTGTGCGGTAATTTCATTGCAGATACAGTAGAACAGAATACTGCTAAGGAACTCGAGCTATTCCAAACAGAACTATTCCACTATTCCGATCAGATAAAGTGGTGCAGAAAGAGTAGATCAGATAAAATAGTGCAGATACAGTAGAACAGATGGAGTATTGCAGTGCAGATAAAATGAAACAGGGCTGCGCTGGAGATTTTTTTTGTTTTCTTTACATTTTTTGAACATTCTTGTGCCTGAGTTTATTTATTTGGTGGTAGACTTAATAAGAATAATGCCCACAAGATGCCTAAAAAGGGATGATGTAAAATTTTAATTTTAGGTGACTTCTGATCCAGAGAGTAAACATTAATTTTCTTCAACCAAAGCCAAATTCACCATCGAAAAAAACTGATTTTAATTCAGTTAATAAAAAAGCATTGACAATTTTACATTGTATTGCCAACATAATGTCATTTTGACTTTTATCTTTAAAAAAAACGCACTTTAGATACGTTAACACAACATTTAATAGGTATTTAATAATTCAGAGGAGGAACGAAGTTCGCCGGGTCAGCTAGTCTTAATTATAACTAAGCATTCGACTATCTTACGGTTAACATTTCACCCAAGTAATAACCCTTGATAATTATATTTTTATACAATTTGTTATTGTATCTCAAAAATCCAGCTCATGTAATTATTGCTTCGCAACACACACACATGCTTCGAATATACATAATTCTTTCCTGCGGTATCAGTTAACTGACATTTGGGTTCGTCATAAAATGTGGGTATTCAGAAGATTATCCTTGACTTTGAATAAATTATTTCAACCATATGGGATCTGGTTCAGTCGATAGATTAGTTCAAAGTTTAGTGTTTATCTAGGAAAACATAAATTTTGCCTATATATTTGTCAATTTCGCATTACAGCAATAATAATCTTGAAGCTAAAAAATTCGATACTTTTCTGACTTTCAAGTGATTTTTACCCGATTTTGTTACAAGAAGAATGTAAAGTTACAATATCAATAAATATTTGTTACTTTTTTTCAGATTCTTTCTAACAATGTGAAAATTCTCTCCAGTCAAAAATGAGTACGCAACCACAATGGAAACGGTTACCCGGTATACAATACATTTTCGATCCACGATGGGGCATGGACTACGATTTTACCATCGGTTCAACCCAGAAACCTCGAACCAAGGACAACCATCATCACAGCACCAGATGGCCCACGGTGCAAAAGCAATTTGTAGCGGAACAAAGTGGGACGGAACAATCTGGAACAGGTAATAAATGGGTAACTAATCCTCGGATATTAATGCATTTTCATATGCGTCAATAATTCATAGATTCTTTAAACTAGTACAAAACCAATAAAGCCCGGGGGAAAAGTTATTTCCCAAAATTTATTATTTCATGCAAAAATCTCGTGGGCGTCTGAACTCTGTGCATGACAGGTTATTATGTTGCCTAAATAGAAGAGGCAAAATACTCCCAAAAAAAAATATACATTACTTCAATTGAAGCCGGCGTCTGCAAGTAGTGAATAAAAACACGTGATTGGATTCTTATTTAAGGAACAAACACGTGATGCACAAACTATGCAAATCACGTGGCAAAATACCTTTTGCCTAGGAATACATATCTACAATTCAAAAACAAATCAATCAAAATAAATAATTCTATTCCAGATGTTATAAATCCATATTTACTGGCTGCTGGAGCGGCTAGTAGCTTGTTGCTCATCCTAGTACTTCTCGTCTACCTAGTAGCTAGAAAAAGACGACAAAAGAAAACTGACGAAGAACAAAATGCCCAAAGCATATTGGTTTATCCTTCGGCAAATGGCGAAAGCCAACCGCAATTTTTGTAAGTTAAAATTATAATGCATGCTGAAAAACTACTAAATTATAATGGAATTTGCCTCCGCGCCAAATTGCCATTTTGGATTTAAGCTCAATTTACTGGTTGTGCACACGTATATATGATTTGTTATGTACGAATTGATGGATATAGTTGGATTTGTCCTGGCTTAAATAAATCAAGATTTATTGTATTTTGGCTCATATTTTTTCTATTCAGCAAACAAAACAGATGCAAGTTTGTCAGTATTGAAAACTCTGTGCACGTTATTCAGCCTCAGGGACAATTTTATCTCGCACAGCTGGTTTTATTGTTGCCACAAATAAGGGTCGCCCTTTTATTTACCTTTCGAAAGACCCCAAAGTTGTTCCTGCTGAGGCCGATAAATTTTATTTTTGTTGGTTGAAGAACTTCTTACCCACATCACTCTGTAAAATAGCACACAATTATTGTTGTGAAAAGAAAGTCTCGGAAAAATCTTTTCAACGAGGGGGGTCTTGAGCAAAACAGTCATAACTACATTAAGGATCTCTTTGTTGTAGTGATTTCAAGTCCTTAAGTTGCCTTTCAAAGTTAAAGTGCGGAATGGTTCGTCAGAGGAATAGAATAGACGTGCCTGACCGAGAATTATTACGTTCCTAGGGAATAATGGATGCATTAAAGCAAATAGAATTTTATGAACCGCATCCAATTTGAATCTATTCCAGGGGGATATTTTCTTGAGCAAGAACTCCATCCTTTCTCACAAACATGGTAATACGATTTGTTTGCCATTTTTCTCCCTTCCTACGAACGAAAAATGAAGAATATTGGAAACATAATATAATCACCTTGATTTGCGGAATATTTAGGGATTTTTATAATAAACAGAAATGTAAAAATGTAAAAATCTGACGAACGAATACCCTAATTTTACACTGTAAAATCGTAGCAGAGCTTTTCCATTTATCAATTTTTGTCCATCGATACCTGCAAAGTTCAAAGGGCTTTCAAAGTTTAAAAGTATAGCAGTAATAAATTTAATCTTTGTCCCGTTAGAGTTCGCAAAATTCCGCTACTAACTTTGGATTTCCAACAAAATAGGGATTCCTTTACAAACTGGCTACACATTTCATTTTACTAAGCACGATTTACATAAGCATGACTCGAGGAAACATGGGTCCATAAAAAAGCACTTTTGTGTTCAAAGTTTGCATAATTTATCGGATCTGTTACGTTTTCTCAACCTAAACTTTTTTTACTCCCCTGTCTCAAGCAGTAAAATTTAGTCACAAGCAGATAAATCTTTCTGCAAAGTGCCTCATGATAAATTAAAAAGGATTCTCTATTAAAAGCCACGTGCCTCTCTCTAACTTTGCATACTTAGTTCGGATTTCAACATCCAATCCACTTAATTAATTTTAATTTAGCTGCATTAAAAATTCATTCCGGATAATTCAAGCTGTGCAGCATTTCAAGTAGTGAAGTAAAAGAAAACCTTTAGAATACAGGCTTTAATAAACTCAGAATATTACTATATTTATTTGATTCACTTAACAAACACCTTGGTAGGTAATTACCTACATGTAATGGTATACAGAGCATATAACTAACATTGACGTCGGTTCAAGGAATAGTCATTTCTTAATGGTGTTACAGGTATCCCATCAAGATTTCCAGCATCAGAATCGTTGTAATTGAGTTGTTGAATTGGATCTGGTTCACTACATTGGACGTTGTTTTGATCATTAGGTTCGTTTCTATATGTTCTACATTCTATATTCATATCTTCATTCGACGTTTCTTGATGTAGAGCAGAATCTCCTCTTGGCGAAAGGTGGCGTGCTGAAACATGTGGTTTCTTCACCATTAGCTAATCTGATATGAGCATAATCAGACTTAGCTTCTAGGAGTTACACTTCTTCCACGATCGATTCATACTTGATGCTTTGTCTTACATGCTTCCTTAGGAAGACTGGACCAGGAATACTCAACCAGGTTGGAATTGAAGAACCATTTGTAGATCTTATCGAGGATGACAGAACATTCTTTCATGCGGTGAACAATTTGTTGCTCTACATATCAAAGACCTTATTGAATATAAAGAGTCGACCAGTACCTGCTGCCAATATCTTATATCCATGTTATTCATATTTCTCTGAAAACAAGCAACGCCATTAAACACTCCAAAAGGAATTCGAGTAAATTGGTATACATTTCTACATGCTTCAGAGGCAGTGTATATACGTTCATGCTCTAGAATTGGTATCTGGTGATATGCACTATGAAGATCTATCGAACTAAAATATTTATACTGAGAAATTTGGTGACCATATCTTCAATTCTGGGTAACGGGTACGCATCCAAATGTGTATATCTATTTATGGTCAATGAGTAGTCTATAACCATTCGCTTCTCATGATTTTCATTATTGGTCACTAGCACCTGGGATCTCCACGGGGAATTGCTTGGCTCGATTATTTTCTCTTCTAAAAGTCTTTGGATATGGTTCTACCTTAGTGATAGTCAAATTACATATAGAGATCGGTGGTTTGCTTCCTCCGAAACTGAATTCTACTCCTGAATGTTATTTGAGAATATCATGTCCAATTATAATATCTGCACATAGTTCTTCTAAAATGTAAAGTCTGATATTTTTATTGATATTATTGATATTGTCAAATATCTTTATATCAGCTTTGCAAAATCCACGTAGGTACCAGAGAGATAAAATTTGAAGGTGCCATTGTAACATTCAGTGTTTTAGGAAAAATTTTCATATGTTTTTCATATGCAACTGTACCGGAAATATAACTATCCGAACTTCCTGTGTCGACCAGTGCCTTGGCCATAAATCCATTGATTTGCATTTCGATTAGGGCTTTTGATAAACTGACAGGAGAAGTGATTCCACATATCCCCATCAAAAGAGCAGCATTTGTTATCTTAGTAAAATGGGGTTTTTTTGATTTTTCCATTGACAGACCTGAAATGGTGAAATGACCTTCCTTTCCGCAGTTGTAACAAATAGCATTAGAAAAGACAACTGCATAGAAAAATGATTTATAAATTCTTAAATAGAACATCTACTGGATTCATCCCCTCCACTTTTTTTTTAGTTCGTACTTACACCGCTGTGCGCCCATATCGCCGTTTCCTAACGTCCCCCTCGTTTTTATTCTAATCTGTGACTTCACCGATGAGCTAGCTATCTTTGTTTTGTGAATAGAAAATGACAATGACCGACATAGAATGGTGGATTCATCGGTAGAATTTGATGTAAACACAAGCGTCTGACGGCTCCCATGAACTAAACAAACACACTGAAACGGTAACTGCATCATTGTTCCTACGCAAGGGTTTGTGCCAGGAAGGACAACAAACAAGAGGGATTTGTATCTTTCTCTACACCATGGCGTTTATTGAGAACAGCTGTTTGAATTGTTTGGATCATTGAGGTTAGGAAGATGAAGAAGCTCTTCTTCCTTTTACAACAAGCGTAATGAGTGCGAGCGAGACAATAATCCCTCCGTATTGCTGGGTTGCATACATCAAAATTTGGCACACTAGCATAAAGCAGTGCGCCCGTTCAAGAAAATTTGTTCAGTTCAATGATTGCAAACTATCATCAGAGTAAATTTTCGATTGTTCCCGGTTCAAACGCCTGGACAACTGAGAAGCCTACATACAATGTTATGACTTTTGACAATTGACGAGTTAATTTTCAGGGCCACCTACGATTGTTATGACATTTTTTGTCAATTGACAGCCTTGTGATTCAGATTGAGGCCTACAACAGCAACGTTGCTACATTTTAACGGTAATTTTGGGGCATTTGTAATTGTAAATGTAAAACGTTGACAATTGTCAATAATTGACATCAAGAGAAGATTTTTATGATGTTGTAGGCTGTAGTATGTTGTAAGCTGACTAAAATTTTTGACTTTTGGCAACACTGTAACGCTAGAGGATTGAAATGGCGTCTTTTTTTTAATCATGAGCCCGAAGGGCGAGAGTGTTTTCAATCTTGAGCCCACAGGGCAATAAAGAAACGCCATTCTGTATCGACTTTTGAAGAAAACAAGGCCTATCTACTTTGAAATTTCAATTTTTTGACGGTTGTTGTATCATGAGCAGTGCTGCCATATGTTTTTTTTCAAATCTCGTGCCTGAAAGGCCGGTGTTATTTTTATTACGTTACGAGCCCGCAGGGCCGGAGTTATACGAGCCCGAAGGACCGCAGTTATACGAAGTCGTTCATTGTCAGCTGATTTTAATACTCCGGCCCTTCGGGCTCGTATAATTTTTGAAACAAAAAGACGCCATTTTGTATTGACTGTCAAAGAAAACAAAGCCTACTTTAAAATTTCAATTTTTTCACGTTTGTTGTATCATGATTAGTGTTGCCATATGTTTTTTTTTTTCAAATTTCGAGCCTGAAAGGCCGGTGTTATTTTAATTAGGTTACGAGCCCGAAGAGCCGGAGTTATAAGAGTCCGTTCATTGTCAACTAATTTTAATACTCCGGCTTCGGGCTCGTAATCTTTGAAACAAAAAGACGCCATTTTGTATCGACTTTTAAAGAAAAAAAAGCCTAATTTAAGATTTCAATTTTTTGACGTTTGTTGTATCATGAGCAGTGTTGCCATAAGTTTTTTTCTCGGCTTTTTCAAATCTCGAGCCGGAAAGGCCGGTGTTATTTGATAACGTTACGAGCACGAAAGGCCGGAGTTATACGAGTCCGTTCATTGTCAACTGATTTTAATACTCCGGCCCTTCGGGCTCGTATAATCTTTGAAACAAAAAGACGCCATTTTGTACTGACTGTCAAAGAAAACAAAGCCAACTTTAAAATTTCAATTTTTTCACGTTTGTTGTATCTTGAGTAGTGCTGCTATATGTTTTTTTCTCAAATTTCGAGCCTGAAAGGCCGGTGTTATTTTAATTAGGTTACGAGCCCGAAGGGCCGGAGTTATACGAGTTCGTTCATTGTCAACTGATTTTAATACTCCGGCCCTTCGGGCTCGTAATCTTTGAAACCAAAAGACGCCATTTTGTATCGTCTGTCAAAGAAAACAAGGCCTACTTTGAAATTTCAATTTTTGACGTGTTGTATCATAAGCGCAGTATTGCTATATGTTTTTTTCAAATCTCGAGCCTGAAAGGCCGGTCTTATTTTAATTACCTACGTTACGAGTCCGAAGGGTCGAGGTTATACGAACCCGAAGGGTGGAGTTATACGAGCTCGTTCATTGTCAACTGATTTTAATACTCCGGCCCTTCGGGCTTGTAATTTTTGAAACAAAAAGACGCCATTTTGTATCGTCTGTCAAAGAAAACAAGGCCTAATTTGAAATTTCAATTTTGTATCGTCGTTGAGTGTTGAGTTTGTTGTTTTGAATTGTAAGTTTGTCAAAGAAGTAAGTGCTGAAGTCCATCACAAGCAGCCGGTTTAAGAGTTGTTGTCACAATGTGTGACCAGGCGGCAAAAAATAAATCGGCCATAAGCGAATTGCAGCGACAGAGACCATAGATATCTACATCAAAAACAATACAGAAACAGAAATTTTGGTTTTGTTGGAGATAAACAACCTAGAAATCGTGCCACTGTATGATGCTCCTCACATGCTCAAGGGAATCAGAACTAACTTTGAACAAATCTGACGGCCATTTAAATGGAAAAATGGACATTTTCAAAAAGCAGATTGGAAGGTGTTTCACTCAGCTCGTGAGTCAGATATACTATATACCAGATCATCTAGAATCTAGATTAAAGACTATTTTATTCATTAAGTGATTCTCACATAAATATATGAAAATAAAATAATAGCTATTTAAACAATAAGTTACGAAATGAGCGTCTCTTAGGCACGCGACGTGAAAATTGTCCGACGAGACAAAGCCGAGTTGGACAACACTTCGAGTGACTAAAAGATCCTTTCGTAACGTATTGTATACAAGATTTTTTCTACTGGCTTTTCATAATAAAAAAACACAATTTAATTTCATGTGAATAAGCCGATTACGCACAAAATCTTTGTTACCTGCTTTTGCTTGACACCTGAAACTTTTCATGCGATTTTTTTTCAAGATCCGACATCAATAATTAAAATCCTAGAAAGTAGGTAACTACAAGAAGTTCCGTTTTGAGTAACCCAAACGTTCAATTCAATAATTTAATTTTTAATATCCATAATAAATAGAGAACAAAATTCAAATCTGTGTTTAGTGTGTTTTTTATTCCTGAACAATGGATGACACTTTTAGGCACTAGTGCTTAAAAATCACTTTTACGCACCTAAAAGTCACTTTTACGTACTGAGTGCTTAAAAGTAACTTTCACGCACTCAGTGCTTAAAAGAATGTCGTTTTGAAACTAAAATGACAATCGAAAAGTTGTTATTATGAAACGTCAGTAGAAAAATAACATTTTAGTTTATGAATGCCTTATTTTGACATAATTGAAATTTTAAACCAGTCATTTAAAACCGAGATTTAAACGGCCCGCCAAACATTAGTTCTATGACTACAACGCTATGGCAGCACCATCGGAAATGTCATTTAGCGACTACAACAGAAGTGAGCGTCCTATATCAAGAATATAAATCACTTTTCTATGGACACCACGATTCTATGTCGGTCATTGTCATTTTCTATTAACTAAACAAAGATAGCTAACTCATCGGTAAAGTCAGAGATTAAAATAGAAATGGCGATATGGGCGCACAGCGGTGTAGTCACGAACTAAAACAGAAAGTGGAGGGGATGAGTCCAGTGAATGTTCTATTTAAGAATTTATAAATCACTTTTCTATGGCATATAACCTTCATATAACTAACATTGACAAACTGTTAAGGTTGACAAAAATAAAGGTAACAAGATATAAAATACAGGACATTTCGAAAGTTTCTGAATATATAACAAGTATTTTTAATATAGTTTAAATTTTTTTTTCATATTTGATTTAGGACGAAAGAAATCCATTTTAGCCTTCCTCCCCTACGCAGCAATTCACTAGGAGACCTAGAATGTCAACAGGACAATCCTTACGACTCAGATGTGGATTCTGATGCTCTTCTGGTACCTGGACAGTCTCATAATCATCGAAGCAACTCATTTAGTAAGTTTTGTATTAGGAAAATAATGTGCTGCTTAAAATTAGAGCCAACTTGGACAGATTTAAAGAAAATTGAAGCTATCGATTCTCTTTATTGGATAAAAAAATCTCGTCTTTATTGAGTTAGAACGGATTGCAGATGTTGTGTTATTTTTATTGCACGAAATAAAAGGGAAAACCGTGATAATGGGAAATAATTTATTAAGAGAAAAACATGTTTTTTTTCTGTATGTCATTTAATGGATTTACTGAAAGCAGAAATATTATATTTTTCAGGTTCAAAACATGTATTATGTATTTTTATTATTGGACCCTAGAGGATGCTTGGGCGAGCTTTTGATGAGAAAAGTTTTCACTGCTACACTTTTTCTACACCATTGAATTGGATCGATTTCAAAACTTAATTTCACAATTATTATTTCCAGGTTGTTATGGTTTGGGTGTAATCGAACCGGCGCTATACAAAAGCACCTTGGATTTGGACGAATTATCTTGGCCAGAAGGTCACATAGGCCGCATATGGTTCTCCTTAAGATACGAACCTTCAACGGAAAAGCTTCTGGTGTCTCTTTTGAAAGCCAAAAACTTACCTTCTAGGAGTGTGGGAACGATAAACAATTGCGATCCTTTTGTAAGGTAAAAAAAAACATTTTATACGAAAATCCTTGGAATCGTTAAGCGAGATTTAAGCTTTATAGAATCACAGTGGGTATTATTAGCAGGGGGTCTGGAATATAAATTTTCCAGAATTGCTAACGGGGTTTACCCGCGCGCTTTGCTTTGGGCAAATGATATTCCCAACAAATATTGACTTTATAAGGGAATTCAATGTCGGATGTCGGTATAGGGTTTCAATGCATTTTTAAAGGATTTTTGGAAATATGTATACTTTACTTTGAGTCAATAACACGATAAATTCAATATTGATTTTTCAGACTTCACCTGATGCCAGACGAGAGACGTTATTTGCAATCCAAACAGAAAAAGAAGACTTGCAATCCCTACTTTGACGAAACCCTTGTTTTCCAGGTAAGAGACTTTACTGTCAAACAATTCATAGAAAATCCACTTCTGGATTGTATTAACTTAAGTATTACAAAGCCTAATCTCTGACTTTTTATTTGTAAAAGGTATCTCAGAAAGATATGGTGGATCACATCCTGAAGTTGACTGTAATCGACGCCGGAAGGACGAAACGTCACGCCGAAATCGGTCACGTGACTTATCCCTTAAGAGAATTGGAAATTGGGGACGGATCCGAGCAACAACTTTTCAAAATGGATTTAGCTAAGGTACCTAATCAGTTTATTTAAGTTACCCAAACCAAATTATTAACAATTAATTATTCACAGTTTGAATAAGTATTACATAACTAGAATAAATGGTTTTTTTAATGGACAACAACAAATAAGATTTGAAAATTAGCGGAAAGATGTGATTTATAAATAATTAAATAATCGTAAATGAAAAAAAAAATTGTTTTCCTGTTGCGAAGCAGCAGAGAAAATCCTTGTTTTAATTTTTAGGTCTTATTTATTATAAGAAAAATCCTCTTATAACTTATCATGCTCTGTTTCATTCCAATATTTTATATGGTATTCTAGCGTAGACTTAAGTCTTCATCAAACAAAAAAAAGGTGATAAGGATAATCGCAAATATTCTCTCTAAGGGAAAATTCCAAGATAGCCGGATAATTACTGGAAACCTGTCACGTCCAAGACACAAAAGTACTTGAAAGGAGGTTTCTTCTCGAGCATAAGAAAATAAACAGCCTTTTTTGGCTAAAATTAGACGGTGTTTTCGATGATTTTAGGATAAAATGTCCCAGACATTATCAAACAGATTTCAATATCATTGTATTGTACAGGGGTTTCCCTCGGGGTTTTGATAAATTGACACATTTTGCAGGTAAATATCTCTAAAACAAGAAAAGATAACGGCATGCGGTAACTAAGATCCACTCGTGGTTTGTTATGTTCGATAATAAGACCCTACTCAATAAATCCTGAAAGTTTGAAGTACCTACTTTTGATTGCTTAAAGTATTTTTCAAAAAAGGTGATTTAATAGAAATTTTACATAACTTTCTTGCATCTAAATGAGAAAAAATTCATAATTCCATTTCTGAGCCTGAAATTTATTCGCGGTTTGTTTTGTTTGATAAATTCTTAAAAATCAGGGATTTCAGAAATAATTAAAGATTTATAATATAACCTGCAAAAATGACGATCAGCTGTGCCAAGTGCAAAACAAACTGTTGATGAAGGAATCAAAAACCGATGTATTCGGATATTCCTGTGATTGTTTCAGAAGAGTTTATTGTAAAAACTGCGCTAATATTAGTGCTACAGAAATAAGGGCACTAATAATGGTCCTCAAGAGTAGTAGGTACTCTTCTTCTGCGAAGACTGCAAAATCTCCATTAAACAGGCAAAATTCGCCTTACGATGGAAAAAATGCGGATAAAAATATTGCAATATTGCCTATTTGACTTCCAATAGAAAATACCTTAATATTTATTTGTTACACACCTACATTTATAAGGAAAAAGTTTTATTTAAAAACGCTGCGCGCACGCCTATGACAGGTAGCATAAAGCTCGAAATGAATGGCGTTATTCCCCCTTGCCCTTCAGACGTCGTAGTGCTAGACTCGTAAGGCGAACTATACCAATACTAATGATATACAGAGAATCAAGAAGGACATTGGGGAGTTGAAGGATGCCATAAAACCTGGAGGCATTACCTATGCAGATGTGGTTAAAACTTTTGAAAACAATCACTACAAGAAGAATTTAAAGAACTGGAAAATAGGTTGAAGGAAAACGCTAGGAAGCAAATAACAGATCTGCCATCAAGCACAAAACGTCCTCAACTTTGGTCTACCGGAAATTCAAAAATTCACTAATAGAGATAGAATAGAAAAAGATAAAAACGGTGTATATACCGTTCTAAAAGAGATAAATCCGAACATCATCAACATGAATAATCTCAAGATAATGAGAATAGGAAAATACGAAGTGCAGAAAGTGAGACCGATAAAGTTATATTTCCAAATGATGAAGAAGCAAAAACTGCCTGAAATAAATAGAGTCTATATCAAGGGAGAGCGAGACCAAACAGAAGCACAGAGAAAGTATATGAAAGAATTAGGTCAGGAATTAGAAGAAAGGAAAACAATACCTGAAAATAAAGTATGTTCATGGAGTGCCCCAGCATCGTCACCTTAAGGATTCAACCGTTGTCAAAAAACTAAGTAAAGAAATAGCTGTTGAATCTGTGGTCGAAGTCAACTATTGGTATTCAAACCTGCGTTCTTTTAAGAATAAGATTGACGAGTGGAGAAAAAGTATTCAGAAAACCAACCCTATTTTCATTTGTATCACAAAAACTTGGCCTAATCCAGAAATATCAGACGGCCTTATAGCTCTGCCAGGATATCGGACCTTTCGGAAAAATAGAAAGGACAAAGAGGGTGGAGGTTTACTTATGTACATTAAGTAAATAGAAAATAATATTCAAATATATTTATCAAATGACAACAAATATGATACTTGGTGGTCCTGCAGAATCATTAAGGGCCAAATTATGGACCAACTGGTAAGTGTTTGGTTGTTACCTAGCAGGTACTTTCTATTCTCTAGTGCATAGAAAGTACCTGCTAGGTAACAACCAGACGTTTAGCAGTCAGTCCATAATTTGGCCCTAAGCGGGTTAATGTCAGCATAGGCGGTACAAAAATACCTACTACTAGGCTACTAGGCTAATTATGTAAGATCAGATAGCAATACACAACTGTCAACACAATTGAAGTTGCTTTTTCCCAACAAAATCAAACAATTATTTTTAGTGGCTTCAACGATCGAGAAATAAACTGAAACACCCTTCAAACAGTCAAGCATGATATTTTAGCTGATGAGTTTTTAGATGGTTTTAAAGAAACAAATGCTTAACAATTAGTGAACTTTCACACTAGAATAAGAGGAGACCAACAATCACTATTAGACCTGCTATTGGTAAGTGAAAAGAACTTACTATTTAACATAAAAATTTACTCTCCGATTGGACGCAGTGATCATGTAGTTGTCACTGGCACATCCCAAATAAAGGCAAAAGGGAAGGAGACTTTTGAAAGAGAAACAAGAAACTTCTGGAAGGCAGATTACGACGCGATCAACAACCACCTGCATAATCAAAACTTTGACAACACAAATACCAACTTGACCAAATATGAACACTGTGAGAACATCATCAAAAGAACCATTGATAAATTCATATTACTAAAATCCACAAGGTAAATCCCCCAGAAGCCTTGGATAAACGAGGTCATATTCAAGGAAATAGACAAAAAAACGCAGATTCTGGGATAGGTATAGACAAAACATATTACAGATGAGAACTATTAGTTGTACAGATTGCAGAGTAACAAATTAAAGAATACAATAGCTGAAGCAAAAATATTATATGACCATAGAATAATACAATCAAAATCAACAAACAATTCTGCAAGTATATGTCTAAAAGTCTAAACTCAAAAGTGTCTACAATCACAATAAAGGATAACAACATTACTGCCAGCAATGAGGATACATCGGAAGCGTTTGCCGAACAATTTATAAACATGTTTACACAAGAGTATGCATGATAGCACCAGAAACGTTAGTTTGCTGAACACCATTGACTTCACACCATTAAAAGTGGAAAACGCTATCCTAAGCCTAAAAACTGAATCAAGTCCTGGTCCAGATCAAATTCCGTCCATTTTTATAAATAAATGCGTAAAAAGTTTAGCAACACCATTGAGTGAATCTATGACCTTGGGGACTTTATTATCAGCCAGCTGGAAGCAGGCTATTATAATACCAATATACAAAAAGGGTGACAGATTTAAACCAGAAAACTACGGGCCAGTAAGCTTAACAAGCCCTGTTTGTAAGGTTATGGAAAAAATCATAGTGAAGGAACTGGATGAATTCTCAAAGTTAAATGGGATTGTACGGGAGGACGTCTTCCAGAAGAAGAAATTGACAACAACCAGCATGCTAAGATGTTTAAATGACTAGACTACAAACTCTGATAAGAACATACAAATAGACATTATCTACCTGGACTATGAAAAAGCCTTTGACAAGGTGCTATTCAAAAAGCTCTCTACAAGTTGAGCCATTTTGTAGTAAGAGGCGGTCTACACACCTGGATAGGAGAATTTATACAAGGCCGCGAGTGTTCGAAGTGAGAGTCAACGGAATCTGCTCTTCTTTCCACAACGTAATTAGTGGTGTTCCGCAGGGCTCTGTGCTGGGACCTCTCCTGTTTCTGCTGTATGTTAGTGACCTGGCTGAGAACATAAAGACAAATATTACAAGAAGAAGACATTTTTGGGAAAATATTTTTCACTATAGGGGACTACTAGCTTCCATGAACCTAGCAGTCCCTTAGTTTTTTTTTGATTCTCTCAAAAACTAAAGGAGCACCTAATTTTTAATTAGAGGCCCTAATTAGCACCTAAAAAGCACCTAATTATTATATAGATTCCGATGTTTTTTTGTCATTCTGACACACCAACAAGTAAACGTAAAGCCAGCAGTCCCCAAATAATTTTTAAAAAAAATCTGTAACTCAGTTAATAATTAATCAATTCTATTTTTTCTTCGACTATTTAGGCGCACCTAAAAATTATTGGTAAATGGACTATATGGAAATAAAAGAACTTGTTAATTATCGATATTCAATATATTTATTATATCGAACACAGCGTGGAAAACAGAGCATGTGAACTCATAGAAATAACTATACGAACTGACTCAACATCAAGACAAAGAATTACAAACCCTTTCTTAAGTAAACGATTCCTCATCTGTTTACCTTACATATTAAAACTATTATAAACACATTCAGTCATCCATAGCTGCGATATAAATTAGCAAAGTATAGGCTAATAATCAAAGTTTAATTTATTAATTTTTGTTTCACTGATATGAATATCAGTTTATCCAACAAAAATCACCTAATTCTGATACAAAAGAAAATTTTGGAAAAATATTTTGTACTATAGAGGACTACTAGCTTTCATAAACCTAGCAATCCCTTAGTTTTTTTTTTGAATTTCTCAAAAACTAGAGGAGCACCTAATTTTTAATTAGAGGCCCTAATTAGCACCTAAAAAGCACCTAATTATTATATAGATCCCGAAGTTTTTTTGCCATTCTGACACACCAACATGTAAACGTAAAGCCAGCAGTCCCCTAATAATTAAAAAAAAATCTGTAACTCAGTTAATAATTAATCAATTCTTTTTTTACTTCGACTATTTAGGAGCACCTAAAAAGCACCTAATTCTGATCAAAAAAAAAATTGAAAAATTATTTTTTTACTATAGCGGACTGCTAGTTTTTATAAACCTAGCAGTGCCTTAGTTTTTTTTTGATTTTCTCAAAAACTAAAGGAGCACCTAATTTTTATTTAGAGGCCCTAATTAGCACCTAAAAAGCACCTAATTATTATATAGTTCCCGAAGTTTTTTTCCACCTTGGAACTGCTAGGTTTATAGACCTCTTTCAAAGGTGATTTAATAGAAATTTAACATGATTTTCTTACATCTAAGTGAGAAAAAGCTCATATTTCCATTTCTGAGCCTGAGATCCATTCGCGGTTTGTTTTGTTTGATAGAAAGATCCTTATCAATAAATCCTGAAAGTTTGAAGTCCCTCTAATAGCTTGAAGTATTTTTCGGAAGCTTCCAAAGGTGATTTTAATAGCAATTTTGTATGATTTTTTTGCATCTAAGTGAGAAAAAATTCATAATTCCATTTCTGATCCTGAGATCCATTAGCGGTTTGTTTTGTTCGAAGAAAACAGCTCTATACTCAATAAATCCTGGAAGTTTGAAGTCCCTCTAATTTCTTGAAGTATTTTTCAGAAGCTTCCAAAGGTGACTTAATAGGATACCCTGTGGAATAAAGATTATCATTATTTCTTAAAATATAATGTTTTTCGTATTTATTGAATTCCTGACATCTTAACTGCATTTGTGCCTCTCTGTCATTGCATTTTGAGCATTTTCTTTAAATTTATAGCAGCAATCTCGCCTCGGTTTCTACATGTTGCTTTTATTCAATCACTCAATCAATACAGCGCTCCAATATCTATAAACACAATACATTTTTCAGCCATAGAGTTTGGAAAATTTAAAACACTTCAAAGTTGTGAAGTTTAATGAAAGCAACTCGTTACATGACTCCAAAATTATCTCAGTATAGACTGCATTAAACTAAAAAAGTTGCTTTTAATTAACCCCCAGTTTAGGAACAAAAAAGAAATTGCGGCGAATATTTTTTCCTTGGGTAGTTAAACTCCTTATGTGATTTAGTGGCTCTACCTTTTGAGTGAACTTCGCTAATTAGTTTTATATAGATCTCTCACGTTTAGCCGAGTTTTTTCCTCATTTTCCAGGAGCCTCAAGAAATGCGATCGGATTTAGGAGAACTTCTCGTATCGTTACTGTACAACGAAAACCTTAGCCGACTTACGGCGACCGTTATCGAAGCAAAAAGACTTAAGGTAAGAACTTTAGACTTTAGAATAATCGCGAAAATCCTTTCGCTTTTCAGGTTGTACAAAGCCAGGCCAATGCACTCAAAGCATCCATTAACACAGAAACACAAAATAACAACAATATACTCGATTTCAACGAGGTCGTACTTGTTAAACAAAATACTGGCCTGTTTCGATGGTATAATGCTAATTAAATTGATTCTTTCTTATAGGAGCTCGTCCGTTAAACCGCAAACGTGAATAGCAGTTGCATAAGCGATAATTTTTTTTAGCAATTTCTTTAGCTACTCAAAATCTAGACAATCTCTGCTTGGCTGCTTCACTTGGTAGTTGTAGTGCCCCAAAGAAGAAGTGAATTAATTTGTGTCCACTTTTAATTTGTTTTATTTTTGAATTTTGTTCTCAGAGGTAAGTAAGTTATTGCCCCACTCAGTAATTCAGTAGCACTCATCCCATCCTGTATATTTTCCAATAATTAAATAATATTTTATAGAGTCAAATCAATTATGAGTATTCCACCGCTACCACGTCCCAAGGTATCCAATGGCATTTCGTCAAAAATCAATCAACTCTACAGTCAACAGCCCGAAGAGCCGTTAAAAATAACCAAACAACAACAAAACGAATTGAACAAGAAATTGAAACAATCCCAAAATAATGGTGTCCCGAAAAAACTGCTCATCGATCCGAATCCTAAATTGGAAAATTTGGGTCAAAAATTCGATAAGAGTCCCAGAGAATTGAATTTGGACAACAGCGTTAAAGAGGCCGTAGTCAATATCGAAATTGCCGAAATGAAGGGACGGAAAAGCGTAAAGGAATGCGTTACAATTGCACGTAAAGCGTTCAGTAATGGAAGAAGCAGAAGTTTGGCTTTCAGACAGACACAATTGAAAGGTAAATAATACTATTCTGATTATGTAAACTGAGAATTTAAATAAATATTCTATTTCAATTTAAATCGAGTCTTCAAACTTTCACTTAACAGTAACAGTAGCAGGAGATAATGGATTACGACAGTGCGAAAATTTAAATTTTTAGCGAAACGTTGACTAATTAATTGAAATATGATATTTTGAGCTGACTTTGAGGCTTTTAAACTATACTCTATAGTCTATGATCAAAGTTATATCAGTGACATCCCCTATAATGTCGGAGAATGCGGAGACGACGATAGTGGAAGTAATTATAGTGGAATGTTTATTTAAATTTAAGTTTCCTCCGTTTAGAGAGAGTCATTGTTACCAGAATAGCCCTTTTCTTAAAAATGTAGAAATACCTAAAAAAAATTTTGAATTAACTTTTTGTTTTTGTTTAAGGTCTCCTCAAGTTTTTAGAAAACCACAAAGTGGAAATCGAAGAAGCTTTACATAAGGATTTGAGAAAACACAAACAAGAAACGAACACCTCCGAAATTGAGTTTGTCGCAAACGATTTGCGTTACACTTTGATTGAGTTGAAAAAATGGATTGGACCGGAAAAACCGAAAAAGAGGTCTGTTAAATTTGATAGACCATAATAGTATAATGAATATGAATGTATTCTACAAGAGTTTTTTCAGAATTATCAACAGTCTAGATGGTGTTTACGTCTACAACGACCCTTACGGAGTCGTTCTGATAATGGGAGCATGGAACTATCCAATTCTATTAACCCTCGGGCCTCTAGTTGGTAAATAAAAACATATTTCAGCCAAACAGTTCTGAACCAATCGGTTTTAGGTGCTCTAGCAGGTGGCAACGTTGTAATCATGAAACCCTCTGAGCTGGCTCCTGCTACCAATAAGCTTCTTGCTGAAGTGCTGACTAACTATCTGGATCAGGAGTGTTTCCAGGTGCATCAAGGTGGCGTCCAAGAGACTACTGAATTATTGAAGCAACGTTTCGATTATATTTTCTTTACTGGCTCGTCGAAAATTGGGCATATTGTTTATCAGGCCGCTGCAAAACATTTGACACCGTGTACTTTGGGTAATAGTTTATCTATATACATAGGGGGGGAAATGAAGTTTTTAGAATTGGCATATTGATATAAGCGTCACAAAAACAAAATATGATAATAAGTAGCTATTTGTAAAGATGTAAAGAGACGAAGAAATATTACGGTTTGCCTTCCTAACGTTTTCAATGGTTCATGATTTGAAGGTATTAATATACATAGCCGATGTGCTGATTTTAAAAAACTCAGATATGCCTCTTGTGTGTGTGTTGGAGGTGTCAGTTGCACCGCGACCAAGGTTGATCTATTGTACCCCTCCTTCTGTTGCTAAGTTCGGGTTTTCTGCTCAAAGCAGCCCCTACAGTCCTAGGTCCTTTAGGAATTTTAGGATATCTAGCGGTTCCAGGGCTGGAATATCTTTCGACTGTATAAGGGCACTTTGCAGGTTCTTCATCCTTGAGCGACTAACGGCATCGCAGTTCAGTAGAAGATGGTGAAGTGACTCTTCTCCGTCTTCACAGAATCTGCACTGCAGGTGCCACCTTCTTCTAACCCCAATTTCTGTAGGTGTTTCTTGAGTCGAGAGAAACCTGGTTAGAGTCTTGAGACTTTTCTTGCTAAAGTTGACCCAGCAGTTCTGATCTTTTTTGGTTGAAGTTGCTCAATAGATCTTTGGCCTGTCCTGGCTGTTCTAGCCATTGTTTGTTCCTTAGCCGGTTCTCTTCTTTTTTCAGTATTTCTTGGAGGTGCGCATTTCCGACGCCGCAAAATGGTTCTGGTCCAGTGAAGGGAGTAGACGCTCCTGTTCTTGTGAGTCTGTCTGCACATTCGTTGCCCTCGACATTTATGTGTCCGGACACCCAGAGGAGAGTTACTTTATGTTGTATTCCCAGCTCATTTAATTTCTATAGACATTGCCTGGTTTTCCCGGGCCGCCCTTTGTTTTCTTCAGTTTAATCATTGGGTGCGTTTCCTGGAAAGTGAGTTTCCAGTAATAGAGTAACTGTTTGTTCTTCATTTTTTGTGTAACTACCATCTGGTTTCTTACGTGTCAATGGTCCCTGCGGCCTGCCTTTCACCAGGGTTTTGTATAATCTGGTTGGTGATGGTTTTTCAGTCATAGATTCACAGAAGTCTCTGAAGTTTTTTCGCTTGGCTCCTTATTTCTTTGTTGTACTCAGTCAGCCTTTCGGGGTAGCCCTGCCATTCTCCGTCTCGTTTGGCTTTGTTGAAAAGGCAACGAACCTCGGATCTAAGTCGTGACAGGTGACTGGTGGGCCATGGGCAACCATTTTTGTTTACTTGTTCTTTCACGAAACAGCTGGATTCGTATACCTCCATGATTACTCTCTTAAGGATCTGAAGAGGGTCTTCTACTTCACGTATGTGTATTTTTCCCATTCGTATTTCTGAGGGTTCTTTACGGAGTAGTTCGTTCCTGCACTGCTTTTACGTCAAACATTAGAATTCTGTGATTAGAGAGAGAGGGTTCATTGAAGAGTTTCCAATTCCTGATCATTTGGTCATTATTTGGACTACAAAGTGTTATGTCTAACACCTCCTGTCCTGTCTGACCCTAGTAACAAATGTTGCTGTATTCCCTACATTTAGTATATTTAGGCTTGTTTGGAAGATACATTCTAATAGTTGCTCACCTCTCAAATTTGTGTCGGTACTTCCCCTCGTTCTTTATTCTTGAAACAGGGGAACAACGTTCCCAGGAGAACAAGTGTTCCGTCTTTAACAATGATATGCAAATGCTAATAAAGGGTGTTCCAATAAGAGTTTCCGGTTGTTTTTTTCAATTCAAACGAAAAGCAAACTAGGAAACATTTAATACTTTAAGGCAATAGGTAACATGATCGTTTACAATTAGGTATACTTGAAACACAATATCCAACAAATGGTCAGCGCGACTTCTCTCACAGCACACAATTCTTTTGCCAAAATTTCCGATCACATCTGTGCACATTTTCGGTGGTATCTCACGAATAATGCGTCGAATCTTATCCCTCAACTCTTGAATTGTTTGGGGATGGTTCACATACGCTTTACTTTTCATGATACCCTACAAAAAAAAGTCTAGTGGCTTTAGATCGCAAGATCTAGGCGACCAATTAACATCCACATTTCTTAAAAGAAGTTTATCTGCAAACCGTGTTTGCAATAAATCAATAGGTAACCCTTTTCACGTGGCTCCGATTTAACAAACCGCAACATACCGCTCAAATTCGAGTGGTAGGTATCCATCACGTCACTTTGTAACCGGGTTAGAAAACGATATGTCATTTCTCTAACCGTTTTGTAACCCGGTTAGTTAAACCGGAGCCACGTGAAAAGAACTAATGGGTTTTCTTGCTGTGTGACATGTTACGCCGTCTTGTTGGAATCATACATTAGTTTTGTTTTGGTTCGAAATTTGGAACGGTTCTGGGATCGCGCAGAACTGCTTGCGCACAAACAATAAAAGAGGGCTGTTCTAATACAAATTCTGAACCGATTCGGAACCAAAAGAAACCAAAACACGCTGCAAATAACAAAATTCTAAAACAGTTTCTCCTTCAGGGCAAGAACTAAGAGAATCGTTCTAGAACTATCCCAGAATTGTTCTCAAACAGTTCTAGATAAACCAAAACAGTTCGATTACGATTCTGAAAAAACGAAAACGCGTTTTATATGAGCATGTACAGAATAATTCCGAACTAGTTCTGAGTGAATCCAAAACAAAGCTATTGTCAAGATCCATATTTATTATTCCAGGCCACAAAAAGTCACGAAGCATTGTGCGATAACGCTCATCATTCACCGTAACAGTTTGACCATTTTTACTCTCGAAGAAGTAAAGATTGATTTTTCTGGATTTTCAAAATAAGTTTTGTCAATGTAAACACGTTGCTCTACTGTATATCGCTCCATGGTAAAAATTGTACTGGTGTACACATCAAAAACTAACAAAGAATCATCGAAATATTTCCGATAATAAAATATAAACAAACAACATTGGAAACCTCTTAATGGGACACCCTTTATAAGTAACAAAAATGAAACACACGTTCTCCTGAGAACGCTGCTCCTGGGTTTCAAGAATAAGGCCCGTATTCATAGTCGATGCTCAAGGTTGCGTCTTGGCACCCGTCTATGAATACCGGGCTAAGGGTTCCGATAGTTTTGTGGGTGTTAAGTCACAGCCAATTAGGAGCAGATATGCCTCTCAACTGACCCACAGAACCACAGAGACTGGCATCTCTAAAACATTCTTAAAAGGAGAAAAGCATATTTTACTGCAAAGTCGTTTTGAGGAATCGATTTCAAAGCTTTACAAATCATTCAAACTTTAGTATGGCCCATATCTATTTGTAATCCTTGTTTTTGTTAAGGATATAATACCTAGAATTCCTGGCTCCTTATTCGCGAAACAAAGGGACAGTGTTCTCAAGAGATCGATTGCTCTATCTTTGTCAATATTATGGAAATAACAATATGGATGATTAAGAAAGAACCTTTCATTCTCATGAGAACGCTGCTCCCCTGTTTCGAGAATACGGGCTGGAGCTTTCCAAAAAAAAAAACAAAAATATAAATGGGGGTATTCGAACAGAAATTAAGTGTGACATTTTCCAGACTGCAATGAAAAGAATCAGAACATTTCTATGGTTTTGGGGGGTTTCGGGTATTTCTAAAGGAGTTGGAAAAGATCTGACTTTCACTTGCGAGCCTCGATTTTCAAGAGAAATTGACTGGGGGAAACCGCATCTCGATATGTCGAGTCGTGTTCATGCTACGAGTGGTTTTTGAAAAGTTTGGTGTTTGGCAACTTTTTGTAGCTTAAACACGAATCGATATATCGAGATGCGGGTTCACCGGTCAACTTCTTTTGAAAATCGAGGCTCGCAACCCGCCAAAACCATCGAATCTTGGACACCCTGTTCAATCCACTACAAAGCACTTCAAGTCATCTCTGCATTTAGCTGGAGGTGTCCCTTGCTTTTATGTTGCTCTCCCATTCCAGAATCTTCCGACTTTTCATAATTCAATTGAGCCACATGACCGTCCCATTTCGACATATTCTTTCTCTAATTTTTCCATTTGGAACTTTGCCTCTTAGTGCGGCCAGATCAATCGTTAGTTGAGTCCCTAATAGTTAACAATAACCTCAGATTGTGCCACACAAAAACAATATCATATTGACATTGACATTATCTAATGGTTAACTAACAAGCACTTAACTAACGATTGATCCAGCCGCACTTAGACTTTCAAGGATATATCTCCCCATCGAGGAACTTACATTTTCTCTTTGGACCAACTCTTCTGCCATTTCTAACATCAAGTTAAACTTCACGTTTTGGTATTTTATCATTAATATTAATATTATCCTTTTTGGAAGATTATTTTTTGCCAGTGTCAATGTCTCGGTCCCCTATATGATACTTGGCTCCGGTTCAAAAGAGCAATATTTGAAATAGCGACATCAAAAACGTGACATATTTTTAAAGCGATATATCAAAATAGCGTCATTCAAAATAGCGACATGTAAAAAAAACAGCGACATATCAAAAGAGCGATATTCAAAAGCGCGATATTTTAAAACAGCGACATTGCAAAAGAGCGACATATATTATGTAAAAGAACGATATTTAAAGTAGTGACATATTAAAAGAGTGACATTTACAACGGCGACCTCTTAGCAAAAGAGGGACACATCAAATTGAATCAATAATAATCAAAAAAAATGCAAACTTACTCAAACTAACCCGTCCGCCTAGTCAAGTGCAATCTCGTCCTCGTAAGTTAGCATTTTATTTATCTGAAAAACAACGCGCGCTCAAGAGATGCTTAGCTATAAGTAAATTAACTTTGTTTCCTTAAATAAAATTCTTATGAGGACTAGATCGCACTAGGCGGACGGGTTATTCTGGATTAGTTCAATTTGAACCAATAATAATCTAGATAATACAGAGACTAGCCCAAACTAACCCGTCCGCCTAGTGCGATCTCGTCCTCGTGAGTTATCATTTTATTTGGCATTTTATTTAAAAACACAAAGCTAATTTACTTATAGCTTAGAGTCTTTTGAGCGCGCGCTGTTTTTCAAATAAAATGCTAACTTACGGGTTAGTTTGAGTGAGTTTGCATTTCTTTGATTATTATTGATTCAATTTGATATGTCGCCGTTCTGCTAAGATGTCAACGTTTCAAATGTCGCGCTTTCAATATGTCGCTCTTTTGAATGTCGCCGTTCTGATATATCGCTAAAATGAGACCGTCGTTTTGAATATCGTGGTTTTGAATATCGCCGTTTTGAACCGGAGCCATGACTTAGCAAAACACAATTTTCGGAAAATCTATTTGGGATAATAAGGTATGATTTCCTCGAATTTAAAGGGTGTGCTTCTCGAGGGATACCACCATACTATGACTATGATGTCGTTCAAATCCTACAAAATCATTTTTTTTTTTTCTAAAGGCAATCAAGAGGTGGTAAGCATAATTGAAATTATGATAATTCCCTGTTGATGAGCTGCATGATTTCTCTGCAAGCAATTCAAGAGCCAATAATGATTCAAATTTTGATTATAACCGGCTCTGAGATCCAATGGGGAATATTTTTGAAAGCAAACCCTCATAAGAAGGCCAGCTTTGATCATCAAAAATTCGCAGAGGCATATTGTGAGAAATCAAAATCCCTCCTGCTGGTGATTAATTACTTAAATAATTTTTTTCTTTCTTTTTAATTTATAGGATAAAAATACTTGTAATTAATAAATTTCAATTTTAGAACTTGGAGGTAAATGTCCATTATACATCGACGACACCGTCAACATGCAAAAAACAGCCAAAAGAGTTTTATGGGGCCGCATGCTGAACAGCGGACAAACTTGCGTGGCTCCCGATTACCTACTATGCACAAAACAAGTCCAAGAATTATTTCTAAAAGAAGCCGAAAAGATTATCAACAAGTTCTGGGGCGACGATCCCACTAAATCTCCATATTTAAGCAAAATCGTTACCGAAAATCACTTCAAACGCCTCGTCGAATTTATAAAAGGGGAACAAATATCACTCGGAGGCCAAGTGAACAGTAAAGAGCTTATTATAGGGCCTACAATATTGACGAACGTCAATCCGCACAGTCCCATAATGGAAGAGGAGATTTTCGGACCAATTTTACCAATTTTAAATGTCAAAGACGCCCAAGAGGCAATCGATTTTATTAATTCTAGAGAAAAGCCTTTAGCTTCGTACGTGTTTTCAAACAACAAGAAAACCCAAAATCTATTTTTGAAGCAAACCTCTAGCGGTGGAGTGTCTATAAATGACACAATTTCCCATATTATGACTGAAAATTTACCATTTGGAGGCGTAGGTCAAAGCGGTTTGGGTAATTACCATGGGAAATATGGTTTCGATACTTTTACCCATAAAAAAGGAGTCTTGGTTAAAGATTTTAGTGCCATATCCGAAATGGCTTTGAGTCTCAGATATCCTCCGTATTCTGATCAAAAGACTCAAATCATCAACACTATATTGAAAAAAAGAAAAAGTTTGTTAAAGTTTGAATGGCTGATTAGCATTTCGATATTCTTGTTAGGGATGGGATTAGCATTGGTTTTACAATATTATTTCAATTTTATATAAAAAAATTGCATTTACCTACTGCCTTTTAATATTTAAGAAGCGAATTTCTGTTGATTGTAAGATATTGTGTTTGAATATTTTTAATATAAATTTGTTATTGGTTTTTTGTTTTACTTGAACTGTGTATTTTTGAAATACACAGAAATATTTAGTCCGGCATCAGTCTTTAGATGATAGTGTAATATAAAATATCCAGGTTGGTTCAGTAAGTTCGAACGATGAGAATTTTTATTACCTTTTAAATAACAAATATTCTGAAAAACGAAATGAAAAACAAATAGGACCTATGTTGTGGAAACTTACTCAATTTTACTTACTGGACATGCGCCCGACATAGCAAATACTTGGGAAATTTAAGGGAAGCTGTGATATGTAAAAGAAACGAAAAATTTGTGAAACGTCTACTTTATTATTAAAGTAAATCGTACCGTTCTCATCCTGGAACTAACGAGGGGAAAGAGCACGGCAGAGAAACCCTCGATCTAACATTCCTCAAAAATCGAAACATACTGTGTCATTTTAATAATAATTGTGAGTCAATAATTCAATAATTTAAGTCAATAAAAGTTTAAATTAGGTACCATCCTTTGTCTTTGTGCTAAAATTTCAATTACACACACTACATTCAATCAACACTACCTATATTCAATACTGAAGAGTTTTTTTGTTAGTTAGCCAGTTTTCCAGCAGGTACTGAGGTCCCATACGGGAAGCTACTCAGCTATAGTTCTATTTGAGCCAATATCTCTAGATTGATTATTTCAATTTGCTAGGATATTCTCTCGTCAGGGTAGGAAAATGTTAGTAAATTCAACAAGGCCCTAATGCACACTCTAAATCCACAAAATCAAAATCTCAGCTCAAAAAGACAGCACATAATTTCTTAGGTTTTATTTTACTTCTTTATCTGTGTTGTTTACAGTATGAAACGATTTTTGTTAAATACATGAACAATGCACATGTTATAAAAAATGTTATAAACAAACAAAAAAATACATATAATGAACAAAATAATAGGAACCACTAACCTGTGAACGCTCCTTACACCCACACTAATAACAAATTGGATTGAACAATCAATTTTAATGCAAAATAGAAATGAAAATTGAATAATGAATAATAATTACAGACACGCATCTAAAGGAACAGCCCCAGCTTGTTCTCAAGTCTAGTTGCGTCCTCTCTATCTTCCGTTCGCAGTACCGTTCCTTGTGGTCGAACGCGGTCACCCCTAAATTTGATGGCGCAGACAAGGTTGCAACATTTTCTTTTATTCAGTAAACGCTTTTTTAAAAAGTTAAGATTTGAAGAAATAATATTTTAAATAGGTGGTTTTCCTCAATAGGTTAGGTCGAAAATGAGTGGGCCTATTACGGCTCCACTGCGACTCATTGGTCTATTGTGGCTCATGCTTATTCATATTTCTCCAATAATGTCTATTTTCCAATGAAGTCCAGGATAGTGGTTAGAGAGATGTTGTTGCTGAAATGTGATGTAGTGCTGAAAGCTCCTGTTATTTGTCAAACAGGCCTGTCTTTGTAGTCCGTTGAGCTTGGTTTGTCTGCTTTCTTTGACGTATCAAGCTTCTTCAGTTTTTCCCATATTTCTTCAGTAGTGAAATTGTGGGTAGAGAGAACACCAGCAAATCCCACTGGATTCATACGACTCAAATACAAAATTAAGTACGTTGGTATATGCGGATTTGAAGTGAGATGCAAATGCCTCAGCAATATCTTCAGGCTTGGTCACTGTTTTCCCGTTATGTTGCATTTGGGCTGGAAAGCCTGAATCTCTTTTGAGATTGTTGATAAATGACCAAAAGAGCTTGATATTTTCAGGAATTAAGTGCTCAGTATTGGTAACATAAAGTAAGTAACACATATCAGTCATTGCTTTAACTTCTCGTCGGATATTTGAGTAGGCATTGTTATCACTTGAAGTACGGGTTTTCATATATCTCTTGTAAGCTTTATTTTTAAGAGCAATGGACTTTCGGAGGTCGGTGCTAAACCATTTTGGATATTTATCAGTTTTTATGGTTTTCCTAGGAAATAGCATCATAGAGGATGTCATAAAACTGGCATATAACAGTTTCGAAGTTTTCTGTGTCACAAATGAAACTCCAATCACTGGTACTCAGATACTGACTTAGGCTGATGTAATCTACGTGCCGAAATTGATAAACATTTGTTGAGTTTATTAATGAAATGGAGGTTCAAAGTTGTTTCAGTAGCTGGGTGACGAGGGTCGATTGGTAAAAGCGAAACGGAGCTGCAGGTCACCAGAGTCTTGTCAAAATCATTAGCAAGACTCAGATCAAGGATTTTACCAGACGCATTATGTATTTGGTTAATTTACTGGAATTCTAGGAAGTACATGGTGTCAATTATGCTTTCAGCAGTTTGATTTATATTGGAAGGTACCAATGTGTCATTCTCATATATCCATCTGCTATATGGTAAATTAAAATCTTCATAAATCAGGAATTTATGTTTAGAGAACTTGTTATGCAAAGCTTCGCAAGTACATGCGAAAGATCTGTAAACATCCACTGGTGAGTTTGGTGATATACAGGGTGACTGGTAAGTGGACGTATTCCTTTGAGGAGATGACATTAGAGCCTATTTGCTACCGATTAAACACTATTTACCTCTATACCATTCTTAACGGTTTTCGCGATATTTTCATTTTTCTAATTTTTATAAAATTCACTACCTTATGAGGCAAATATTTAAAATTAACGAAAATAATAAGGACCTTTCTGAAAGTCGTGTTTTAAATTTTAAGCTGACACACTGACAAAAATATCAGCATTGAAAATTATCGAAACACTAATGTTAACTATTGAGTTATTGCGGTTTAAACTTAACTTTTCTTGTTAAGTTTCTAACTAATGACTTATTTAACCCTAAAAATATCGAAAATTTCATAGTACTTCAAACGTACAAATAATTGGCAAAAGTACTCCATTTTATTGTCTCCAAGATAAGGTACATTATTTCAGAATTAGCTTTTTGCTTTCTTGTTAAATAAATTATTTTTATTTTAAGGAGAGACGATATAATTTTCAACAGAATTCTAATTTATACCTGTTTTGGATATCAAGTGTTGCAATAAAAATTTTATCAAATTTTTTAGTAGCTAATAGTAATAGTTTTTAGTAAAGAAGTAATTATTATTTTCTGCTTGAAAATTTTGAAATTTTCATAATAAATTACTGGCACTCTATGGCCAAGCATTGTTGAATGCATTCTCTTTCAAATAGTTCACAATTGGCACCTAATTTTTTCGTTCCATAATAAAACAATAATTACCATTTGAAAAAATGTATTTCCTATCATAATAAAAAAAACAACATTCTCAAAATGAAATGGAAAAACTTTTTGATACAATTTAATCAATAACTCATTAATTTTCAAAATGACTAACCCCATTCCTTATGCAATTACGAGCCCGTCTTCGTATTTCTGTCCTGGTTACTCGATTTGAAAAGTTCTGTCGCAATATCGCAACAGGAGTTAAATCAGGGCTCCTAACAGGCCATGGTATGGGTCCACCTCTTCCAATCCATCTATTCGGAATCCTTTGGTCTAAGAGTGCCCTTATTGTTAGACGATAGTGTGCAGGACATCCGTCAAGCTGGAAGATCATCTGTTTGCCTGTTCGCTAAAGGGACATCTTGTAGTAGCTCATACAAGTTGTTACGTGAAAATTCTTCATAATTTTCACCGTTAAGGTTATCAGGTAAAAAATCAAAATTTGTTATTCCTTCTCTAATATTGTAGCATCCTCAACATCCGAATTCAGAATAAATCTGCAGAACTGAATTCTGCGAATTAATGGTTTCTTTATGCTGAAAAATTTCGAAAACTTCATAAAGTGTGTTTTTTTTTTAAAGATAATTCCCCAAGTCAAAAATTTAGTAACTATGTTGGCAACACAAGCCTTTTCTACATGAAAAATTTGAAAGCATTGACAATTTTACATTGTATTGCCAACATAATGTCAGTTTGACTTTTATCTTTAAAAAAAAAAACGCACTTTAGTCCACCAAACGTACAAATGATTGTTAAAAATTCTCTATTTTATTGTCTTTAAAATAAGGTTGTTTTATTGTTGATTTCATAATTTTCATTTGTAGGAGTAACGGTTTTATTCTCGCATTTAGAAGAATTGTAAGTTCAGACTAAGTAAGCAACATTATTTTCCAGTCTTTTCTTATTGCAATTTGGTGTGATACTCGCCAATCATGTTGATATTTATCAACAGGTATACCATACGCATTTTTCCATTTTTTGAATTAATAATAATAAACAATAACAAAATTTAGTTTCAGTTTTTCGTCCAAAGTTTTGATTTAAATAGTTCTGATGATAGTCTTTCGCTGTTAACTTCTATCTAAAATGGCAACGTTTAGCTATGCTGAATATGCGGACATTTTATTTATTTATGGTTTCTCCAATGGAAATGCAGCTGAAGCTCAAAGAGAATATGTACGTCGCTTCCCAAATAGGCGCATTCCACATGTTAGTGTGTTTGGTGCAACTTACCGTCGCATTTCAGAATCTGGCAGCCTTCAACGAGTAGAACGCGTAGGAGCTCCTCCTGCAGACGTTAACATTGATGGTGAAATTTTGAGACTACTTGAAGAAGGTCCAACAACAAGCACCAGAAAAATTTCCCGACAGCTGGGTGTTTCACAATGGAAGGTCTGGTCAGTGATTCATCAAAATGGTCTTCACCCATTTCATCACACTCCTGTGCAAGGACTAGACGAGGGTGATCCGGCGCGCAGAGTTCAATTCTGCAGATTTATTCTCCATGCGGATATTGAGGATGCTTCATTTTTAACAAGAATTTTATGGACCGATGAATCAAAATTTAGCAGAGAAGGAATAACAAATTTTCAGAATTTGCACTACTGGGCCGAAGATAATCCGCATCAGAAGAAGCAAGTTAGTTTCCAAAGAAAATTTAGTGTCAATGTATGGATGGGAGTTATCGCCAATAATTTAATTGGACCTCATTTTTTACCGGATAACCTTAACGGTGAAAATTATGAAGAATTTTTACGTAACAACTTGTATGAGCTACTAGAAAATGTCCCTCTAGCGAACAGGCAAGAGATGATCTTCCAGCATGACGGATGTCCTGCACATTATCGTCTTACAATACGGGAACTCTTAGAGCAAAGGTTTCCGAATAGATGGATTGGAAGGGGTGGACCCATTCCATGGCCTGCTAGGAGCCCTGATTTAACTCCATTAGATTTTTATGTATGGGGGCACCTGAAAGAAATCGTATATGCCACGGAGGTAAATACGCGCGAAGAACTGATTGAAAGGATACAGAATGGGGTTGCGATATTGCGACAGAACTTTTCAAATCGAGTAACCAGGACAGAAGTAAGAAGACGGGCTCGTGATTGCATAAGGAATGGGGGTAGTCATTTTGAAAATTAATTACATCACTTGTTGGAAAAGTTTTTTCATTTAATTTTGAGAATGTTGTTTTTTTTTTTATTAGGAGAATGTTGTTTTTTTTTTATTATAAGGTAGGAAATACATTTTTTCAAATGGTAAATATTGTTTTTTTTTTCAAAGATAAAAGTCACACTTACATTATGTTGGCGATACAATGTAAAATTGTCAATGCTTTCAAATTTTTTATCTAGAAAGAGCTTGTGTTGCCAACATTGGTAGTGAATTTTTGACTTGGGAATTATCTTCAAAAAAGAAACAGACTTTATTTGGAAGAGAGTGCATTCAAGAATGCTTGGCAATAAAGTGCCAGTAATTTATTATGCAAATTTCAAAATTTTCAAGCAGAAAATAGTAATTACTTCTTCTTTACTAATAACTATTACTATTAGCTAGTAAAAAAATTGATAAAATTTTTATTGCAACACTTGATATCCAAAACAGGTATAAATTAGAATTCTGTTGAAAATTATATCGTCTCTCCTTAAAATAAAAATAATTTATTTAACAATAAAGCAAAAAGCTAATTCTGAAATAATGTTCCTTATCTTGGAGACAATAAAATGGAGTACTTTTGCCAATTATTTGTACGTTTGAAGTACTATGAAATTTTCGATATTTTTAGGGTTAAATAAGTCATTAGTTAGAAACTTAACAAGAAAAGTTAAGTTTAAACCGCAATAACTCAATAGTTAACATTAGTGTTTCGATAATTTTCAATGCTGATATTTTTGTCAGTGTGTCAGCTTAAAATTTAAAACACGACTTTCAGAAAGGTCCTTGTTATTTTCGTTAATTTTAAATATTTGCCTCATAAGGTAGTGAATTTTATAAAAATTAGAAAAATGAAAATATCGCGAAAACCGTTAAGAATGGTATAGAGGTAAATAGTGTTTAATCGGTAGCAAATAGGCTCTAATGTCATCTCCTCAAAGGAATACGTCCACTTACCAGTCACCCTGTATACAGGGAGTTCCATAAGTCACGGTCCAAACTGAACGGGGTGATTCTTTGGTTTATTTTATGACTAAAATTTTTAATAAACATATGTCCGCAACCGCTTTGTTACCAATCTACAGGGTGTTGAAATTTCAATATTTTTTTTAGTGTTTTCTTTAAAGCTACTGCAATTTTTGAGGGATTTAGCTGTAATTTGGAATATAGGTGACGCAATAGGAGCTAAATAGTTGCACATTTCAAACGTTCGTCAGAATTCACAGGGTGATGTTTTTCCAGGGGTCATATGCCCTTTCTAAGCCATTTTCTGCCCCTGAACTTTTTTGCGGTGCGCCGCTGGTAGATCCTAAAGAACTAAATGACTTTTCTACCTATTTTAGAAACTTTTTGTTCTCTTGTAGTTTTTTCGAATTACCGACCCTTATCGAGAAAAAAATTAAAAAACAAATATTTGTAATTAGCTACATAAAACTACAGTGACTCAATATACCTTTTCTACCTACAGTGGCGACAATAGAAGTCCCGCCGCCATATTCTTGATCATTTTCAGTAGGAATCCAGAAGTAAGCCACGCCCTTGCCGCCATATTCTTGCTCATTTCTAATATGAAAAAATTAATATTTCACCACCCTGTAGATCTGTAACGAAGCATTTGCAGACCTATGTTTATTTGAAATTTTAGTTATAAAATAATCCAAAGAATCAGCCCTTTCAGTTTGGACCGTGACTTATGGGACACCCTGTATATACATCCAATTATTAGGTTAGTCTTGAGAGCGTCGAGCCGTACCCATACATTTTCAAATTCCTTGAAAATTGGCGTTGAAATCAAGGAGGATCTCAAAACGTTACTTGCAGCTACAATTACTCCTCCACGCTGAACGTTGAGTTGGTCATGATTTCTGTCTCGTGAAGATGGAGTCAAAAAGTTAGGAGTTATGGAATGAACTGTTCAGCCAGGTCTCGGAGAAAACAATAATTTCGAAGTCGCAAGCAGCCATAGATCTCAATAATTCATCGGTCCTTGTACATACGTAGGCCTCGTACGTTTTGATAATATATGGTAACTAAGTTGTTGGATTGGTGGACGGATTCGACGACGGTTGTAGAAAATCCGTAAGCGGCGTTGATGGCGAAGGATCGGTGGATTTAGAAGTAGTTGAAATAAAACTTTCGCTTGGCTTCTTAGTGAGTGGTAGGTAATCATATGGTAAAGTTGTTGAGCTAAGTTTAATTTATCGTTCTAATTCAAAATACCATTATTCACCAAAGTCAACAAGGGAAGAAAGTGGATGTGGAGTTGTGTCTTATTATGTGAGACTTCAGATCGGATTTTCGTTTGAATTTTGCTTTGCAAGTATAACATGCGAAAGGATGAATATCTGAGTGTGTTAACATGTGATTCTTTAAATTGAATTTTTGTTTAAATTTTGCTTTACAAGTGTCACATTCAAAAGGATAAATATGCAAATGTGCGATTATGTTCAATGAAACGATTTAGGATCGGTGTTCTGAGATGGAGGGGGGATCCAGACATAATAATGTTAGTTTTCTGAATAAGCTCGTAAAGTTTAAGAATAGGTACTAGCCTTTTGAGGTGTTTGCCCAGTGAACGCGTTTCTCATTCGAAATCTTCCTTGGTGAAAGTTTTCGACGATGCTACACACCAGTTCAGCCCCTTGTTCAAAATTTAGGCGATTCTTCCATTAGTTATTGATGTCAGTTTAGTGAAAATGTTTCTTGTTTCTTAATGAGACCGTGCAAACCCTGGATATTTTTGTCCCCCGACTATTAATAATTGACGGTACTTGCGTGGGATATGAACCCACATGCGGTTTCTTATAACTGTTGCATTAGATGTTGATAGAGGCGTCTTATTTACCAATATTTTTTTCAAAAAGGAGGGCTCAACTCTAAGGCTACCCGGTCTACTCTTAAGGTTTTCTATTTGATCCCGATAAGTTTTAATTTCACTTTGCACAACTCGAATAGAGTCTACCATATTCCTGTTCATGCTATTCAATTCTTTTTAGTATAATCGTTAAATTTTTCCATCGTATTTTTAAGATCAACAATTTCTGCTTTTAAGTTTGCACTCAGTGCTTCGTTATCCTTATGAAGAGTTCAGTCAGATGAAAAGCCACCAGATACGGATAATAAATTGAGAAAGTGGAGAAGCTCAAAGTAGTTCTGTGTTCGGTCTAGAAATGAAACAATCAAATAAGTGCACATTTTTAAAATTTATTTTCAACTTGTTCGCTAAACGATAATAAATAAATCACAACCAATAATCTCACATTGCTAAAATTTCTATGTCACATAAATTTTTCTAATAGTTATACTTAAACACAAATCTAAATTTATACTCAAATCTACTTATTTTTTATCATCAAAGTGCTTCTTAACGAAAAAGCCACCCACTGTGACTGCAACCCCCAACCCAAACACCAACGAATACGTCAAAAACCTCTTAACACTAACATGCCTATTGAAGATATTGAAAGCCATCCTCAGTAGTTTGGTGTGTTTTTCCGAATAAGGCGGATATCTCATTTCTTGTGTCTTTTCGTTGATCGGATTGAAAGTTCTCAACAAAACACTTTTTTTATGAACAAAAGTGTCAAAGGTTTTTTTGCCATGGTACGACCCCATGCCACTGTTTCCAACACCTCCAAAAGGCAAATATTCCACCGCTAAATGCATCATTGTATCGTTGATGCAAACCCCTCCGCTGCTGGTTTTAGTCAAAAACAAATCTTTGATTTTTTGGTTTTTAGTGAAAACGTACATCGCCAAAGGTTTTTCTTTTGAGTTTATCAAATTAACCGCTTCTTGAGCATCTTTCACGATAACAATTGGCAATACCGGCCCGAAAATTTCTTCTTTCATAATATCATCGTCAGGTTTCACGTCTACAAGAATCGTAGGTGAAATGTACAGCTCTTGAGCATCCACGTTTCCGCCGAAGGCAATTTTCTGATTTCTCAAAAGGTTACAGATCCTAATAAAACTCCTTTCGTTTATAATCCTAGCCAGATCTTTAGATTGTTTAATGTTTGAACCAAAAGCCTCCTTAATATATTTTTCGGCGTGTTGTAGGAACTTTTCCTGCACTTCTTGCGTACAAAGCAAATAATCTGGAGCCACGCAAGTTTGGCCACAATTCGAGAATTTACCCCAGAGAATCCTTTTTGTTGCCATCGCAATATCAGCGGTCGAATCGATGAAAGTTGGACTTTTGCCACCCAATTCTAATGTGCATGGTGTCAGATGTTTTGCTGCAGCTTTGTGGACTATTTTACCAACTTGAGTGGAACCTGTGTAGAATATATAATCAAACCTAGAATTTTTTTAAATTTATATTAGATGTGTTCAAACTTGTAATAAATTATTTACCGTTCTTTCAATAGATCCGTCGTCTCTGGAATGCCTCCTAAAACCACTGGATAACATTCCTTATCAATATATCTTGGTAAATTGTCGAAGAAAAACTGCGAAGTGTGCACAGACACGTCAGACGGTTTGATGATGCAACAATTTCCAGCTGCAATGGCACCCAAAACGGGTCCCAATGTCAAATTCAGTGGATAATTCCAGGCGCCCAAAACTAGGACCACGCCCAAAGGATCCGAATAAATTCTGAGGTTGTCAAAGAAGTTTATCAAAGGCTTGTCTGGTTTTTCCGGTTTCATCCAGGACTTTAGGTTTTTGATGATGTGGTCCGCTTTTGCTATCATAAAGTCGATTTCCAGAACATAGCATTCTTGTTGAGGCTTCCTAATATGAACATTTATATAATAATTTAATTAAATTGCTGTGAAATCTAATTATTACCTGAAATCAGCATATAAAGTATTGCAAATCTCCTTTCCATTTTCCTCCATGAATCGTTTCAAATTTTTCAATTGTTGCAATCGGAATTCGTACGGTACGGTTTTGCCAGAGTTGAAAGCCTTCCTGGCAACAGCTACAGTTTCCGAGGCTGAGCGTTTTTCTACAGCTGTCGCAGTTTCCATGTCGATTATGGATACATGATTAGTTCCGTTATGGGAGTTTTGGACCCTGGAAAAAAAAATTACGTGTCTATCTGACATTTTATCAATGAATGAGCCAGGAAGCAAAAACTTGTTAAATAAAAGATAAGACAATAAGAACAGGGTGTTCCAGGAATAAGTACATTAATTTTATCAAGTATAAAAGCTGTATTTTGTAGATAGAGCCTTATCTTATTCTAAAGCTAAACAACTTTTAGGCCATTAGTTTATTAGTGGCGTTTAAAATGGTCGAAGGGTTTTACTAAACTAGAAACAGTAGAAACAAACAGCATAGAACAGTTGGCTTACAATAGTTAGGGGCCCATATCCAATTTTGAACCACAAAACTAAAGAGGAAAGGAGTGTCTAAGAGGGCAAAACTAAATTGTTCCCTCTACACGACAATTTAGGGTTTTGTAAAACTAATCCAATTATTTTTGGGACACCCTCTCCCATATAACTATACCTAATAAGAAATGCAAATAAAATATTCATAGAAAATGACCGGTCAAAAACACAATAAGCTAGTTTTTATTGAATAATTTATTACAAAACAAGAATTTCGACCTCAGAAACCTAAACAACAATAATATTTTGCTTAAAAAATTCCACCGTTTAGTTCTCAGCTATGTTACTTTTGCAAAAAAAATGGAAAAATTTGTCAAGGCCAACTGCATAGGTATATTAAAATTGTAACAGTTATCATGACCTTTATATTTATTGTTTGTGTGGTTTCTCAAAGATTAAACTTATTGATTATTATCAAACACTTACCTAGGAAGAATGTACTCTCCGTCAGTCATTTTGGAACCAAAAAAACTGAAACAAAAATCTTAATTTCATATGTATTATCATAGCATAGCCACAAGATTCTAGAAATACAACTTGGATGGTGAAATTATAAGCTTATATACTTAAATAATAAAAAAATAATATTAGCTTCTATTAAGTACAATTTCGAAATGAATATTTTATTATGTAGTCTTTAGAAAACGATTTTTTTTGCCTACCTGTCTAAGGCTCAATTTACTGAACTCAACCTCTATACAATTATACGATAAGAAATAAGGTCGATATACCAGATAATGATATGAACTATGTATGGAATTTTTTCAATTAAAGTTATTGTATGTCTTGGAAACTTACAGAAAATGAAGGGTTTTACGATCACGATCATTTTAAAAATAAATCGTTCCGACGAGATAATTATTCCGTCAAGTGTGAGTTCGTTTATCTGGTAAATATCAGAAGTGTACATTGTGAAGCTGTTAAACAAGATTTAATTATAGTTAACACAATATAACTGGGCTAATAGAATGGGTTGCTATTTATATCAGTAACAATGACTGTGCAAGACAAACAGAGATGAAAGACTTATCTACGGAAAAAATGATTCATATAGTTACGTTGAGAAACACTTTTGAAACTGGAACATAATTTCATTTGTGTAGATTTTTTTATGGATTTACATCTATTTTGTTACTGGAGCGATTGGAACTCAGGCTTATTCAGACAGTGCAATTGCACATGAAGAAAATATAGGTACTAGAAGAGTAAGGGAGTCATTCATCATTGACAAAGATGAAAACTTGTAAGAAAATCAAAAAGAGTCCACCACAACATTGTCAAATTTCTGGCATTAAAGCATAGAAAGCAATTATATACAGGGTGTAACAAAATAACACCGACACGCGTTTAGGGGTCAATGCAAGTAATTTGACATAGGGAACATGGGGTCGCAGATGACCGGATGAACCGTATGTCGAGATTAAATGCCTGTGTACTCTAAAGGTATAAAAAAAGGCGTTTATCAATAAAAAAATGCGATATGGCTTGGCCCCATTTACGTTGAGATTGGTATCGATACATGTTTCAAGTATCAGTATCTTGATACAAATCTCACTGTGTATTTGTCGGTCTCAGTATCGCTGTATTGGTTACAGATGGTATCGCCGTCTGTATGACTATACTGAAACTTTGATACCGGACGCATGCAACTGATACTTGTTTCAACGTGTATGTTCAAGTTTATTGTATCACGCTATTAAAATATTACCAGTGTTGTTTCCAACATGGAAGAATTGGAGGAGTTTTGGTAGGAATTTATGAATTTATATAAATTATATCCATGTTGATTGAACTGAACTTGTGACTGAACTGATGTTGAAACATGTTGAAACATGGATACAAATCTCAGATACATCTCTTAAGGTCCCCATTCACTTGAAATCGGTATCGATACATGTCTCGCGATAGGCAGCGTTACATGTATCTGAGAGGTATATCCATATTTCAACTGCTCCTACACGTTGAGATGAGCTCAGGAAACATCATTTCAGTCACAAGTTCAGTTCAATCCACATTTGAAAACAAAATGGAGCCGCATCCCATCCCAAATTTACTGCAAGAATTAAAAGTCGACAAACCCAAATGATTTCAAAAACCATTTACAAATGGATGACATTTTATTCAATTAAATATTAGAGATAGTAAAACCAAAAATTATTTGAAAAAAATATACTGTTATGAGGGATTCAGTGATCACTATAAGCATATTTAGCTACGATCACTATTAGCATATTTTTTCTTGCACTTGTTAACCAAAACTGTCATTGCCGATTCTCCAAGTTGTCTATTTGAATATTCTTTGCATTTTGAGTTCCATAAACATGGATATAAGATATAATTTATTTAAATTCGAAAACTCTTCCTAAAACTCACGATCTTCCATGTTGATGGTAACAACACTGTTTATATTTCCGTAGCGCGATACATAAGCTTTGTTCCAACACGTCAAGAAACCGTACAATTTACACTCACAATTTTGCGCAAAACTTAAAATTTGTGCGTAGAGTCCGAAATTCTTATACTGAGTGGTTCCGAAACCGTTCATGACACGGTTTTTTGATGTATTGTAACCGACCTTATATACTTCAAATCAACATACACGTTGAAACAAGTATCTGTTGCATATAGACGGCGATACCATCTGATACCGATACAGCGATATTGAGACAGACAAATAAACAGTGAGATTTGTATCATTATACTGGCTATGTTTCGATATCAACTGTCAGTACTGAATTTGGCGCAATTAGGGGGGGCCTGGGGGGGGCTTAGCCCCCCCGAGCTCAAGATTAGCCCCCCCAAACCCGAAGGTCACGAACATGATGATAATAGGTCTGTTTCTGCAGAAATCACAAACCAGTCAGAGAGAATTTCATTGGTTGAAAACAGTCAGAAACAGTCAAAAAAGTAATTTCAACCAATGAAATTCACTCTGACTGGTTTGTGATTTCTGCAGAAACAGACCTAATGACACAAATTAGCCATCCGCCCTCCCAAACCAGAGGGAGCAGGGGGCGATTTTCGAAACCATTCGAGTACATTCCGTATACGAAATTTGACTGACAGCAATGTAAATCAAATGGGGAGTATTCGAAATCATATCAAATTTCGTATACGAAATGTACTCGAATGGTTTCGAAAATCGTATCCCACAGATCTGAGTCGCTTTCCAGTGAGTTAATCACTCATCGCCGCGATGAAACACGTCGTACCAAAACCGAAGTGTGTAGTAGGAAACCGTCGTGTTTTTCTACCACACACTTCGGTTTTGGAACGACGTGTTTCATCACGGCGATGAAAACCGTCGTGTGTGTGGGGCCCTTTAAAAGTAGGGTGCGTTCCAGTGACACAACAGTTTTTTAACCCTTTCATCTGCTGGTCCGTGTCTGTTTGTGCACTGTGCACTTAGTAGGAATTTAATTTAACAGAACTTGTTTCAGTTTTTAAGTTGTTTTTAGTACCGATTTAAGTAGTTTAACAAGTTTTAAACTCAATATATTTTTACTTACATATTATGTATGTATGTACCGGGTGTTTTTTTATCTTTGATATCATTTTGATCACCTGTAACTTTTTTATTTTTGAAGTTATCAAGGTAAACAAAAAAAAACAGAATGTTTTTTTTTGAAGTTACACATAAAACGAAACTATCAACTTTTTGACATATAAGCCTACAATATATTTTTTCAAATGGAACACCCTGTATATTATATGTGTGTTCGATAGAATATCTGATTACAATGATATAACACACTTCATATTTTGGTCCACTCGTTTTTGAAAAATCGGCTAAAATATGAAACTTTCGAAGTGAAAGTTATTAGGCGGGGGTCTGATATTTCGGACGAGAATTATTGAGAGCATATAAAAATTTCATATATTTTTGCCGATTTGTCAAAAACGAGTGGAACAAAATATGAAGTGTGTTATATTATTGTAATCAGAATAAGATGTTTTATCGAACACACATATAATATACAGAGTGTTCCATTTAAAAAAATATAGTGTAGGCTTATATGTCAAAAAATTGATGTGTTTTGTTTCATGTGTAGCTTTAAAAAAAACTTGGCTATTAATCCTACATTTTTTTTACCTTGATATCTTTAATGGTTATTTATGCACCAAGTGAGTTAAATGAATGTTTATTCATGAGAAGAAAGTTTAACCAACGAGCCCTGGCGAGTGGGTTAATTTTCTTCGAATGAATAAACATTTCAACTCACGTGATATATACAAAATTTTATCCCATTTTGTGGAAATTTGAAAAATAAAGTACAAGGAAAAATTCCAAGAATGAGTTAAAAATATTTTAAATCACTGAAGTATCAGATGTTTAGTTAGGCAGAGTGACTTAAAATGCCGAGAGTGAGTTAAAATCTTTTTAAATCACTGAGGTGATAAACGTCTACTTACCTTCATTGTTATGCGTTCAATAATGACATTTTTAAACGTCAAAATGGGATAAAAACAAATAAGTTACAGGTGATCAAAATGATATCAAAGATAAAAAAACACCCGGTACATACATAAAAATGTCTCTTATAACTTTGTTTTTTTTTTTTTTCAACTAAGAACGTAGATTATATCGTTGATTGACAAAGTTTATAGCAGAGTATTTCCGTCAAATTCAGGTATTTGTGAAATACGTAGGTAGGTACTGTAGTAAGTTTTGAAAAACATCATATACTGTCACCAAATCGACTTATAGAGACCCGGGGCTCAAGTCCCCCCCAAACCAACAAGCTAGTTGCGCCCCTGTGGACGCCGTTCCGATATTATATTCAGGTTTCAGTACACTGATTCGGTACTGAATGACCCCCAGAGTACATTGTTGAAATCGGAACGGCAAATTACAGTAAAATCAGTGCAGTAAATCCAGTACTGGCAGTTAATATCGGATATCGGAACAGCCACTGATATTTGAAACATGTATCGATATACCGATCTCAACGTGAATGGTGCCCTTTATGCATTATTCCCTTATCTTCTGGTACAGCTTTTATTCCCTTATCAGTAGGTATGTAGAATGTTAATTAGTATAGTAGCTTTACCAGACTTTTTTGGCGCTGTTTAAACTTGTTTCAAGTTGTTAACAACATGTTCACCTATTATTATTTGATTCTGGTGTGTAATTTTGTTCTTTGTAAACCATGCATCATTTCTCTTTTGACGAAGCGGACATGAAGCTCGTCTATGGCGCCGCGATTGAATATGATTAAAGTTTTCCGGACGTGTACTTTTTCGGCACTGGACCGTCGTTTAAAGGAAACTGATTCACTTACTGTATACGTAAGCCTGATAGTAGTGAAGAAAAACGATTAATTTTGAAGAAGAAGTGCTCCGTACTCCATCAAGTAACAGCCAATATGCTCATCAGGACACGAGCCGTTGCTCACGTTCTAAATTGCGATCACATGACCGTTCATCGCATCATAAAGGAACGCCCTGTATCCCTATCATCTTCAAAAGGTCCAAGAGCTCTTGCCAGATGATTATCCTTTTAGGGTACAGTTTGCCCAATGGTACTGGCACAAGTGCACGCAGAACCCACGATTTGCAAACATTGTGTTTTGGACGTATGAAGCTTGTTTTACTTGTTTTAACAGACGAAATAGCCACATTTATGCTGAGGATAACCAACACGCAATGCATGTGCATCATTTTAAACACTTATTTGCCGTTAACATATAGGCTGCCATAGTAAATACCTGCATAATTGAACCGTATTTGTTGCCCCCACGCTTTAACGCTCATGTTTATTTTCGATTCTTGCAACACGTCCTACCAGAGCTACTAGAAGAAGTACCACCATATGTGGTATCAACACGATGGTGCACCAGCCCATTTTGGACTAGCTTGCCGGGAGTATCTTGATTTGATCATTCCGCAACGATGAATTGCGCGAGGAGGCCTTGTACACTAGCCCGCTCGATCGCCAGATATGACTCCACTAGATTTTTACTTGTAGGGTCAAGTTAAGGCGTTAGTTTACGAAACTCCTGTAAATTCGCAAGAGGAATTACCTACTTGGCAGAATCATGGCTGCCTTTGAGCTAATTGACAACAGGGTGGAAGTTCTGGGAGGTGTAAGGAGATCGATCTTTCCATATGTGCATAGAGAAAGGTAGTCGACACTTCGAGCCTTTTCTGTAAATCTCTTACTGTTTAAGTAGCGTACCTAATGTATGTCGTGGCCGAATGCAATAAACAAGGTTTTTTTTATTTTAAAGTTTATCATAAGCGTACAAGAATTTAATTTCGACATACGGTTCATCCGGTCGACGTCAGACTTGAAAAGTTCATATCTCTGTAGGGGTGCATCTGCGACCCCATTTTCACTATGTCAAATTATTTGCATAACTCTACCACCCCTAAACGCGTGTCGATGTTATTCTGTTAAACCCTGTATATAATACACACAATATTAGAGGATATCAAAGATGCTTTGGTTCGGACATGGTCGATTTCTTGAATTTAATAATAATCTTAACGTATAACTAGACTCAAAGAGGCAGTAGAAAGTAGGTATGTTTCAAAACTATAAATTTCAGAAGATCTATAATTTTCGGTGATTACAATCTCCCAGAGGCTCTCTGGTCCAATGACGAACGTGAAGTGCAAGTTGAATGTCCAGCTTCTTCATTGGCAGTGCATGTTGCTCAATCTTTTGGATACCTACAGCTTTTCGAAAAGATAACTATACCTAATAAGAGACATATATTTTTGGATATTGCCTTTACAAATGATCAAAATGTAAATATAATTATAGCTTGTAACCCAATTTTTGATGATAGTTTGCATCATCTTAGAAACGAATGTGTTATAAGGATCCTGGGTGGAATGCAGATAAACAATAGTCTACATTGTGAGGACTTCTACTATGATTTTAAAAATGCTAACTTTTTTGGCTTAAACAATTTTTTGGGTGGTGTTAACTGGGAGCAATGCTTGAGAAATTTAGATATTAATTTAGCTTTAGAAACCTTTTATGCGACTTTAGGTATAGGTATCGCCTATTTTGTACCTGTCAGGAAGTACAAGTCTGATTCTTTTCCTAAATGGTTCTCACCAGAGTTGAAATATCTTACGATTCAAAAGAGGAACGTACATAGAACCCATGTGGAGTCTAAGTCTGTTTTGTTTGGGACTATGCTGAGTTTTCCAGGTTGAGGTCGGAAATAAACGGTGTCGTAACATCTGCTGGTCTCAGTGTATGTCAAAAGTGGATATTGAATAATTTAAAACTAATCCGAAATACTTTTGGAAGTATGTAAGACATTTGAAATTATGAATTTCGGAGAGAATAGAGCTGACAATGGTCAAGATATTGTTGCATTATTTAAAAAATACTTTGAGACTGTTTATACCCCGGGGGACCTGGATGATTCACTGGACTTCAAAACTCCGTTGAATATTTCGGAGAATTTCAGGCTTGCACACATTTCTAGAGAGGACATTTATAATAAGATAGCTTGCTTACGAAACAAGGATACACTGGGTCCTGATGATTTCTTTACACTACGAGTGATTTCTTTACACTTATTATTTAACAAATCACTAGTATCCACAACTTTTCCAGAGAGATGGAAGCATAGTGGCTCAATTTTTTGAAATCCTAACATGACTATGAATAATTGCGAATATTTGTCAATTATTTTACGACAAATTGGTATAAATTATATATCTCTGGAAAGAGCAATAAATTCTGTATAAATTGAGCATTTGCAAACTGACAAACCTGAAGAGCAGATCTACCAAAGTTCAAATCTTCGCAAAATTCAAAAAAAAATTGATGAGAAATGACCGAAAGATTATGTTTCATGACATGGTAGAGAAAATTTATGACGTAGAATGTTTAAAGCTATCGACTAGAAAAATTAAAAAAAGTAATAACATCCTACAACGACTAGGTATACAGAATTTGGATCATTATAGACTGACCAGATTCTAAGTTAAGAAAATCTGGCCCATAGCTCTATCTTTGTAGAAAAACTACTTCATTATACACACATCAAATTTTTATTCTAGGAAACTTTGAGTCATTACATTTTTTATAAAGAATCTGGCTCATCCTTCTCACAATAACTACAATCCACAATTATGGAAACATACAACTAAAGGTATATACATTCATAACATTACGATTTATGAGTGGAAGTCAGATAGAAAAATAGGGCGTGATAGATCAACGCGAAGGTGATAAAGTTTCGATGAGGATATTAGAGATAAAACCTTCGAAGAAGATGATACCTACGGTATAACAGAGGCTCAGGAAAAGGAAGAGACTGTTCTGTATCTATGTATAGAAGCAAGTACCTATCATGTTTCAATTCTTCAAAGAATTCCCCTAATCTAGGGCTATCAGCAAAACGGAAAGGGTGCCCAAATGCCATACTTGATGAAAAAAATAACGGCAAAATCAACTATAGAAAAAGCAGAAGAATAGAACAGAAAGTTTAATGGAAATACTTGAAACAAAGGTAAAAAAACCCTATTTGACAATAAAGTGAGATTATTCTCAGGATTTTCCAATTTTCAAGACCAAAAATAACTTGATTAATTGATTATACTAATCAGTCCTGGGAACCTATTTTTCTTTACTTATCCAATAAACATTTAAACTTACTTTTTTTCCTTTCAAGATGAGCAATCAATCACATATCAAAAAAAAAATCACAAAATTCGAAAAATCACCGATTATTTCTGCTGCAACAAAATCTTAATATAGACGCCTGATGGTTCTCACTGTCGAGGCCAGAATCGAACGAAATGAATAATTTCCCGGCGCCGAGAAATGGTTCCAATCAATTTGCGCGAAACATTTACTATACTAGGTCTGTTAATTAAATATTAATAATTTGCGGTGTTCCTATTGGTCGGCAATAAATAGAGTCTTGGGTCTTCTTTTCAATTATTAATAATTCGATCTTGACACGACAAGGCATTGAAACAAAAACTACACAGTAAACTCTTATCGGACAATTAATTATCGTTTTAAAAATAAGATAATTTACCTTAAGTATTTGATACAATTTAATCACTTATAGATATGGATATTTTATTCACCGCAAGAAATAATTGAAGACCAGTTACACACAGGATACACAATTTTTTGATAAGAATCACAATCACTCGTTGCTTTTAACCGCAATTTAATGACGCATTGTTTAAATTTGTCGAACGTGCTATTCTGGTTTTTACTTATCAAGTGATTTTCATAAGCGTATTTTAATTGCTCGTAATGGAAAAAAACTTCAAGTTTTTAATATTTTCATTTCTATTCATTTTCAATTATATTTGTAATTGCTTCGAAAGAATGCAATACAGATTATTTTGAAATTAGCTGAAATTACTATGGGTTACTTGCAGACTTTTGCAAAAAGTTAGATCTGATATTCTGAATAATGAAGTCAGTTTCAGTTCAGCTATGGATTGAATAATATGAACTGAACTGCTTGAAAACGATAGAAATTTATTAATTTTCTCAATTTCATTGGTTTATTTTGATGTAATACTAACTGAAAGAAATTCAAAATTTCTTCAAACGTTCACATCTGCAAAAAACGTATTCATGAAGCATCTTCAAAAACCTTTGTATTTATTACATCAACAAAGAAAAAAAAAATTCATTTGACTTTGACTTGTTTCACTTTGAACAAAAAATATGTTGTTCAACTTGATAGATTTTTAATTAACCTTGACCAATTATGTTCAGCTTTTAAAGAAATGCATTTATTGCACTCGCTCACCTTTAATTGAACACCAATTTGAATCTTTTCAGTTCCAAGGTGACAAACACGAAGCCTACGTCCGTTTAACTTTGCACCAGCACTACAGGGCGGTCAAAGAAAAACGCACCAACATCTCCAAACCTTCCAGGGACGGTAACGTTTGTTTCGCCGAAGGTTTCAACTTGAAAATGGCGCCCACCCAGGCTGACGTCAGCAGTTTGGCTTTTCACGTTTTCCAGCACACCTCTGGATATGGTAAGGGTGCGTGTCGTGTTTCGAGGTCTAGTCTCTATGATTTTATTTTTTTTGGTATTTGTCTATTTTTATTATTTTAGGTAGTATTTGTTGCATGTTTGTTTATGTAGGAAACAGGGTTGGCATACACAAAAACCCACCATCAGTATTGACAAAAACCCAGTGGACTCATTCCTGATGCCATAGCCATACAAATTATATAAAAGAACTTACAGGGTATATACCAACAATAAGCTAAATTATTTAAATAATTTTCTTATTCCAGGCTCTTGAATTTGTTTTAAATGTTCATAATTCAGAGTCGAAAATCAAAGTAGTGGAAAGAAAAAAACTACTCCACTATACACCAACATTCTTGCTCTGATGGATCTGAGAAATTCAAAACTTGGCTTCAAAAGTTATGAGCCAATGGAAGCTTCCTTTCAAATCTTTCTCTAAATCTGAGGCTCAGAAAAATATGAGCAAATCATAAAATCTGATAGTTTAAATGCTCAGAAACACTATGTTTGTCATCTAAGCTGCATTCAACCTCTAAATTTCACAAAATCTAAAAAGAAAGATGAGCCTATAGAATCTACAACTTTTTCTTGAAGATTTCATTTCTAGAATCTTCGAAATCGTGTCCATTTAAAATACACATATGTCTTTGCTTTGAATCTGAGATATCTGGAAATACATATACCTAAGCAAATCAGAGAATCTGAAAATAAATCCGAAGAAAATTAAACTTAGGATTAATAGCAATAAATCAACAGAGAATTTTACAGGGTAAAAACAATAAGCTAAATTATTAGGGTAATTTTCCCATTCCAGGCTCTTGAATTTGTTTTGAATGTTCATAATTTATTAGTCTCAAATAGACAACAATTGGAATGAAAAATGATCGAGAGTATCTAGTAAATTGAAAAAAAAAAAACACTCCACTACACCAACATGTTTGCTCTGGATCTGAGAAATTCAAAACTTGGCTTCAAGATCTACGAGCCAAGAAGCTTCTTCTCAAATCTCTTTCTGGCTCAGAAAGATTATGAGCAAATCAGAGAATCTGATAGTTATAGGGCTCAAAAACTCTATCTTTATCATCTAAGCTGTATTTCAGCTCTTAATTTCACAAAATCAAAATAGCTGTGAATGAGATGAGCCTATAGAATCTGAAACTTTTTCTTGAAAATTTCATTTTTGAAATCTTCAAAATCTTCTCTGAATATGAATAACTCGGACCACAGATACAGAAGTGAAAACCGCAAGGAACCTTTTCTCGAGATAACTACTCGTAGTAAAAACTGTGGTAGTAACTTAACTAAAAAAATAATTTGTGCTATTGAACTACCTACCTAATATATGTATTTTATATACAATTTTGTCAAGTTCAGTAAACACAAAATCCTACAAAAACATAAAAATGTTCAAAAATCGGGGTTGTTGCCAATCCTGGTATAGTACAGCGGATTAGCTTACCTACCTATTGTGCACTTTTTGATAAAGGCACCAAATTTGGCACAGAGGTAGATCGATGTAATATGAACAAATTTGAATGTGGAGCCATCGGCCAACTGCCTCCGGCGGCCATGGCGGCGATCTTCCAAAATGGCTGCCAGTGGATTGTAGTGGACACCCCGAAAGACAACGGAAGTTAGATAAAGTTTGCTGCTGACGGTTTTAGTGAGTTTTTATTGATTGTTTTCAATGAAAGCATGCCAGATAGTTTGTAAGTTATACAGGATGGGGCACAAAAAACTTCCCATCTAGGTTTTCTTAGGTGTTATAGGTGATTAATCAAAAATTGCTCGGACACGTCATTTTTTGTTTTTTGGGAGACACATTTTATTGGTATTTTCACCCTTTACTCGCAAAATTTCAAATGGAAAGGGGGTTCGAGTGATACAATGTACTACATATTTCCTAACTTGACAAGCCGCCATTTCGACAGGGACTATTTACCCTACCCTAACTTAAAACTTCGAGGAAATAATCTTAATAAAACTTTCGATCAAATGACGTATCACTCGACCTTCCATTCTATTTGAAATTTTGGGGGTACCTATCACCCCCGCTTAGGGGTTGACAGGTAGGGGGGTGAAAATACCAATAAAATGGTCGAGCGATTTTTGATTATTCACCTAATATCTGAGAAAACCAGGGTGGGAAGTTTTTAGTGCCCTGCCCCCTGCCCTATATATACAAGGTGTCTCATGAGGTTTTACCCAGGTGATAACTTTGGAATGCGTCATCCAATATAATTGAAATTTTGAGGATCTGAGTAACTTTTTGTGCCGCTTCTACATGCGTCATCCATGAGTAACTTTTTGTGCCGCTTCTACATGCGTCATCCAATTTCACTTTAGCTTCAGTTCCGGTCAAGTGTCGGCAACTTTAGAATCTCAAATGTATCTGATGGTATTATACAGTGTGTCCACTTAAGTTCGCAGCATATGGGAAACTTTTTTATTATCAATTTTACGTGAAAAAGTTATTCTTTATAAAAGTTTCTGCTTCTTGGAAAAAATACTATTAAACTATTAAAACTTGAAATAGCAGCATACAGGGTGGTGAGTAAATAAAAAAAGATACAGAGTTTTTTGGTAAAAGTAAAACAAAAAATGGTACGTCACTATTTTTTCAAACCTTCGATATTTTTTTCAGATTAAGCAAGTCATATTACAGAAAAAAGATATAGTATTTGTAATACCCATTTAGAATAACCCCATCCTTATTTATCAATCGCGAATCAGATGAAACAAAAAATTACCAACAAAAACGAATGTCGATTGCTAATACGTCAATTTCATGAACAAATAGGAAATTCCTAACCTAATTTTATTTGTGTGTCAAGAAGCGACATACGTTTTGTCACTAGAACGACTGGTACTTCTAAATAGGTATTAAAAATACTATACCTTTCGTTATCACAAAGAAACCTTCCGAATTTGAAAAAAAAAATGGAAAAGGGATTTTTGAGTTAAAAAAACGATTTTTTTCTAAAACTTTGACACCCTGTATCTCAGAAACTACGCGTTTTCGAACACATGGTTATGGGAACTTTTTTTCTTAAAATATTGTAAGGAATCACATCCTGAAGTTACGAACCGTACTTAGGAAACGCGCTGTATATTTTTCTATTTTTTGACCACCCTGTACAGGGTGTCCGAATTTGGATGGTTTTAATAGGAAACGTCAATTTCTGAGCGAGATACAAAAAAATGAACCCCCCACTCCGAGGCTCGGGTTTCTTGAAATTTTGATTGGTGCAAACCGCATTTTGATATCTTCAACCGTTTAGCCGCTAGAGGGCGATTCTCGATTTTGAGCAATACTGTGAAATCTTCATAACTTTTTTGTTTATAAAAATAACTGATTTCCGTAAACACTTCCTAGAGGCACTTTTTCAAGCAGAATTCAGTGACGTTTTCAGTTTTTTTCTATTGGGCTTCGATTTCAAGATATTGACCAAAAACCGATTTTTTTCAATGGGACACCCTATATATTAATAGCTCTATTAAAAGCTTTGCTTTTCCTGATTTCAATGATATAAATTTCGATAGGTTTATCTCTAACAGTTTTCGAGAAAAAAGATTTTTTCGTTTTTTTCCATAAGAAACAATGTGTTAAAACAGGTCTTTATATTTGTAAGGAAAATGAGAAAGGTCTCTTTCTAACTCATTGTTTCTTATGACAAAAACCAAAATATTTTTTTTCCTGGAAAACTGTTAGAGATAAACCCATCGAAATTTGTATCATTGAAATCAGCAAAAGCAGAGCTTTCTAAAGAGCTATTAATATATAGGCTGTCCCATTGAAAAAAATCGGATTTTGGTCAATATTTTGGAACCGAGGCCCAATCGAAAAAAACTGAAAACGTCACTGAATTCTGCTTAAAAAAGTGCTTCTAGGAAGTTTTTACGGAAATCAGTTATTTTCATAAACAAAAAAGTTATGAAGATTTCACAGTATTGCTCAAAATCGAGAATCGCCCTCTAGCGGCTAAACGGTTAAAGATATCAAAATGCGGTTTGCACCAATCAAAATTTCAAGAAGTTTGAGCCTCGGAGTGGGGGGTTCATTTTGTTGTATCTTGCTCAGAAATTGACGTTTCCTATTAAAACCATCCAAATTTGGACACCCTGTACATGCTATTTCAAGTTTTAAGAGTTAAGTAGTATTTTCTCAAGAAGCAGAAACTTTTTTTCGTAAAATCGATAATAAAAAAGTTTCCCATATGCTGCGAACTTAAGTGGACACACCTGTATAATTTTTCTTTAGAAAATTAAATTACAAAATCGGCAATGCATATTTGCTCTTTGTTAAAGAAAATGATAAAAAATTACCGATGACCCGTTCCGAAGTTATCACCTGAGTAAAACACCCTGTATATACAGGGTGGAGCACGAAAAACGTCCCACCCAGGTTTTCTTAGGTGTTAGGTGAAAAATCAAAAATGGCTCGACCATTTTATTGGTATTTTCACCCCCTAAGCGGGAGTGACAGGTAGGTACCTCAAAAATTTCGAACAGAAAGGGGGTCGGGTGATACGTAATTTGATAGAAATTTTTATTGAGATTTTTATCCTCGGAATTTAAAGTTTACCCTGCCAAAATTGTCAAAGTTAGGAAAAAGTACATTGTATCACTCGAACCCCCTTTCCATTTGAAATTTTGCGGGTACCTGTCACCCCCCTCTTAGGGATTGACAGGTATATAGAAGATGAAGATACCAATAAAATATGTCCCCCAAAAAACAAAAAATAACGTGTCCGAGCGATTTTTGATTTATCACCTAAAACCTGAGACGAGACTTGAGAAAACCTAGGTGGGAAGTTTTTCGTGCCCCACCCTGTATAACTTAAAAACCATCTGGCATATTTTCATTCAAAACAATCAATAAACATTTACTAAAACCTTCAGTGGTAAACTTTATCTTACTTCCGTTATTTTTCGGGATGTCCACTGGCGGCCATTTTAAAAAATCGCCGCCATAACCGCCAGGGGGCAGCTGGCCGATGGATGGCTCCACATCCAAATTTGTTCATATATTACATCGGTCTACTTCTGTATGCCAAATTTGGGGCTTTTATCAAAAAGTGCACAATGTGTTGAAATATCCTAGCTAAACTGCGGCACTAGTAGGAAATAATTGTGAATAAGTATCACAATTTGATATAATATCGGATATTACGCAAGGTTAATTATAACGGAACCATATTTTGCTATTAAATTACTTATTACTTCAAAGAAAGTGCATTTCTGTGCCCTACTAACCAGCTAATATTATCATATTATGCTCGTTACAAACTTAGTAGCCAGTTACTTTATGTTATGTAATTTTGAACGACACTTGCTTAGTTAGTTTATGTATATGGCCAGAGACTTATCTTATGTGATATAAACCCATAATAATTAAATAAATCATTTAGAGATACAATATGACATGACTTCAATATGCTATGTTCATGTAACAATTTAGTTCCTTCTTTCAAACTTTATATTCTCTCTAAAATACTTATTTTTTTTTTATCCTCATGTTTATTTTTATTTTCCAGATAAATTAATAGGAAAAGTGGTTCTGGGCTCATACATGTTCACCAGAGGCAAAGCTCTAACTCAATGGAACACGGCAATTTCCAGACCTATGGAGCATAGTCAGTCTTGGCATACTTTGTCTGAATAATTGATTCAATTATGTATTATTCAAATGAATGTAGCTATTATATTTTAAACTTGTTTATTTACTCAGGAATATAAATTAAAACGCTTGTATTATGTTATAAGCCGTATACTTTAAGATTGTCATGACCTGACCTGAATATGTTTTAGGTAAAGATTTGAATATATAATGAAGTTATAGTTTTTGGCATTAGTAGGTACCTACGAATTGAGATTTTTTTTGATGTTTTTCAATTTAGTACTATAGAAGGTTTTGTTGCATAACTATATTCAAATCGTCATAACACAATATTTCGCAAAAGCTTTGTGATTTTTAATTTTTCTTATTTCTCTTGATCCTTATTAATATTTTTTTAGCGGTTCTCAAAAATTTAAACATATTTTAATGCACTAAAATATGACATCTCCGAAGGGTAAACCACTAGTGGAAATCATTGTACAATTTTTTGGGAATCACATAGTAATCAATCAGGAATACATGGAAATCACTCGGGAGTTCCTGGGAATCGCTAGGAATCTCCTAGGACTCCATGGGAATAACATAGAAATCAGAAATCCATTGGCAATCGCTGAGAATCATGTTGTAATCGCTGGAAATATAATCTCATTTTCATCCAGAAATCGCATATCATAAATTTTAAACGATACAGTGTACCGGTCAGTTCTGTATTTGCCTTAAAGACTAAGTTTTAGGCAACTTGAGTGCTAGACAATTTGAAATGAATTTGATATTCCAATGAGTTTCCAAATAACTAAGCCAATAACTGAACCCGAGACTACGAAGAGTTTAGAACTTGAAGAAGAAGAAGAATGAGATAAAGATTATGTCTGTTCTCACAGAAATCACAAACCAGTCAGATCGTTTTTGATTGGTGCAAATTGTCAACAACCAGTTTTCTGACTATTCTCAACCAATGAAATTCGCTCTGATTGGTTTGTGATTTCTGTGAGAACAGATCTAAAGTATGACAATGTTGTAGAGCATAAAAATGAAAACATAAATCTTGAAACATCTCTCGAATCCGACTTGCCAAAAGAAGACACAGAATTTCTTCACACATTAGGGTTCAGCAATTGCGATTCGCTACAATTTAGAGATTATTCAGGGCTCAATTTTAATTTGGTTTTTTCCAGAGAAGCAGGGACATTTGTTGATCGAGTATTAAGAGCCATGGAAATGACCCTGAGGAAGATACAAAAGAAAAAGTCGGGAATCCATAATAAGAACTTGAAAAGGGAATAGAGCGCGAGAAGCAGAGACGAAAGCACATCTGAATCAGAATCAGAAATAAGTTTGTTCAGTGAAACCCTAAATGAAGATGTCTCTGATTCAGATGAACATCCTAGTGAAATCAAAGAAATATCCATTATTTTAGATCCATGTTATGCAGTGTAGACACGCAATGGTATCTAAGGCGCAACAACTATTTAGGTATACCTAAGACAAAATCGGTGTAGGTTGTAGGTGTGGACAACCATGAAAATAAAAGTTGGAAGTCATTGTAGATTTGTAAGCATAGTGGTTGACCCCTCGGACACCTAGACATAAGGTTTCTATGAACTATAAAGAAATAAGATGACATGGAATACTAAAAAAACTTACAACAGTTAATGGAATATTATAATGTTATATTTATTTTATTATTATAAAATGCATAACTGAATTATGTAATAGCCAATATATCACATTAGCGTTATACAGTACAAAAATATTTATGTGAAAAAAGATTATTTAAAATTACTATTAAATGTAAAATAAAAATTGTCAAGTCTCATTTATTTTTCCTTGCACTTTGGATGGTATAGAGGTATACGTAATTTGCCTTTATTAATTAAGTTATTATTTTGCGAAACTTGTTTTCGGCTTGACGAAATTAATTGCAACGTTTGGAAAACTGACATCACAAACAAATCAAGAAAGGAAACTGGTTTCAAATAAACAACACGTTTAATATATATTATTACGACGCCCTGGACAAATTACAAAATATAATTGTCGCAGAAAATATATCCGACATTATTTTTTCCGAAAATACCTCACCTGTCCCAGCAGGCCGCGGTAATTAGCGTTTTTGTCGAACCGACTCTATATTGCATTCCGATATTTTATTTTAGAAATATTACAGCTGTTTGCAAAACCGAAATCCTCTAATAATAGAAAATGATAATTACCGCCTTCAATAACATGTTTTTTTTTTTCTCTCCAAGGATACAGAAAATCAAAATCTTATATGCATGGGAAAATGCATTATTTCAATTATAACTATTCCAATTTACCTTTGTTACAACGAATTCATTTGCGAACTAAATGGAGTGTAAAAAAATTTAATGTTTCGTTTTCATCACGTTTCTTTAATTGAGTTTTACTATATAATTTTGTCAAGCACCTTACACAAATTAACCACGCATTTGAAACTTGATCCGACCCAATTGTAAAACAAAATAATTTTGGATGATATTCACTCAATGTTGAAATGAAAAAACAAATAATTCATTTGTTCCTGGGTTAGAAGTTGAAAGGCAGTGCAAAAATGAGTAAAGATGATGAACCTTGGTCTTTGGATCCACCGAGAAGATCGTCCCTTTATGTAAGTATATGATGAAATCTTCAGTTTGGATTTTTGAAAAGTATTTATCAGGCATGATTGTTTTGGTAGTTATAGCGAAAACTCTCACTACTTCACTAGAGTAGCTTTGAAGCAGATATTTCTTCAATTTGGCTTCAGGTAAACTTATGATTCAACATTTATCAGATCTTCGTTGGTTGAAGATATTTTCTTCGTTAATTATTCAACAACATCGCTTTCTTCATTTAATAATTGTTCCAATATTCTTTCCTTTCGGTTCCAAAAGATATTTGCGTATCTTTGCCTCTTGGAATGATTGAAAGGTGAGATGGATCGACGACCTCAAACTTACTGCAAGATTATACTGGACTATAGAGTTCGCTGGCAAGAATTATTGATAATAGGCTAAAGAAGAAGTTGATGACTGAGCTATTAAGTTTTCTGGTCAGATTATTGAGGAAGCTTGTGGTAGTAATAAAATAACTCTGTCTTCAGTGTGCTTCAACAATAACCACAGTTTTTAAGAAACTAATGACATACACTGTTCTTTTGATTGACCAGCAACTGTTAAATTGAACAAGTTCTTTTATATAGGCCGACATACAAGACAACAGCCTATTTCTTAATACTTGAAAACTAATAACCATAGAGATTACAACAAGCTCACAAGCTACTACAATCTTATTCAACTAACTAAAGTGCGTTTTTTTTAAAGATGAAAGTCAAAATGACATTTTGTTGGCAATACAATGTAAAATTGTTAATGCTTTCAAATTTTTTATGTAGAAAAGGCTTGTTTTGCCAACATAGTTACTAAATTTTCGACTTACTTGGGGAATTATCTTTAAAAAAAAACGCACTTTAGTAACTATCAATCTATCACCTATGTATCAACAAAGTTTCATAGCTAGCTAGAGAAATTGGTTTCTTTATGTTTGTGAATCCTGTAATTTTAACACTAATGGTAATTTCTTCAATCAAAACATTCCTAAACTTAATTTGTGTAAAAGACAGCAATGCTTTTCATAACTCAAACTCTTAGTTAACAAATCTGCTGGCATTTCTCCTGTTGGCAAATACTTCCATTTTAAGTATTTATTTGCAACAACTTCCCTGATAAAATGATGTCTAACGTCTATATGCTTAGACCTTTTATGATATACAGGATTTGCAGATAAGTTTACAGCACTCTGATTATCGTTATACAACTGAATACATAGTGTTTTTCCTGTTAGTTCTTCAAACAAACTCTTTAAATAAATTGCCTCTTTTGCAGCCTCTGTTAGCGCCATGTATTCAGCTTCAGTGCTAGACAAAGCTACAGTTCTTTGTTTCGTGCTTTCATAAGAAATAACAGAACCCTCTGAAATTTAATTAGGTACATACTTAACCTGCATAAGATCTTCTGTCTTTTGAATCGTTAGCCCAATCGGCATCTACAAAACCAACCAGTTCTATTTTTTCGTCTGAATAAGTTAATTTATAATTCTTTGTACCTTTCAGATAACGTAAAATTCGTTTCGCACACTTCCAGCGAACCTCATTATGTGATAAATTGTATTGGCTCAAGTAACTGACACTATAAGATATGTCTGGAAGTATGAGAACACTTAGATACATAAGGCTGCCTATCAAATTGTTGATAAGGTACATCAACTTCATCACCACCCTGAGATAATACTCTCTCAAAATTTCGTCCATCATTCCCTGGAATGGAGCTGGAGCATTTTTCAATCCAAAGGGCATCCTTAGGTATTCGAAATGACCACTGTGAACTCTCTAATGGAGTCTTTGCAATTTTACTATCTGTCATATCAAACCTTATTTTCAACAACCAACCAATATAACGTTCTTGATTTAAAGTTATTATGTTTTTATTTTTATTTATATCGATTCCCATACCTAAACAATCCTTGATTTGACCCAAATCTTTAACTTTAAATCTAGAACCAAGCTCTTGTTTCAAAACATGAAAAAATAAAAAAATCATCAACATAGACAGCAACAATAGTTATAAGATTATCTGCACTTTTTGTAAACAGACATGGCTCTAAGTTAGATTTCTCATAGTTTAATTCCAACAAAACATTGTTACTCTCTCATGCCAAGCTCTTGAAGCTTGTTTTAAAATAAACCATGAATGGCTCGTTTTAACTTTAGAACCTTGTTTTCATTTGTTGTGTATTGGTTATATCCTTCAGGAATTTTCATACAGACATCTTCCTTGAGATAATCATTTGAAAAAGAACTTTTTACATCAAAGCGTTTAATATCTAATTTCAACTGAATAGACAAAGCAAAAAGTAGACGTTAAGTTGAATGTCTAACTACAGGAGCAAAGTCTCGTCATAATCTATACCTGTTTTCTGAGAAAAATCTCCATGCGAGCACGATATCTGACTTCACCTGCACTATTTTCCTTCCTTTTAAACACCCACTTACAACCAACGAAAGAAACATCTTTTGGCAAATCACTTACCACCCACGCATCATTCTCTTCAAATGTTTGCAATTCATCATTGATGGCACATTTCCATTGCTCGGAATCTGGTCTCAACAAAGCTTCTCTGAATGTCAATGAGTCTTCTAGACAGTCAGTAAAGTTTTCACACGAAAATGTTACATAGTCGTCCATTTTCTTAGGCTTGTGTTACCTACTGGATCGTCTGATGTCATTATAGGCTGAAACTCATCTTCTAGACCATTTTCGCATATATAATGTTTACGCAATAGTATTTGAAATTTAGCAAACTGGACTGTGACTGGAAAATCGCGCAAACAAATTGAAATAGAAATGAAAATGATACCATAGGGTTGTCGAAACACACAAAAGTTATTACCACTCATCTGGGTTTTCTTATAAGCTGTGCGTATATACGGGGATCCCCTGGAAAACGGTTCTCCACAACCACCAACGTATCACCATCGACTTAAGGCACTCAAGGTCCCTTTTTAACGGCATCAGATATAGACTTTTTGAGTTTAAAACACGGAACCGGAAGAAATTGCAACGTGATCTAGTGTGTGTAAATCCAAATCTTCAACAGCTGCGTCGGTCAGCGCAGGATCGTAGAAAATACACTCCTGTGTGTTTTACGCGAAATTGACATTTAAGTAATTTTTTAATAAGAATGAGAAGAAACCAAATTTGTAAATAATGTTGCGTCAACATATAATTCTCATCATTAGCATTTCCAAAAACCTCTGGTAAACTGTTTTCAGCTTCTGGACTACCATTGTCATCCATTTGGTTATTAACCCCCACTGAATTTGATATTTCTGGTGTAATAACTGGAATATTCTCTACAAGATCAAGCTTTATTTTCACTTCATTATTGATATCAGTATCTTCCATAATGATAACATCCCTACTAAGTACACCATTATTAGTTTAAGGATTGTATAATCTATAACCTTTGTTAGTATTACCATAGCCAATAAAAATCATCTTTTCTGATTTTTTGTCTTATTTCAGCCTCTTTTGCTTAGGAATTTGCACCATTGCATTGCTGCCAAAAATTCAGAAATGACTTATATATAGGTTTCCTACCTGACCAAATTTCAATTAGAATTTTACCATCTAAACTTGTGACAATGCTTTGGTTGCATATGTAAACAGCTGTATTTGCAGCCTCAGCCCAAAATTTCTTTTATAACTTGGCTTCAAATAGTAGACATCTGGCCTTTTCCACTACTGAGTGGTTCATCCTTTCCGAAGAACTATTCTGCTTTGGAGTATAAGGTGTTGTTAATTGGTGAATGATACCATGGGCGCGTTCTTTTTTCCATCAGACATTCACCAGGTGAAAACATGATGCCACCAAAGCGTTCTTTTATTGATGGTGGAAATATGATGGCCCACCACACCGCGTTCTTATTTTAGTGGTGAATTTATGGTGGATTTCATCCGGTGGGACCGGTGGAAACCTGATGCAACCAAGCTCCAACAGAAATTTTCTGTGATTTCTCTGGTGGTTTTGCGTTGGTAGACCACATAACCTTAAAAAATTAGCTACTAACTGCTTCTTGTGTGTCCCGTGTAGTCTTTGATTTGTTTTTTAGCTCACTGGTGGATAATCAGAAAGCTGATGATGTAACTTTTATCTACAATGATTTATCATATTCAGTAAAAAAATTGCAAAATAAAATTGAGATCCTCTGGAGAGTCATCTATTTCGCTTTGCAATTAATGTTCTTGGCCCAATGGCAGCTTTGCTCGCATTGTCCATTTCAGTTTTTTTGAAAGAAGCACAGATTATATACCATTTTATAGATATTTTCGCTTTTTGGTCCACCAAAGCGTTCTTTTATGTAAATTGTGGTGGATATGTGGTGCTTCCACCAATGACATCAAAGAGTCACGTGACAGAAATCAGCTGATGCAACAGTAAATTTTTGGTGGAAATCAATATAAACTTTTGGTGGAAAAAAGAACACGCCCCATGCATTTCTGCAAAAAACTATCGAAAGAACCATTGCACAATTCGCCTCCATTGTCAGTTCTAAGCTTTTTGATTTTCATTTCTAACTGATTTTCTGCTATGTTCTTAAAACTGACAAAATTATTAAACACCTCATCTTATTTAGCTTTCAAAAAAGATATAAAGGCCATTTTACTGTAATCATCCTCTAGTATAAGAAAATACCTGGCTCCACCAACCGATGCCACCATCCTTGACATCTATCAATTTATCAACAAAGTTTCATAGATAGCTAGAGAAATTGGTTTCTTTATGTTTGGGAATCCTGTAATTTTAACATGATGATGAGAAAAACTGCTTCCTTTGGCAATAACGCATAATTTTTATTAATGAGAACCTCTATTGAAGTGTGATAAAGATCTATTTCTGATATTATCCAATAAATTTTTTACACAGATTTTGTAATACCTAAGTATAACTAGCTAACAAATCCTTTGAAAATCCTCCTAAATTAATCATCAAATGCAATTTAGCTCATAATTCATTCTAAACAGCCTCTACTCCGATAAACGTTTGATTTATAACACCTTGTTAAAAACCTAATTCAATACTACAAAGTGCCAAAAGGTCATAATTATTATTATTATAGCGAATTCGAGATGTCATAATTCGGGAATTGAAACGGATGCGTTTGCTTTTGAAACCGAGGCAAATTTGACAGCGGCGAAATCGTTCATCATTTATTTGCGTTAATGTTTTCGAAAATAAACCTGTCAAGCGACAATATAGAGTGGACCATGTCCTAAACTAATTTGAAAATTAATTCGGTCATGAACCAAAAAATTTGATTTTTTTTTTGCGTTAGGTAACTACTGTGTGTCATCATCATCATTGTTTATTCAGTGTATTTCAGTCTTCTGCATGGTTCCTAGTCAGAAAATATTTAAAAAAATACAATAATAATTGATGACCGTTACTCTCTTCAAAATATCCCCAACATATTGAATTGCCAATATTTCACGACACTGGGTTTGGCTTCTGGGTTTCACCAAATCGAGATGAGCATTACGAATACGTTCGAATGCCGTCCAGACTCAAAAACGCACCCGCAACATTCCAACGCGTAATGGACAATGTCTTGAAAGAGTTACAAGAAAAAAAATTCCTTATTGACATGGACGATATCTTATCTTTTCAACCTCTTTTTAACGGCATCTCAATTACTTAAAACAAGTTAAGCATCTTCCACTTTGCCACTCTCCTGCGATGAAGAGAAGAGATAAGACAAAACGATAAACAACAAGAATAACAGGGTCCACAACCTACCATCCTATACATCGCAGGGCTGTCAGAAACGAGCCAGTGAACCGAGAGAGAATACAATGTAAAAGCATATCAGAATTTAGTTCACCAAAAGGTATTGAGAAAGACCAAAAAATATTAATGACAAAAAAACTGTATCTATAAAGTACTAAGTACTACCTACCCTGCGATTACGGAGACCATAATGAGGTTGCAAAAATATAACCCTGATGAAGACGCAATATTACCAAAACGTTATATCCATAGAGGCGCGTGTTTTTTTAAACCATCAAAAAGATTTATTTGTCCACTCTGTATGCTATTTCATTTTAAAATTAGTTCATTATTTCGCTAGTTGTGTGTGTAGAGATAATAATTTTGTATATAGTCCGTTAAAACTAGAAATACACAGTCCCAAAAACGATTTTTTTTTTTTTTGTTTCCGAAAATTATAGTGGGGATGAATATAAAAGTTGAACTTGAAAAATTTCGCTTTTAGTGTCCGTTCAACCAGGCATTCATTTAACAAAAGACTGTCAATCATGGTACGTTTAGTGGGCTATAATAGTGTTTTTGTGTAATAATTATCCTGGATCGTGTTTATTTTTGTCAGTTTTGTTCCAGGAAATTCTTAGTTTGCATTGAGCCGATGATAATTACAAAGTCATGTATGTAATAAGCTCAAAAATAGACTTCCTCAGTCATTTTTATAAATTATTCCTAATGGCTTTGGCTCTAGAATATTCAATTACTAAGCAAGGTTTTAATTTCACGGATAATTGCCCCTCTTTCTGGAACAAAGGAAAATTCACAACAATATTATTAATGATTTCTACAAAAAAAATTCTAATGAAAAATTCCTTTAAAGGCGTCGGGTGACGATCAAAAAATGGCGGTTATCCGCAAAGCTTTCCAAATGTTCGATACAAGCAAATCAGGCTTTATTGAAACAACCAAAATCGCTACCATCTTGAACACCATGGGTCAACTCTTTGACGAAGGTGAATTGAACAATTTAATAAGGAAAAATGATCCAGACCATTCAGGAACAGTTAGTTTTGATGGTTTTGCCGAAATTGCTTCACATTTTCTTGAAGAAGACGATGACGCTAACATCCAACAAGAACTTAAGGAAGCTTTCAGGTAAGACCTATAGTTGGTGTTTCATGGAAACTACAGTCCTAATTTGTTTACAGATTGTATGATAGAGAGGGCAACGGATACATTACCACAGGAACATTAAAGGAAATTTTAGCTGCTTTGGATGATAATTTGACTAGCAGAGATTTGGATGGCATCATTGCTGAAATTGATACCGATGGATCTGGAACTGTAGACTTTGATGGTGAGAAAAATCTAATTTGTAAATCCTTGTAATAAAGATATAATAAATTTTTGCAGAATTCATGGAAATGATGACTGGAGATTAAAAGAAACCAGCCCTAAAATTGTTATTTATTATTTACACACACACAAAAGACACTTATTGTTAATATAAAAATGTACAAAAGAAAAATAAATACATAAAAATAAACTTATACATTTATTTTTAAACATAAATTCCTTGGACCAGAAAATTACTTTTCGCTAATTAGAGATGCTAATGAGGCTCCTTCAGGAAAATATTGACAGGCAGGCGTTTTCCATACATCCTCTGCTGGAAACCTTTCGTGTTAACTTGCCCAATATTCATTCACTTTGGACAATATTTGTTTGGGAGTAGCGGGCTGATTATAGCAAACGGATAATTTTTCCCAATATTATTAAAAAAGAGTTGACAGATTTAACCAAGAAGAGTGCTTTTTAGTCTCTTGAGCAGTTTTCACAAATAAGTTGGTTAATATGAATAATTCGGATGATGAACAAAAAATGGCCATTATCCGTAAAGCATTTCAAATGTTCGACACTGGCAAAACTGGCTTTATTGAAACCGTTAAAATTGCCACTATTTTAAATACAATGGGCCAATTATTCGACGAAGGCGAACTGAATAATTTGATTAGGAAAAACGATCCTGAGCATTCGGGAAAGGTGAATTTCGACAGGTTTTGTGACATCGCTATACATTTTCTGGAAGAGGACGATGCCGAGTCTACGCAACAGGAATTGAAGGAAGCTTTCAGGTAATAATTTTTACACAAAACAGGCTGATATTCAAAAAAATATATTTGTTAAATCTTTATAGATTGTATGACAAAGAAGGAAACGGTTATATAACAACAGGTACTCTAAAAGAGATCCTTAGGGCTCTAGATGATAAGTTAACTGGAAGAGAATTAGATGGGATTATTGCTGAAATTGATACTGATGGATCTGGAACAGTGGACTTTGATGGTAAATGTCTTTAGCCTAATAATGAACTACAATTAACATTGTTACCAGATTCACAGACTAGTATAATTTGTCCTTTAAACAAGATCAAAAAGTAATTTTTACACAAACATTATAACTCTTTATGTCGGGTTTCTATCATATTTCTATTTTTTTCAGAATTTATGGAAATGATGACTGGCGACTAACAGAAAAAAGATAAATAATATGTATTGATTAGCATCGATTCAATTTACTTATGTTAAAATAATACCTACGTACATTATTTAGCATCCGTTAATACCCAGACAGCACAGAAGCATTTTAAGGACCTCCCTTTAAGATGTCCACAAACGACATTCTAGGGGTTCTCAAGACATCTCAAAGACGTCGTATAATAAACCCAACGTCTTTCTCAGACGTTGGGTCACAAAATTCATTTTGGAAGAAAAATATTAGATGAGCCAATAGTAAAAATTAAAAACAAATCAAGAGCATGAAATTCGGTAAGATGCGGAAATGAGAATTCAAGAACTTGGAATGAAAGAATTCAAAACCCAAAGATCCAGATCAGCCTGGAATAACTTTGCGCTGGTTAGAGGATTTGCATATATTCTGCAATCATCTGCAAACAGCTTGGTGGCCATTTTTACACATTCAGTCAGATCAAAAAGGTATGCTGTAAAAAGCACTGGGCCAACAACCGAACCCTGAACAACGCCACTACTCACTTTATGTGGACTGAAGCTCCCCATTAACTATGACTTGATAAAGTTGGTCATTTAATAGTGCCTTAATCAGATTGAGCAGCTTTCCTCTGACTCCAAAGTGCTCCAGTTTGGCTATTAAAAGCTTGTGTGGGTCCTTATCAAATGCTTTTTCATAGTTAAGATAGATTACGTCTGTCGGCCGACCATTGTCGTGATTCTGTGTCCAATCATTTAAGCATTCCAAAAGGTTTGTTGTCGTTGAACGGCAAAAATCCGTGTTGAGAGAAAGGGTATTAAATTATTCTCTAGAAAGAACGATATCAGCTCCTTAACTATTATTTTTTCCATGCATTTCAGGGGGTTACATGTGTGACTGATAGGCCTGTAGTTCTCTGGTTTGTGCCGATCTCCCTTCTTGAATAATGTTGTCACAATTGAATATTTCCATGCTTCTGGTATCTTTCCTTGTTATAAACATTCTTGCATCACCCCTGAAAGTAAAGGACTGGACTGAATTGGCACAATTCTGAATGAAAACAGTGAGAATCCTATCGAGCCCTGGGCTTGAGTCTCTTTTCATATTTTTGAGAGCTTCTTCAATTTTTTCCGTTGTAAAATTAATATTTTCAATTGAGTTTTGTACCCTGCTATGGTCAGGCAATGGTGGAGTTGGGTATGTTTCTTTTGTAAAGGCTGTATCAAACTGATCTGCAAATTTTTCTGCCATGGATTTGCTATCCAGAAACTGTTGGGATGTTGGATCTTTCAAAGTTATGGTTGAGAGTTTCGAGTTTAAGTTGTGATTTACATATTTGGATAGCCTTTTTTGCGAAGACGATTTCACAAGACCATTTTCATATTTTTTCCTGGCCTCGACTAACTTTTGTTTGGTGATATTGTTTTGGCCCATATAGGCTTGATAGTTATATCCACTGTTCTTTTCATTTTAGATTTATTCCATAGTTTATGTTTTTTGCTTATTTCTTAAAAAATATTTTCATTTATCCATGGTTTTTGTGGATTTTTTTCCACGGGTTTGTCAGGAAAGTACTTCGCATCCATCCACCACCAGTATGTTTTGAAAGTTTTCAAAGAAAGGTTTCTCCGAGGGTTTCTCATTATTTACTGGTTGTAGTCGGATAAAGTGGTTGATTTCTTCATAATTTGCAGTGTAGAAATTCTTTCTTACAATTTTTTGTGTTTGTTTGGGTGGAATTTTTAGTTGTGTTTTTGCCTTTATTACAACATGGTCACTGCGTCCAATGGGCGCTTTTGAGCAAAGATCGAAAATGCTTTTGGGATCATTGGTTAAGAAGAGATCTAAAAGAGAACTTGGGTCGTTTCTGTATCTTGTTGGGAAATCAATTAATTGCTGAGCGCCTATTTTTTGATACATAAAATCCTGTGTTTTTTGTCTGGCAATTCAGAGGTTTTCCCAGTTGATGTTTGGGTAGTTGAAGTCTCCTAAAATAATTGTTGGATCTTTGAAGGTGTATGCTTTTTTTATGGTATCTATCATGTGAGTGTTGGCCTCTTCGTTGGTAGTTCTGCCTGGCCTATAAATGCAAGTAAGAGACATTCTTTTTACATATCTGAATATAAGCCATATATATTGCATCAATTGGTGCTTGGAATTTGTAGCTATTGGAAATACTGCAATTTATCTTGTAGCCATGTTTCTGACAACATTATAAAAGTAGGATTTGCTGTTGAAATTCTTGCTTTCCATTCGTCTATTTTATTAACCACTGAACTCAAGTTACTATACCAAAATGATACTTCAATTCACCTCAGACAAGTTTAGTTTTTTTTCATCCTTTTAATAATTCTAGGTATACCATTTAAATATTTTATGATTAAATTGGTCTTACCTTCGGACTTTTGTTTCTCTAGGTCGGCCAGAACATTCTTTAAAAACTCTCTCTGGACGTCTGTTCAGTCACTTTTCATATAAATACCAGATTGATCTTCCTCAAGCATTTTTCTCATCTTTAGGGCCTTCAGAGTTTCTTCTTTTGTTGGCAGTATCACTTTTAGGGGTCTTTTTTGATCTGCACTTTGTCTCCCAGCCTGAATATTTTGGTCTCTTCTGGGTAGTCTCAGATTCATTTTTGAAAATAGACTTTACCACTCTCTCTAGATCATCTTTTGCTTTTTCTTGCATGTTGTCTTCTTTTCGACTCTTCAACACCAAATATCAGGACATTGTTTGCTCTGCGCTCCCTTTCTTTCAACTCCATATTGTTGGGTTGGTTCCATGCCCACTGCTTCTGTCGATTTTATGGTTTCTACCCTCTTTTCGAGCTTTTTCAATGCATCGGCATAGCTTGTACGTCTTTGGCAACCTTTCAGTACCTAACCTGCCTCATCTCAATTCTCACTTCATTGATATCCTTCCTAACTTCTTCGTTTTCTTTTCTTCTTCGATCCATAGAACTTTTGAGGGAATCTACCTCATTTTTAAGTAAAGCCAGGTTCTTGGCTGTTTTGCCACCTTGCTCTTTAGTTGCTTTCAGCTCGACTTCGGTATTATCTACCTTTTTTTGTAGTTGAGGTAGTTTCTTGATAGATTCCTTGCATTCTGGACAGAAATGTTCTAACTTCTACTTTGCTTAAAGAGTTCTGGAGCATTGTAGAAGTTTTTCAGTAATTTCTAAATTGTTTTAACAGAGTTTTAGGTATTTAAAGTCCTTGAGCTCCAAAGCCTCGAAAGAGTTCTAAATTGGTTCGAACGAGTTCCAAAAGGTTCAATTGAATAATAATTTCTAAAATATCTCTGAAGTTTCTCAATTGTTCCAAAATGCTCCTGTAAATTCTGATTTGGATTTGAACTGTTTGGAATGTTTATTCAAGGTCTAAAAGTTCTACAGCAATCTAAATTCGCTCTTAAAAGCCTTCTGAAAGTCGTTTTGTAACTTTTAACCTGAATCCTAAGAATCTGGGCGCTTTTCAAAATGTTTCTGATGATTCTAGAGTGTTTGAGTGTTTTGGACCGTCCTAAATTAAATGGGTTTGAAACTTCTGAATTGTTCTAAAATACTTTTGGAAATCGGCTTTTGAATGTTTTAGGGCATTCTAAAATGGTTCTGAAGCGCTACAGAATGTTTTTGGACATTCTTAATTGAATTTTTGAGTGTTTCGAACTTCCCAAAAGGCTTATTATTAAAACTCTAAAGTGTTCTGTAGCATTCTAAATGATGATTTCCATCAGTAACTTATACATTGAATGAGAAACGAATTCTGGTGAAAATTTTTGTAGACGTATTAAAGACATCCCTAAAATATTCACAAACGACATTCATGACGTCTTGCTTACGTATTTAAGGCGTCTTAAAGAAATCTTGAAGTCGTTATGTTACAAAACCCAACGTCTTTCAGACGTCTGCCTAAAGTCAGAGACGTCTTCAGGACTAAGACATACTAGAGGCGTCTTCAACGATATGTCTTAAAGACGTCTTTGAATCTCTTTCCAATACATAAACAAAACAATTATTCACTTTCAAGCCTGGCTGTACCAAATAGTTTTCTTTGATATGTGAATTTACGACATCTTATGAATATCTTCTAGACGTCTTTTTTTTGTCTTCAGACGTTCAGACATAATGCAAACCTGTCTGGGTAATTCCTACTCAAAAAGATAATCTAAGTTATTGCTCTTGAGTAGGTACTGGAAATTCAGCTTTTATTGTCTTGATGTTTATTCAAACTTGATAAATGTATCCTAAAGCACTTCCACTTACTTAACAACAATAATTCTCTCTCTAAGTTTTCTCTTTTTTTTACAAAAGTATTATCTCTTCCAGCTCTTGTATTGTATTATGTTCTTTGTAGTTGATTTTGTTCAGTAAAAACAATTTATTTTGTACTAAAAACGTTAATTTTATTAATAAAATATGTGTGTACATAAATATAAATATATGTTTTAAACAATAATGGTAATGGGTAAAAAGCCCTAAAAACAATTACATTGTTGAATATTAGATCTATTCCAACATAAAATCATTCAAGAAATACATTTTTGATTGAGTTTTACAGTTTGGATCTGTGGATTTGAGTATATAATATGAGTCCCAATAAGTGTGACATGGTAAGACGTGCTAGGTAAGTTTTTGTTTGGTATGGTGCTTTTCATGGGAATCTTTTAAGTTGCGTTTTGATAACTGAGACTGGAGACTTTGAGAGTCTTTACTTTTGAACAGCCTCAAAACCATTTCTCATGTGTAACACCGTCATCTAAATACTATGAAAATGATGCTTCGAACTTTTTCGATACTCAAAAGCTTGAGCCCAGGATATTTCCTCGCCAACTAGGTACACCATAAACCAAGACCGAACAAAAAATTTTGACAGAAACCCATCCCTGATCTATTATGGATCCAGAGAGGATAATGGCTATGTAGAAGAACGATAGAGCAAGATCTAATTTTCAAAAAAGAAATCACAAAATATACATAGGAAAAAAAAAGCTTATACATACAATAAAAATCTCAAATCAGCAATTTTTTTTTATTATATGAATCATGATCCTTGTTCTTCAAGATAAAAATCCTTATATGTAGTTGTTGGTTCAAAACCAATCAACCAATATTGCTATTTTGCTGAGTTATGGTTGAAACCTTAGATTATGTTGGAACAGTAAACTTCTTAACACAACTTAATTAAGTGATGAATGAATAGTATTTTGAAAACTGATAATTATGATTTTTTTGGCAGATCTTAGTAGTTTGTATTGCCTTTCCTTCTAGCCAGATTGGTAATCATGTATCATAGAAGCAGATCAAAATTTAACCAGAACGCATTATGTATGTGATACAATTAATATAAAAAAAGGGTGTCCTTTAACAATCTGGCTGAAGACTTCATGTTTGAATATTCTAAATCATAAACCACCAAAATACCAGCCCTAGTAGGTATAAAAAAGAAAAACATAAATCCTTAAAAATCAATTTCCTAAGTTAAGCTGCAATAAGACGCGCACCCACTTTGGTCAGCATGATTTTTGTTGCCATTAACATGTATGTTGTCACTATTGTAAGATTCCCATAGGCCTGGTGTTTGAATTATCTAGAAAAATAAAAAAATTTATAACATTACACAGACAACATTTGGGCTTACCTTATGGACTAATTCTTCGAATGCACTCTGGACTCCATGTTTCGTTTTCGCACTGGCTTCTATGTAAAGTGTTTGGTGTCTTCTGGCAAATGCCATTGCCTGTTCTCTTGTTACTTCACGATTATCCTAAGCAAACATAATTATGTATAGTACAATTTTTAAGTGGAAATATTGCGTCTTACCACATCAATTTTATTCCCCACTATCATCTTAACAATATTGTTTTTTGTTGAATATGTGTCTAATTCATTTAGCCAAGTTTCTAGTTTAGCAAATGTTGAATAGCTACTAACATCAAACACTAGAATGGCACCTTGGGCATCCCTAAAGCAGGAATATTCAGTTAAGGGATGGTTTTTGTTATTACGTGAGGAATCTACCTGTAATATGAAGGAGTCAAAGTTCTAAACCTTTCCTGTCCGGCAGTATCCCAAATGGCCAATTTCACATTATTACCATCTACACTTAACTTTTTGGTCTTAAAATCAACTCCTATTGTTAAAGTTTGTTCTGGATCAAAATTATCATCCGTGAATCTCAACAAAAGACTAGATTTTCCTACTCCGCTTTCGCCTATTATTAGGATTTTCAATGTTGTAAGGATGTCTTCGTCCATTGTCCACTAACTTTGGGCTATTTTGTTACTGAATTATATATTGCGTATTAAATTTTCAACAATTTATTGAATCATTTATTTTGTTTTGTAGGCGAAATTGTGCTATGACGCAAATTTCTAATTTTAGGTAAACAAAGAAGTGTCAGTGTCAGAATGTATGTTTTACTCTTTCTAGCACGTTGTTTAAACGTCATAAACAGACTTTTTATATGTCAACTGTCAAAATATATCCAATTAATTTTTCGTTTTCAAAAAACATTGCCAAATAATGCCGATCCATCCATTATTATTATTATTATTTATTAGCTAGAAGATTAGGTACTTCTGCTGATAAAAAAATAGCTGCATACAAATCAAATGTTTACAGTTCAAGTACTTAAGTAGTTCATTTTCCATTGGTCATTGATCACTGATAAAGTTTTGATGTGGTTTCAAATTTAACCCACAAAAAGGGATTTTAGGTAAGTTGATTTCAAATAAATACTTAAAGTTGGTTTTAAGTGCATATCTATGTAACTGATATAGCAGGGGAGTCAATTTCATCTTTTTTACAGCTCATTTACTATTCCAAGCACACCTCTTCAATGGAAGCAAATTTCCATGTTCTAGCTTCTGTATAATAAAGAAAAGACTGTAACTTGAGAGATCTAACTTGAATTGTGATATATTGTTGCCAAATAAGATGGAGGAGAATTTCCACGTTACATGGGACCACCACCAACCAAAAGTCCTATCACTATGTAATAATCTACTACAGAATGGAAAACTAGTGGACGTCACATTGGCAGCTGAAGGCAAACGTCTGAAAGCACACAGGCTTGTTCTTTCAGCGTGCAGTCCCTATTTCGAGTTGTTATTAACAGAAGAATATGATAAACATCCCATTTTAATTTTGAGAGATGCAAAATTCCAAGAACTAGAAGCCATTGTGGAGTTTATGTATAAAGGTGAGGTGGACGTGCCCCAAAATCAAATGGCTGAATTTCTCAAGTTAGGCAAATCATTGCAAATTAAAGGACTAGAGAAATTCACCGCATATCATCAACAATTGACAAACAACAAGAGGAGCGGCCCTGATGATGAAGAATGCTCAGTCACAATGTCACTAGAACTTCAAAAGAAGCAAAGAGTGCAATGCAATAATGATGCCTCTAACTCTGTTACAAAAGAAACTGATATGCCTAATATCATTGAGACCGAACCAAAAATGTCTGTTAATATAAGAAAGGAAACTGAAATGCCTAATATCATTGACACTGAACCAAAAATTCTAACACAGACACAGAAAGACAACCAAATTTCCAAACTTATTATTGATAGAAATAAGCAAATGATATTGAGTAAGCAAGAGAATGAGAGAGCATTAGCAGCTTATCTTGAAAAAAAAGCAAATCTTGGAAAATTAATAAGAAACAATAAACCAAGAGATGAAGTCTATTTAACACCTAAGCAGGTGATAGATCCACAAAAGAACTCAAAAAATATTAAAATATTCATAGGAAACAAGGCTTATACAAAGAAGATGACAAATCACCAAATATTCACATAAGCATTTGGTACAGAAAATAACCTATGTGAATAAATGCCATTTAATTTTTTAATAATAAATTGTTTCTTTTTCAATACCCTCTGATATCCCCGACCACATGATTAATAAAAACTACTTGAAATAAAAATTTTAATAAAAATACAGGAATCTTAAAATAACATTTAATTACTAATCAATCCGAGATAATCATCCATGAGAGTTCCAATAGCAAACTATAAAAAAAATAAAAGAAAAAATTAAAAATTCAAATAAATATCAGTGAAACTTACAATTCCGCTGGCATCTACTCTGGTACCCACAATTTTAAGTCTTATCTCTCCTTCAGCATGAATAACAACATCCTCTTCTTTGGTTTTGTAACATTGAGGATTTACATTAGGGCAGAATTCCATTTCTGCTGGTATAGACTGGAAAACAATTAGTGTTTTGAAGAGTCTAATTTTATTTAGTGTGTAAACTTACATGATGGGAAATAAAGCAGGATAATGGGCCAATTTCTGCAAACATGCCAACTTTATTAACTTGCCGTACTACTGCATCCAGCACTTCTCCTTTGAAAGGCCTGAACACTATTGCCTTATATTTGACTGGGTAAACTACAAAGCCCTGTCCAGGGAGTATCAGGCCTGCTCCTATGCTGTCTATTGTTGTTACAGCTATTACAAAACCATACCTGAAAGGACAAAAATGTTTTTAATGGACATGGAAGGATAATAGTTGAGAAATAAGACCTACTTGCCGGTACAAGTGCCTTCCACTTCAGTGTACAGCTTGGTTTTCACTTTTTCCAGCAGTTGGGGCCCAAAATATTGGGGATGGAGCAAGATTTCGTGCTCAAGAGAAATCTAGAAAAATGTCGATGGTAAATTATCAATTTTGTAGTTGGAATAACTGCATTTACTTACGTGGTAGAACATTATTTATTATACACAAAACTTTTTAAAAAACAACGAAAATAAAAATGATATTTTTTGAGGTTAGCGTCAAATCACTAACACATACACTTCTTTTTTTTTGACAAATTTTAAGTGCAGCTTTTTAGAGTTCGGAATGCGATTTTAGTGCAGTGTTCGTGTAGTGCGGTGTTATATCACGTGATGAAGGTGTAATCTGCAATGTAACACCGAATACAGCAACATTTTGTACCGAGTAAATGGTGTCCCACCATCTTCACACCATTCGGACAAGGTTGCCAGGTCTCATGATTTTTCATGAGATCTCATGATTTGGACACTTTTTTCATGACTCCATGATTTTCAACAAAAATCTCATGATTTTTGGCGTAACACACATACTCCGATAATTCTATTATTTTCATTTAAAATTCAAACTTTGTGTTTGATATTTTAACATTATCACATTGAAGCGCTTGCGTAGAATGAATATTTTCTATAATTTATAGGTTTGTTCGCACATTGGTTCGCACAAAAATTACAAACCAGCCAGAGCGAATTTCATTGGTTGAAAACAGTCAGAAAACTTCTTCCAACCAATGAAATTCACTCTGACTGGTTCGTAATTTCTGTGCCAACAGACCTAATATAAATAAATCAGAAGCGAGAAACATGTTCTAAAAGTTAACTTCTGGAATGATGTTACACCTAATACCTATAGGACGTAGGTACCTACCTACTGGGTAATTTTTGTGTTTTCAGGTTTTTATTTTAATCATTTCTGTTATATTTTATGTTTTGTGTTATATTTTCCAGAAAAAAGTTATTTTTTTTTTAATCCAATAAATGCATACCTATTATCAAAATAGACGCATTCTTGTCGATTCCCGATAAAATTAGTAGTCATCTCATGATTTTTACTGAGAATCTCATGATTTTTGCTACATTTTCTCATGAATATTTTTTTTTCGACCTGGCAACCCTGCATTCGTGCACCAAATTATTTCAAAACGCAAATAAAAGTGTATAACAAACTTACTCCTACCAATTAACGATCGCCACAGTGTCAATAGTGTAAAGAGTGTCGACACTTTCTACCATTCTGAACTCACTTTGATTGTGGAACTGGTGCGACAGTTTTTGCACCGAGTGTCGAATATTTTAATTTTTATGAATATTAATATCCAAAGCTGCTTTCCAGTATTACAGTGGCTAAATAAACCTTTACATACAGTGGCGACAATAGAGGTCCCGCCGCCATCTTGTTCCCAACCTCTTGTTACCTTTAAATATTAATATATAGGATTTAAATGAACATCTATCATAGAAAATTGAAATTGGACGTATTTGATGACCATTATTAGGTCCATCAAATACGTGTTTTCCATGATTTATGATGGATGTTCACCTAAATCCCATATATTCATATTTAAAAGTAACAAGAGGTTGGGAACAAAATGGCGGGGTTTTCAATATAAATATATGGGATTTTAGAACCAATAAAAAATGAGACAGCAATTGTCGCCACTGTGGGTAATAGAGTCACTGTATCCAGTATTAGTCTAAGAGCCAGCGCCGAAAAAATTCTCTGAATTTACTAAAGCTAGTTTTTGGACAGTTGATTACAGTATTTACGTAAATAAACATACCGCGGTCAGTCAAGCGAAACTTGGGACAAGGACCCAGGGTGTCTTGTTAAAAGTGTCGAGATAACTTGGGTAATGCAACGAATTTACTAAAGCTGAAAATCGTTATACATATATATAACATATAAACACAGTGGTGTTAGTCAGTCAGTGGAATAGCGGGACCGTGCTGGTCAGTCAGCCCCAATAAATGTAAAAATCTGCAAAAAATATTAATATTACTGAACAAACCTATTAATTTATACTTCAACCTACAATTTTGAATTGTCACTGTCACGCTGTCACTCTAAAAAAAATAGACCTATTATTTTTTTTACATAAATTGGGGCTGAATTACCTCAATGGGGCTGAATGACCGGCCCAGTTCCGCTATTTCAACTGACTGACAAACATCACTGTTTTTTATGTGTTATATATAATATGTATAGCGATTTTCAGCCTTAGTAAATTCGTTTCATTACCTAAGCTATCTCGACAACTTTAACCAGACACCCTAGGTCCTTGTCCCAAGTTGCGCTTGACTGACCGAGGTATGTTTATGTACGTAAATACTGTAATCAACTGACCAAAAACTGGCTTTAGTAAATTCAGAGAACTTTTTTGACGCTGGCTCTCGGGCTATATGCATATTGGCGCGCTCTAGAGCACTCCGGGAGCGCCACGCACTAGATTTGTACCGTTCCAGTATCATCACTAATGACGTTTGTCCGTACGTATAGCTCGGGAGCTCAACGCTCCGGGCATCTCCGAGCGTCACACTCCCATAATGGAAAGCGGCACAAGTTACAAGTAACGACAGTTATCCATTGAAATTAATAGAATAACAAATACAAACTTCTGCTTCATTGGTGCAGATTTATTTACAAACTGCAATTAATTAATAAACAATACATAAACAATCAAAGGTCAATGGAACCATCACAAACTTTTTGTGTTTCTCAATAAAGGCCTAACGAATATTTGCCTTTATAAAATGGCAACGTAACAACAGCACTTATTTAAATGTGGACGGTTTAAACTCAAGGAGAATACACACTATGAGTGCTTATCGGTCTCGTTTTTTGAATCGCTGCCATATTGGTGTGCCACCATTGCCGACGTCATAACTAAATCGTCAACTGTTTAAACAGCCTCCGTCAAAGCAAGAAATAACTGGAAATAACATGCTGCTTATGTCACAACTGGTACTTTGGCCAGAAGGGGAAGTGGGGGATTTGTTATACACAGGCCTTATGAGGATAGGCCATCCTGTAGTAGTAGTGTGTATCAGCTGTCAGCGTATTCAATATGGCGGGAATCTCCTAGAGTAACTCTAAATCGTTTATAAATTAACAGGTGCTTACTCGGAGCGTTACGCTGGAATCGTTCAGGAATCGATAGTTGACGTGCCCCGTGCCCAGAGTGCGCCCAAATTACCCGGCCATGATGGCCGTTTGTAGCGACCATTTTAAGGAAGCCTTAATGATAAAGTATTCCTTAAAATGGCCTTTCTCTATGTAAAAATGTCATTTCAAGGAATACTTATCGTTAAGGCTTCCTTAAATGGTCGGTGCAAACGGCCATCAGGGACTGGGTTGAAAAACGCCCCACAGTTTTTACCAGGTTTGACGTGATTTTAAGGTTATTTTCGGGATTATTTTTAGTGATTATTAGTAATGGAGTTCTCTAAGATGCAGTCAAAAAATATGGATATCAACAATGTTGACTTTGCCGTTGTGTTGAAGGATCAATTCCTCTTCACTATCTGAAGCACTTTCTTCAGGTGAAGGATGTTCCAGTGTAGGACCTCTCTTGATAAGAACATAATAGTTGTATTCCTTTCAAGAGCTTGAAGCACTTGAGCTACTCGCTCCGGTGTTTAGTCGCCCCCGATTAGCAGGGAACAGATGCATGGTGCAACAAACACTTTTCGAAAGGAATAAGCGCGTGAAGCCCCGGAGCTGTTCCAGAGCTCGTCCTAGGTGTGAAAGGAATACAACTAATACATGCACTTCTCACTGCCAGAGTTTTCATGACATTGACATTTATCGCAACGCCCTAATACGTTCAGAAATAGCGAACCCAGATTCCACTGTAATCGTGCTTTTGGTATTTTGATCCGAGTTCTCCGAGCATAAATTTACCGTTCGTTTATTTAACAAGTGTACCCAGTGCAGGCTCATTCACGTTCGTTTATTGAAATTTCGAGACCTCTGATACAGCGTTTAACTGCTCTGTGCGCTCGCTGGTCAGGTGATTACGGCTCCGCTCTGCTCTTTGAGCAAAATACCGAACGCAAGGTGAGTGATGACGTCTCCATCTTTACACTCCATTTCTGAACGCACTCCTACTTGGTGTGACGCCCAGACTCTGATTTCGAGCGCACTCTTGAGGTACGTTCGAAAAGCGCCGAACGCAATCTACTACGAAAGTATTCTCCTTTTCCTAAAAAAAATAAATCGATTTTTTACCTCACGACTTGCCATACTTTTGCTTTGAAATTTCTATCCAACTGTTTTGATGCAGCTTCAATAGTTTTACTGTCTAAAAAACAGGCACAACCTGAATCGCATGTAATCCATCAAGGTCTGCCGGTGATGTCACCACTATTGGCTGCTGATAGTGGTGACGTCGCTCGCAGACCTGCTGGCGACTTGAAAAGTAATGAAGAATGAAAAAAGTTTGTATTTCGTGCAAAATTCTTTAATAAATATCAGTGCAAAGCGCTTTCGGCCGTGGCCATCATCAGTGCAACCTGAAAGTAAGGAAAAACACTTTCTGAAGATACTGGAAAAATTTATGAAAGTTTGGAAATTTTGGAAAAGTGGCTAAGGTACGCCTTTATTAGGATGAGCAATCCTATTCCTGTTATTACGATTCTTGGTTCATCTCCATTCAGCGCACCAGGTTCTGGGAGGATATTGAAGGAAATTCCAATAAAACTCTCCAAAATTGTTTTCCAATCTTTATGAGTATTTGCAAATAATTCAATAAAAACAATTCAATTTACTCTGACAAAAAGCAAATAAGCTCAAAAGCAACAAACAGCAAGATTATGAACAAATTAAAATTCAATAATCCAACTGTTTTAGTTTTACTTCCGAATAATAATACCACAATTTACATTTAGCTATAATCACTTATGCATTTTCGCTTATATTTTTCACTTTTTATAATATTTTTTGAAACAAGACAACTCGTCGATCATCACAGAAGCTATTAGCAAAAGATTCCTATCTACGTTTTTAATTGTTTTAATATAATACAATTTTATTACACAATTTTTTTTAAGCAATAGATCCTATCCAAAAGCAAAAATCAAGACACCAAACAAAATAGTTTGTTGGGAAAGTGATTTTTGCTATTGCATCAAACCCAAAAAGTTCCTATACACAATCAAATTTTGATTCCCCTATACCATTTTCTTATGTATATTGAGCCCACATTTCGAAAAATAAAAATAACATTCATACATCAAGTTTAACTTATTGAAGCTGCTTTAAATTCAATCAATATACTGATTGGCGCGACAGAAATGGTGCAAAATTAATTAAATTTTCTTTTATTTTACGTACCCACTATTAGAAGAAAAGAAATTCTGTTTTTTACAAAAGCGTTCATTCTTAATTCACACTTTTTCAATGTCTGGTCATTTTTTAACATTTTTTATATTTTTTTTAGTTCATTATTTACTTAATTAATTATTACGTCTTACATCTAAGTTGAAACGAAATTATATGTAAAAACTTACCTTTTGAACATCACTGTTACTCTGTAAAATAACCAAAAAAAAAAAAATAAATAAAAACAAAACAAAAATAAGAATACATAATTATAATGTGTTTAGTAAGTAAGTAAAACGAAATCCATAATAATAATATAGTTGATAATAATTATAAGAACATAAAATAAACCATGGCAAATACGTGTAAATATAATAGTCGATAATAATAGAAAACTTAAATCACAAAACTCTTAATAATATTGATAATAATAATAAGAAAATAAAAAAAAAATTATATAATAATCCATGGCAAATATCCGTAAATATAATAATAAAAAAACTTAAATCACAAAACTCTTCAGTCTAAAAGCAAATACTTATAAAACAACAGAGAAGAAGGGAGAAAGTCGCTCCTCAGCTCCCCTGGGATGATATAGGGGGCGAACATCCCTAGAAAAAATGAGGGACAATCCGCAAAAGCAAAAAGTGTTAAGTATTATACGTAGCAGACGGGGTAACTACATAGCACATAACCGCCTAACCAGAAGAAGGCGGGTCGATTTTGGCCGCCTGTACCGCAGCCTTGTTTTGACGGACCAATTCAGCATGCTTTTCCTGAAAAAAAAATAAAATAAATTATCCAAATCTGACTTGTTGCTCGCTGATGTGTTTGTCAGTGGAAAGGAACAACAGATTTATTTTGTCAATGCATGTGCAGATGACATTTGTATACATCTTAAAGAGTTAAGGGTCATTAAAGAGCGAAAGAATCATGGCCAAAAGTGACGTCACACCTGATTTGTATACATACATGTTTTTTGATGTTTTCCAGCTTCTTCTTGATCTCTTCTTCTCGTTTCTGTTCAGCAGCAGTCAGTTTGCTCTCCAGCTTCTGAACTTTTTCAGTTTTCTTGTTCTCCAACGATTGCTTCACTTCGTTCAAGTGCTCATTCTGCAAAAAAATAAATAAAACTAGATAGCATTACTTGCTTTACAAATCAACTATAAGAGTAGAGGAACTAGGAACAAAAAAAATCAAAACAAACATGACCTAACTTTCAATACTTACATGTTTTTTGGCCAACTCCAATTTCTTTTGAATCTCTTTCTCTCTGATCTGTTCGGCGAGGCACAGCTTATTTTCAATCAGATTGATAACTTCTGATTTGCGACTTTCAATGGTCGATTCTACAGATTTCTGTTTCTCGAATGGTCTTGAATTCTACACGTCACAATGATAGAGGAACAAAGAATAATAAATAATAGTTGAGAAATGAAATTGTGAATGAATGAAGAACAATTATGAAAATGAGAAAACGAAAAAAAAACAAAATATATCAAGCGAAGCTTGACAAAAAAAAAATTAAAGCAAATTACTCACGTTCCTCCTCAACTTTTCCCTCTGCTCTTGTTCGATTTGCTCCTTACGGTTCTGAGCCTGGACTAGTTTGTCTTGAATCTGAACGTCCAGTTCTTGGAGTTTGGCGTTATTTTGAGATTTGACTTTCAGCGCTTTTTCTTCCTTCAAATCGACGAAGGGCGATAAACAAAAATGTGCACAAAAAAAATATGAAAGCAGAAACAAAAAAAAATCATTCTAATGCCAAATTTACTAGATTCTGTAGTTTCCATTTGAAAATGAAACGATATTTCTTTTATCAGGAATAATTAAAGTAGTATACACTAAGAAAAAGGGTGTTAAATGAAGATGATTTTTGTGAAAAATCTAATGCAGCTTTGTCTATATACGATTGATAATCGTCAACGCTGATGAGACAAGGCCTTACTATTCTTAAATTTACATATGTTGACATTACTAAGATATACATACGTGCTCCTTCAAACGATCCAACATTTTCTTAATGTTTTCATCCCGTTGCATGGAGGCGGTCTTTAATTTGTCTTCAATGGCAGTCCTGACTTCGCCAGTTTGCAGTTCGATGGACAAACGGGTTTTTTCCACGTTTTCGATGTGGTCCTAAGAATTATTTATGAAAAATACTTGAGAACCTAGCATGAAATTCTACACGTATAATGGTGTTATGTTAGCTATAATCCAACCACCCAAGCAATGCCAATACAGGAATTAAAATTTAAATATCTTACCTTGAGTTTAGTCTTCAAATCAGTAATATAAGCTTCACGTTTCTCAGTAACAGTGCTTATTTTCTGTTCCAAAGCATCGCGGGTGGCTGTAATAAACTGACTAGTTTGTTCGTCTCTCTTACGGCTAGCATCTTCGATTTTTTGCATTTTCGCCGATATAGCAGCAATTTTACTCGATTCCAATTGCTAAATGGAAAAAAACAATTAGGAATAAAAAATGTCTCTTATACAAGGTAGGGCTGGGGGTGAACAGGCATATGGAAACCAGAGGATTAAACGAACAAATAAAAGTGATGTTCCCGGATCTAAAAAGGTTACCAGGAAGATTAGGACAAGTCAAGGGCGCCCACAGGGAGGGTCAGGGGAGGTCACTCGACCCCCCCTGGAAATTTCTTAAATTCTAATTATTTTCTGTATATATTATATTGTAGGTCCGATGATGCTCGTATGAGCGAAACGGGCATACTTGAATTCGGCCAAAAACCAGGTAGCTGCAGTAATCCTACCTTTGAATTCGACCAAATCATGAAACCCAACCTACTTCCCATAAAACTTACCTTATGATGTTGACAGATTTCGCATTGCATATGAGTTAATAAATCTAAAAAAGTGTAAATATGTATTTTGATGCGCAAAATAAAAAGATCTACCAAAATGACTATGGAAAGATTCACAGGCATTTGTTGTCTTATTCAGGTCTATCGAGGCATGTGCCATGTGTCGATGAGATAATCTGAAAATTTAACTAGAACTTCGTGATTCGGCTGAATAGCTAACAACTCGAAAACAAATAAATCGCTAACTTCTTGATTCTCCAAAAACATCATTCCAGAACAATTATGTAACGATTTACCGATTTCTGAATCTTTTTTTTAATATTCAATGCTTAAGCCTAAGTTTTGGATCTTCCTCTACCATGCCTGGGATTTTAGCTATTTATAAGAAGTAAATAAGTTGATTTAATATCTATATCTCAGTGTACCGATTTGCATATTGATAAATTGTCACCCTTTCCTTATTCCGGAACTGGTGAATTTTGTGGCTGAGTTCAAGGATCCCGGAGCTAAACACATGTCACTATTAAGTGAATCAAATAATAAACAATCTGTGTGTTAACATGTGGCTTTTCAAATTATGTTTTTGCTTAAATTTTGCATTGCAAGTGTCCCATTCAAATGGATAAATATCCGAATGTGTTAGTTTGTGAATCTTTAAATCGGCTTTCCATTTAAATTTTGATTTGCAAGTGTAACATTCAAAAGGATAAATATCCGAGTGTGTTGAAATGTGCCTTTGTAAATTACTTTTCTTCAAATTTTGCCTTGCAAGTGTCACATTCAAATGGATAAATACCCGAATGTGTTAGTTTGTGTATCTTCAAATCGCGTTTCCGTTTAAATTTTGATTTGCAAATGTCCCATTCAAAAAAATTAAATATCCAAGTGTATCAATATGTGTTCCTTCAAATCGCCTTCTCTTTTCAATTTTGCATTGCAAATGTTACATTTGAAATTCTCCTCATCCTAGTGTGGTAATATGTGGCTTCTCAAACTACGTTTGTGTTCAAATTTTGCATTGCATGTGTCACATTTAAAAAGATAAATATCAGACTGTGTTAGTTTGTGTCTCTTTAAACAATCTTTTCCTTTGAATTTTGCTTTGCAAATGTCACATTCAAAAAGATAACTATCGAAGTCTGTTGATATGTGACTTCTCAAATTACCTTTTTGTTTAAATTTTCCTAATTTAAATTTTTCTCTAAATTTTGCATTGCATATGTTGCATTTAAAATTCTTCTCGTCCAAGTGTGTTAGTTTGTGTCTCTTCAAACTGCCTTTTTTTTTAAATTTTGCTTTGCAAATGTTGCATTTAAAATTCTGATTCTGCTTCTAAAATGATAATTTAGACTGAAGTGCCCTTTTTTACGCATAAAAAATTTATTCAATTGATTTTGACCCCCCCTACATATTTTTCTGCGGGCGCCCCTGGGACAAGTAACGACAGAATCACAGGGAGCTCTTTTCCAATATACATGACAGACAAGAGAAAATTCAACATTAAGAAACTTATACATATGTTGGCAAAAAACAAAAAGCTACACACTAGAACAGAACATGGGATCAATTTGTATATAACAAAAAGTATGGGGACCTGCACTGGAACCACAAACGATCGCTATCGATAAGTTCTCGACAATTTCCCCTCATTTCTCACCTCGTTCACCCATCGCTCAATGTTAGGGTCCAAAATTGCCACCACAAACGAACATTTGGGGTGCAAATGAACGTTTGTGGTGGCAATTTTGGAGACTAAGGTTGAGCGATGGGTGGACGAGGTGAGAACTTGTCGAGAACTTATCGATAGCGATTGTTCGTGGTTCCGCCTCTGGAGGTCCATGAAACAGATAATCACAGAAACATTCAGATACACCAACATAAAAGTCCTGATACAGAAAAACGAGAAAAATATACAAGAGCCAGAAAATATAATGTGCAATATAACTATAGATGAGCAACCAAGCAGCTTGAAACTAGTAGTGACCGAGGACCACTCCCTGAAAGCCCAGGAATCAAGAACCATAGAACTATATATTATAAAAAATATAATTACTATAGAATCACACATATACACAAATGAGGAATCATTATTTATAAAAATCAAGTCAACTCGTCTAACCAATATACACAGACGATAAACAATAGCCTTTTTAGAAGAATATCAAAAGAATACAGAGATACCGTGCAATATGCTAGAGGTTAATACAGATAGAGTTACTACAATGGAAGATCATAACTTAGTAAACAAAAAGTTCAAATTTTGTTATTTCTAATTTAATATAATTTTCTTCTCTATTATTTTCCATAAAAATAATATTCTAAAAATAGATGCCTGTAAAACCCGCAACAATAACCGTTTGAACCAGTAAAATTACAGGTTTCTTCATTACCTTATAAGGCAGTGGAGCTTACTCGCTGGTGTGATTGGTCAGCCGCCACATTGTTTTCTAGATTTTTGCGACCTGCTCCCTGGCAGAGTTAGTCGACACACATTAGTAAGTACTTTTAGAATAGGCGAAGAGTTCGCACCCTCGCGCCCTCTGAATGCTCACCAGAGGCAAAAACCCCCAAAAACCCCCGTTAGTTCGTGCGATTTATAGTAAAATACGACTCTCAGTGTCTCAAGGCCTGACATGGTCTATATTATTGATTACAATTCATGTAATTAACCCCTAATTGTTGCAAGTCACCTCGGACGAGCAAAAATCTTTCCTACGCTTGTTTTTGGCTCTATCTCCCTCACTCTTGATGGGCTCCAACGCACCTGTATATCATTGTGTTTTCTTTTCATCTCAGACTCAGTCGAAGATTCCCTAGCTGCCAGTGTGAATAGTTGTGATAAATGGATAAATAATCGCCTAGTGGATTTATCTGCATGAACCGGATTAAGCAAGTAAGACCGTTACAATTTCTCTAACAGTCGAACAATAAATACTGATTAGTGATTCGCTTGAAATGCACTATAAATTGAAGTGTTTTCTAACGTTTAATGCAGAAATTTGGTTTTGACACTCGTGAAATTAACATTTGTACATTTGTATATAGAAACTGAGCATATAAAAAGACTTTTCTTGCACATATTGTTTACAGACTTCAGCAGAAAAGTACTCAGTGTTAAATTTTAATAAATAAATGAACTTTCAAAGATCAATAAACATTTTGTGATTGCAGTGAACTGATTGAAGTTGACGAATTATTTATGTTGTGGTCTCGTGCATTTAATTAGTTAATTTGTGTTCTCATTCATTGAACATTTAACCATAAATGATATATATTATTATCATTATCAGATTTCTCTACTTATTATAAATCAAGATACTCATTTACTTTAGATTAGTATAAAATTTGTAGTTTGACTGGGCATCCAATTAGGAATTTTTATATAGAATTTGATTGCTGTCTATACCGAATTACTTTCATTTATTAATTAAATTGATAACTATTCTATTTCAGCGTTTTATTTGTATAAATGAGAATCAAGGCACCCCTAACCCAATACAAGGCTTAAATGATCCAACGTCTAATGGTTAATTTTTATAGTCAGTCAAAGTAAAAACTTTTGGCATCCCTGGTGCGGCTTGACTAAAGCCCAAAAAGGGGCAATAGCTAGTTTCGTCACAAAACATAAAGGATCAAAACACTAAAAAACCATTACAAGATCTTTTAAATCAGTTCAATGATGTCTTCGCAAAATCTCCAAAGTACATGGGCAAAACAAACTTGACTAAACACATAATTGAAATAGAGACAGACACCAGACCAATAAAAAGGCGCCCTGACAAAGTATCACATCTAGAAAGGGAAAAGATAGACGAGCAAATAAAGGAAATGTTAGAACATGATATCATCAGGCCATGTCACTTCCCAAGGACAAGCACAGTGGTGCTAGTAACCAAGAAAGACGGATCTACAAGATTTTGCATAGATTATAAAAAAACTTGATAATGTGACGAAGAAAACAAATTATCCATTACCTCAATACATATTAAGTTACCTGGGCAAAGCGAGATATTTTAGTACCAGACATGTTCTCAGGATACTGGCAACTGCCGGAAGAGGAAAATTCAAAATAATGCACGGCATTCGTGGCACAAGGCCATGGCTCGTGTGAGTTAAAAGTCCTCCCATTCGGATTATGTAATGCTCCGTCTGTGTTTCAAGAACTCTCGGATATGGTCTTTTGGGATTTAAAATGGAAGGAAGTATTAGTGTATATTAATGACATTATCATTTTCTCAAAAACGGAAGAGGAACACATACAAAAATTAAGAAAAATATTCCAGAGACTAAGAGAAGCAAACCTTACCCTAAAATCCAGGAAGTGTACATATCTTCAAGAAGAAAGAAAAATGTTGGGATTCACAGTAAATAGAAGCGGGATAAAAAAAAACAATGAAAAAAAGCTAAAGGGCATTAAAAAGTTCCCGAAACCAAAGAAGTTAAAGGAATTACAAAGCTTTTTAGGACTTTTTAATTTCTATCGAAAATTTATAAAAGATTTCTCCTCGATCTCCAGACCGTTGCATGAAGTTACAAAATTTTTTTATTTCAAATGGGGGCCAGATCAAGAAGAGGCATTTAATATCTTGAAAGAAAAACTAACGTCAGCACCTCTATTAGAGTAAAAATGAAACGAGAAGAAGCCACACGCGTTATCGTTTGTCTCACTTGAAATGGGAGGGACCCAAAAAAAAGAAAATCTGCTTTCTTTGTCAGCGCTGACGACAATGGCTTCTTCTCGTTTGATTTTTACTCTACAACATTACAACCCCGACATAGGAAGCACCCTACATACCGACGCTTCAATAGAGGAAATAGGGGCAGTCCTTCTGCAAAAAGAAGAAGACATTAAAAACAATAATTTACACCCAGTGGCATATATAAGCAGAAGTCTGTCAAAAGCAGAACAAAATTACACAATCATAGACTTAGAGCTTTTAGCAGCAGTCTGGAGTCTAGGATACTTGAGACATCTAGTATACGGACTTCCTGTGCACTATGCTGGTTGAACTCCATGAAAGAAAATAATAGGAGACTAGCAATATGGGCCATTAAACTATCAGAGTACGATTACAAAGTGATTTACAAAAACGATAGTGCCCACAAAGATGCAGACTGTTTTTCAAGGAATCCAGTACTTGATGCATGATCATCAACTGAGGAAAAGGAAATGGACGAAATACCTACCTTCACCCTTCATCATAATCAGCATAGAAGAAAAAATAAAAAGATTTGCACTGGAAAGCACTAAAATTATTAACTAACAAAAACAGGTCAAAGATGTGGAAGAAATTATGAAAGCGGTAGAAAACTTAGATGACACGAATATCCCTATAGCAACAAAGAAAAGAGCGAAAAACTTTAAGACAATGAATGGTACCTTATACAAAATTGCTCTTCTATAAGCTTGCAACCATCAAATTGACTTCAAGATCACTTACTTGTCTCCGTTCTTCTGCAGCCTTCAATTTATCCTCAATATCTTGAACGGACACGGAGTTCCTAGGTGACAGCTGAGGCTTCTTTGGTGGTACGGCCTTGACCTCTGATGGCTCGCCAAGGATCACCTCGTAACGCACCCCACCGCGAGTTTTCTCTTGGCATCTCACCTCGGTGGCTGGAAATATGAAAGAAACAAAACCATTATAATTTTTGAATAATTAGATTTGTTCCAGCAACAAGATGAATCTGCATGACAAAACTAGCTAAAATATGTATTATGACGGTTGTTGGCGCCCTATTGTCTAAAGACCGACGTCTGTAGTTGGGGAAAGGGGTTGTTACAGGAGGCGTCGTGACGCCACGCCACGCCAACTACAACAACCTTTCTTTTTTGATCGATATAAATATCCCTCTATCTGGCATACACCTTGCTAGGCTGACGCCGTCGCGACGCTATTGGTATACTTGAATTATTTATGGGACTTTATTGATGTAAAATGATTCTAAGAATTTTAACAAAACATCCTCACATACACTATATTTTATCAGGTGCATAAAATAGCTTTTAAATGTTAATGAACAAGTTCATTTAGGCAGTTTACTAATATTAATATTTATGAACCAAATCCGGTAGGTACTGCAGAGAACAGGTTCTATGTAGGAAATAATGCGTCTGGGCAGGAGATGTTGCGTTGGTCACCCAGGCAAGAGCTTGCATTACCATACCATGAGATAAAATGATGGGTGCATAAAATGGATAGTGAAACAACTAAAATTTACAGTAGAAATAATAATTCTTTTGTGGTTGGACCAAAACTGAAACAAATATCACAAAACTTACCGTGGTTATTATTATTACAGGAACCTCGCAGTACCATGCAGTTGTTCGAGTCGTTATCCGTATTTTTCGGCAACATTACTGCAGGTACCGCCACCAAGACAAAAGTTATTTTGTACATTTGTTTTTTTTTTTGACGTGCATAAATAATTGCAAAGAAAATCTAAAGCGTGTAAAACAGTGCGTGAATGAAAACATTCTATTCTTATTTGATTTTAATGATTCATGCGCCTTCAGGTTTGCTAATTTAATCGGATATCCTCTCGCAAGCGACCAACTGGAAAACCGAAAATTTCGTGTGGCATTTTGCCATCTAAACTACAGGTAAATCGTAAAAAAAAAAACAGGTATAGTGGAAAATGGCGCATTGCAGAGAAATAAATCCCATCGCAAAGTTGTCATACAAATAAAACAAAAATCAACTACAATAATGAACATTTATTTAACGAAATCAGCAACAAGAATATAAGGATACTTAAGTCTAGTTTTTATTCAGTTACTGAACCCAATGACTACTTGACCAATAGTGAGCAACCTAAATGGTGCCTTCTAAAATGTTTAAAAAAAAAAGCAAAATAGGCAGTGCATTTAACACAACATTGAAATAAAGGTGCCTATAATACTTACTGACAAATTGAACCCGCTTGGGTTGGTGAGTCCTGGGTTTCGTTTTCACTTTGGTTATAGGCATATTCCTTCTGTGAACTGAAACATACATTAGATTCATTATTGTAAAATTCAAAAACTAAATGAAAAATGTGGTATTTAACACCTCGTCGCTATTGTGTTCTAAACTGGGCCCACACGGCCATTTTAATACAATAATCAAATTAAATTATCTATTAAGCATGTCGCATATAATGCCGGAATGGTCATTCGAGGGATTATTCAGGGTCCAATGTGCCATTTAACAGGACAGCAGGATTATGTTTTATTCCAGGGCCAGGGGATAAAATTCAGGACGCTACCTACTGTTTGTTTCAGCCAATAGACTTCTTTAACTCAATTACTGGAACGTAAATGCAAAAAGGGAAAAATAAATATCCAAAGGGTGCCCCTCTGGCTGGGAATGTAATTTAATTTGCGCCAGGGAAGAGGTTTGCCTTTTAAATAAATTACTCCCTGTGCCGAGTAAAATAGGAATTTAATGTTGTTCGCACAAATTTCTTAGGAAGAAATAATATTTGAGACAGTTTTAACTCTGAAAACCACTTGAAATCCCCTGACAGTATATTTTCAATATCCGCTATAGATTTACTTTTATTTCAGCAATCCAAAAGTGAATATAGAGGGTATAGGTGTAATGACCTCACCATAGCAGCGTTACCATTTGATCGGTCCAGCTATCCCGGAATTCCGACGTCTAGGGCCGATGACGACGCCAGCCGTCGCCACTTGTTCTGGATAGGCGCCCAAGCGTCGGGGCGCTATCGTGTGTGGCTGCGATGAATCATGCTGGCCAGCACGCAATTATTATTGTGTCGCTGGCGCCACAACTCAACTAATTAATTATTTGGTTTGATTGTTGCTGTCAAAGCATTCGAGTTTGATATTTGTTTAAGTGTCTGAAACGTTTATGATTAACTTGTTATGATAGAAAATCTGTATATTGCTATTTGAATTCCTTCATTTACATTTTAGACTTTAATCCAGTATAATATTTCCCTCAGACATCAGTCGAGACTATAAAATTATGTCCCCAAAATGATAAAATCGATAAAGGTCAGCCTGGAGTCATAAGATATCATTTTTGGGGGAAAACGCGCCGCAACGCACCCTGAGACGAACTTGAAAGTTTTCCCTTTCCTTATTCCCCTTTTATGAGCAGACGGCCATTTTATTGCGAATTGAAGGGGAAATGTACACCAGGTCTGAAAACTTATATTATAATGTAATCAATAGATTCTATTTTCACTGATTATATGTATAATTAATAATCAATTATGATTGAAATACACGGCCCATTAACGAAGCCTTTTGCTGAAATCCCATCAATCATCGCAGTAAATTAGTCGGTGCATATTCCACTATATACCATCTGGCATGGAAACGATTTTCCAGCCCACCACGAATTTCCATTTCCGCACGTTCTATTACACTATTTTTAGCCGGCCGGCTATGCATGGTATGGATTTATTGAACCACCAATGCAATGTTCCCGCTTAGGTTACGGTTTAGATTTACTATAGAGAATAAAAGTATGGAATTACAGGGATTATTTTGATTATTTTGCACAGATAGGTTGGTAGTTAGAACGTCCAATAGCTTCATTATTGCAAGAGAATCAAATTAGAATAATTGGAGGGGTTGTTAACTGGTCAAAATCCGTGTACAAGTTGGTCAAAATCCCAGAAAATCTCATAAGATCTACTCAAAATCCCTAAAAATCTTTAAAATCCTTAAAAGTTTAAAAAAAAAGCCTACAAAATCTAACAAAATTTCATTAAAACCAAAAAAATCCTGCAAAATCTCATAAAATCATTAACATTCCTTTGAAATTCCCAAAAATCCTTTGGAATCCCCAAAAATCCGTTAAAGTCTCTCAAAATTCCATAATATAGTGGAATTTCGATAGAATTATGTTGTTCTGAAAAAGGAATTACATGTGAAATTTTTGCGGAGTTTCCAGAGAATTCACCTTTAATTTTAGTTCCTCTCAAATTACATGAAATTTCACTGAAATACCGATCGAATTATACGAAATCCTAAATGAATTGCATAGAGAAATTCTAAACAATTACATGAAATTACACCGAAATTCCCAACATAAAATTTCAGTTCTTACTGAATTTAATGCCGAGGAATTTCCGGCTAAAAACATGGAATTTCGGTGATATTTCGCATGTAATGACATAAAATTTCAATATATTTCGGTGAATTTTCAAGAAATTTCTTGAAGTTTCATAAATATTCCCAGAAATTCCTGACTATTAAAAGAGAATTTCGGTGAAATTCCGAAAAATTGATATGAAAATAAATGAAATTTTGAAAAATTCCTTGAAGTTTCATTGGACTTTCGAGAAGTTCTCGGCTATGAACGTGGAATTTCAAAATATTCTCATAAAATTTTAGTGAAATCGGAGGAATTTTTAAGAAATTACATGAAATGTCAATGAAATTTCGAAAAATTTTATGAAAGTTTTGTGGAATTCCAGAATATTTCAGTGGTGAAATTTTGGGGAATTTTAGTTAAAAAATTATGGAATTTTCGATGGAATTTTGAAATTGAAATTTTAGTGGAAATTCAAGGAATTTCAAGAAATCCTATACTCTTATTCGGAAAACGTTTTATCTAAGAATTCCATAAAATCTTCTGGTAACATGTTAAGGAATTTCTATGGATTTACTTAAAATTTTCACGGAATTCCTATGGAATAACTTGAAATTTTAGTCAATTCCGAAGAATTTCATGAAATTTCATAGTGTTATTCCGAGGAATTTTTGTTCAAGAATTCCATTGAATTTTATTGTGGAATTCCATGAAATCTAATGGTGAAATTTGGAAAAATATTATGAAATCTTATAGTAAAAATTTACCATTTGAATTGAATTTCCAGGAATTCCATAAAATCTTCTGGTGAAATTCTAAGGAATTTCTATGAAATTAACTAAAATTTTCACGAAATTCCCAAGGAATACTTGAAATTTTAATGGAATTCCGAAGAATTTCATGAAATCTCATAGTGTAATTCCGAGGAATTTTTGTGCAAGAGTGCCATTAAATTTTATGGTGGAATTCCATAGAATCTTATGATGAAATTCGGAAAAGTATTATGAAATCTTCTGTAAAATTTCTAGGATTTACGTTTTTCCATTCAAATTTATCACTTGAATGGAATTTCGAGGAATTCCATAAAATCTTCTAGTGAAATTCTAAGGAATTTCTATGGAACTGACTAAAATTTTCGCGGAATTCCCATGGAATAACTTGAAATTTTAGAAGAATTTCATGAAATCTTACATTGTAATTCCGAAGAAAAAAAAATTCAAGAATTCCATTGAATTTTATGGTGTGAAATGTGACATGTGAAATTTCCATAGAATTCACATTAAATTTTAGTTCCTCTCGAATTACATGAAATTTCGAGAAATTACATGAAATTTCAGTGGACTTTCGATCGAATTACATTAAATCCTGGATGAGGAATTCTAAACAATTACATTGAATTACACCGAAATTTCCAACATGAAATTTCAGTGCTTGTTAAATTACATAAAGAATTTTAGAAAAGTTTCAAAAAATTACATGATTTCCGAGGAATTTTCGTCGAATTATATGGAGCTCCGATGCAATTGCATGGAATTCCAAGGAAATGTCAGGGAATTACATGAAATTT